CGTATAAACTAAGAAGTTAAAAGGATCTTAAGAGTATTTATATCTTATATATAAGATAATTAGTTAGAACTATTACTAGTTATAGTAATAGCGATTAATAACCGAGATACTATATCTATAGGAATATTACTATTTTTCTTTATATATAGCTACTATATTAATTCTATTAGTATTAAGAAAGGTAATCTACCTATACTTAATAGAACTAGCCCTTAATAAGTAGACGAAGTATTTATAAAATACCTCCGGGATATAACTAACTAGGTATAGGCTACTATTATAACTATATAGGATAAGTAAGAAGAGAACGCTAATTAGTCCCGCTAGATAGTATCGGTCTATTAGATAGGAGATAAAGTATAGTTAAACCTTAAGAATATTCGATCTTAATAGTACTTAAAAAAGCTTAACTAGTTATATAGGAGATATACTATATAAGAAGTACCGTTACTATATACTATTTAGCTTAATATACTAACTAGTATATATCTAGTATTCTATATAGATCTTATATACCCTACTATATCGGACCTACTACTATTATAAATCGTTAACGATTTATAATCTTCTTCTTTAGTAATCGATAGTAAATTAGAGTACTAGGTTAAAGAGATATTAGACTATAGGATATATAGGATAGAGAGAGAGACTAGAATAGAGGTATTAGTAAAGTAGATAGACTACGTAGAAACTATATAGGAATCCCTAGATTCCGTTAAGAACTATAAGATACTTAATAAGTATAAAGAGCGTTTCGGGCCTATCTTACCTACAAATTAGCTTCTAGTCGATAGGAACGTCGATATCACTATAACCGCTCTTAGGATAAGGAGGAGGGTACTATAATAGGCTAGAGCCCGGTAGTAAACTATTAGTTATAGCCTTCCGGATTATATTAGTAGTTAACGGCGAAAGACTATCTTAGTATTCTTCTACAGAAGAATACTAGATCAGAAGGATAGATACCGTCTTTAGTAGAAAGGCCCCTATATTATTTACTACCGAAGAGGGACCGTTTCTTTCCCTCCTTAAGATTATTATAAATAGTATATTAGCCTAGTATAATTAAGTCAATTCTACTATAGCCCTTTATAGTATCCTTACGTAGTTATAAGATCTCCTTATTATAAAATAGCGTAGGGACTATATATATATCTTAGAGATTAAATTTCGCGAGGACCTTTCGAATATAGGCGAGCTAAGAGAGGTTTACCTTACTATCGATATAAATAATATTAATTATAAGAAATCGTGTAGTAGTACTATTATTAGTAATATCGAAGGATTTTCGAATATAGTCCTTAAGCTATATAAGAGATATATCTAAAGGTATAATAATTAGTATATTATTAATATATATAAGAAGATAGAGATTATATTTTATATATATAAATACCGAATAGTCCGCTTATAAGCGAATAAATCTAATTACTATTAGAGCCCTATAGATAGTATTATACTATTCTCGAGGACTCTATTTTAGACTATATAAAGTCTTTAAAAGAAGACTATATTTTCTAGGCTCTTTAAAATTTACTAATAAGATTCGTATATTAGTAACCTACTTTTTAATATAATTTAACTATAAAGTTAAGGTAATTTTAGGTAATAATATATAAGAATATATTAAAATCGCTACTTTTTACGAAGAAAACGGTATTATTTAGGATCCTATGCCCTCCTATATATCTTAGCTTAATAGTATTATAGAGATTAGGAATTATTAGCTTATTAAGTCGCTAGTCGCTATATTAGTTAAAAATTAGTTTCCTGAATATCTATAGGATAAGCTACTTTTAGGTATTAATTTTACTATAAACCGTCTCTAGTAGTCTACTATTAATATAACTCTATATAAAGCTTTCTACGATAAAAAGCTAGATATTTTAAATCTATATATACTTAGCTACTAAGCTTAGTATCTAATTCTAAAGGAATATAGGATAGATAAGCTTTCTCTATATATAGCTAAAGTAAGGCTAGTAGGCTATAGTACTAATAGGTATCGTCTCTATAATATTTATTTAAAGAAGATCGTAGTCTCTTATAATATAGTCTTTAATAAGAATATAATAAAGGATCTACCTAAGCCTATATATAATCTCGATATAGAGCTAAAGTTAGTTCCTACGTAATCTATAGCTAATTAATACTATTATATACTATCGGATTTCCTACTAGCTAATAGTAATTAACTAATTTAGCTAGATTTAGCTAATAGTCCTAATAAGCTAGTATAGCTAGTAACCCTATCTTCTTATATTCTAATAGGAGATCTACTATTATCTAAATAGTCTAATATACTACTTTCTTTATTTAAATAAGAAGCCTAACTTAAAAAGCTTTATAAATAGATTAAGCGGAGATTCGCCTATAAATAGAATAAATATATCGACGATAGCCCTTAAACTATAGAGGATAGTTCCGAAACTATCGAGGGTAGTCCTAGAAATATCGATAATAATCCTTAAACTATAGAAGGTAGTTCTGAAACTATCGAGGGTAGTTCTTAAACTATACCTAATATAGGTCTTCGGTATTCCTTTAGGGGTTTTTAGGAAGTCTATAAGAAGACTTTAGTAGCTATAAAGTTAGAGGAATATTTACGTTCTCTTAAGCGTTTATATATAGCTTTAGCTAATTATATTAAATATACTACTTTTTTAATTTATACTATAGCTATAGACTTATAGCTACTTCTAAAGCTTTTATATTAAGCTTTAGCTTAGTTAACGCTATATAAACTAGATAGCTAGTAGGATATAATATAAAATTATAGTAAGAATAAATAGACTAAATAGATTAAAGCTATGGATAAGGAAATATAGAAGTAGCTAAAAAATAGTACTTAGTATATATATAATCTTCCTACTAAGGATACTAAAAAGACGCTTCTTCCGCTTTAATAAGTCTTTTATATTAAGGATAATAGAATCTATAAAGTATATCTTATTATAAAAGGGTTTAAGTAATATAAAGGAATTAATTATCTTAATATTTATATAAGTATAGCTAAAGCTTTAAGCTTTAAAATATTCTATATAATCGCTATATATTTCGGCTAGTAGATATATTATATTAACTTCGTTATATTATTTCTTAATATAGAACTTCTTAAAGAAATTTATATTTAACTATCTAATAGTTTTAAGGAGCCTAGTAAATACAGCCTTCTTTTAAAAACCTTATATAGCCTAAAATAGAGCCCTCGCGAATAGTATAATACTATTTATAGGGCTCTTATAGCTCTTAGGTTTAGTTATTCATAAGCTAATTATTCGGTCTTTATATATATAAAGCGTAATCTTTACCTTCTTATATATATTAATAATATACTAATTATTACGTCTTTAGACGTATCTCTTATATAGCTTAAGGACTATATTCGTAAATCCTTCGATATTACTAATAATAGTACTATTATATAATTCCTTACGATTAATATTATTTAATCTATAGATACTAAAGTTATACTTTCTTAGCTCGCCTATATTCGTAAAGTCCTCGCGAAATTTAATCTATAAGATATATATATAGTCCCTACGCTATTTTACGATAAGAAGATCCTATAACCGCGTAAGGATACTACGACTCTAGCGGAAGTTAAAGCTTATCATAAAATAGTAGACTTACTTATTTAGCTAATATTTAATATATAACTAGATATTATATTCGTAGTTATAAAGCTTATAAGATATATATATAACCCCTCCGCGAAGTATATAACTATATTAAAGCGTATCTTTCGGTATCTTAAGGGTTCTGAAACGCTTACTATTACGTATTCCTACTTACTAGATCCCCTTTTTAGATTCGTTAATATAGATTAGGCCGGTAAATATATAGATAGTAGTATTTTAACCTCCGGCTTCCTTTTTAAGCTTATAAATAGTATAATTACTTAGGCTTATAAAAAGTAAATATATATTACTTTTTCCTCTACAGAAAGTAAGTATATAGCTATATCTTTAGCTATATAAGAGGTATTATAGCTATAGCTTTTCCTTAAGGAACTTAATATAGAGTCTCTTTTATAACTTCCTACTATAATCTACGAGGATAACTAAGGCGCTATTTACCTTACTAAAAGCTATGATTTATACTAACGAACGAAGTATATTAACGTTAAATACTATTATATTAGAGACTAAGTCTCTAGGAGGGTATATAAATTCGTTAAAATCTCTACTATAGAGTAAGCCGCAGATAGCTTTACTAAGCCGCTATAGCGAGTCTAATTCGAGAGGTTTCTATACCTTTTAGGTATAAAAAAGCTCTGATTTAATAGCTATTTAACGGCTTTTTAATAGCCTTTATAGCGAGCTTAATTCTAAGGATTTAAATACCTTTTTAAGCTTAAAAAGCTATATTAAGGCGTTATTAATATATTTATATAATCACTTTTCATGTTTTTATGTTTTGAGTGAGATTGGTGGATCGAGGTCTAGGGGGGTGTTGAGATAGCTTAGTGGTCAGGCGTGTCACCAGCGTGGTGCGCGCCCACGTACACCACCTTCGTAGCTTAGATAGGCACCTCTCACCAGATGCAATCTCACCCTTCCTTTCTCCCCTCTTTTAGGTCTGCTACGTTCTCCCAGTAGCATCCAATAGCGTGTTTTATGCTGAATTCGGATCTTCAATGAAGAGCGTCTGTCTCAGGTGAGTCCTACACGTAGAGTCGACTATGATGTTGCTGTTTATATAACGCTTCTGATCTAAGGAAGAGACTGAGGTCTAGTCGTGACGTCGTCGACATAGAGGGTACATCGGCTTGGCCAATGAGAAGTTGAGAACACAGGCGTGAAAGCTTGAACTGCGCGTGGCGGACCACTAATTTCAAACACAGATCGTCCACAGCTCGATGATCCTGAGGTGTGAGCAGATACCAGGTCGGTAAACTGGAAGATGTATGGGGGCATTCCAATCATGTCCCATCGCACGCCGCACTCCTCGTAGGTCTGAGGAATTATCAGAGGGCAGCTCTTTCTTTCGCTACGCACCGGGCTCGCTCACTGCGAGCTGTGTGACTGAACCTCTCTCAGCTTTCTTCTTCATTATGCTGAATTTACTGTTTCCCCTTCTCCAACATCCATTACTATCTACACACATCCATTAGCTGATATGAACGCTCAGCCAGTCGGTGCCCCTCTCACCCGTTCAGCCATCTTTCTAGTACTATCCTTAACAGATCCCGCATCCCCCTCCATCGTCCGTTCAACATTGGCCAACATCTCGAGTCTATCCAAGAGCGTCTCCTTCCGTGACACTTCGGCTGATTTTGCCTGTACGGTCGGCATCAGCAGCTCCGTTTGGGACTCGATCACCGGCCTTCCGTCGCCGAAAGAACTGCACACTTTCAGTTAGATCAAAGGCGCTCAGCATACTGCTGTTTTCCAGTCCTGGCGACCTTCTCTTCCACATCCGTAGTGATCGCCATGATCTATGCTTCGAATTTGAACGCCAGCTCATGAAAAGCTTGGGCAGTGCGGTGAAGCTGGTCGACGAGACCGTGGGATTTCGCTACTTCGTTTCCCGAGATCTCCTAGGTTTTATCGACGGCAATGCAAATCCCGAGGGCGTCAATGCCCAGGCTTCCACCTTGATCACCGCAGACGACGACCCCAATGCAGCCGGCGGAAGCTACGTTCTGGTGCAAAAATATCTACACGATCTGACTGCCTGGCAAGCGCTTTCCGCCGAAAAACAAGAACAAATCATTGGCCGTACCAAGTTCGATAATATCGAGCTTGGGGACACCGAGGACGGCCAGCAGTGTTCGCACAAGACCCTCAATACCGTCGGGGACGCGAATGGCGAGGAAGAGGATATCCTTCGCGATAACATGCCTTTCGGCTCTCCTGGCGCTGGTGAGTTCGGAACTTACTTTATTGGGTACACTCGTCCGCTGTGGGTGATAGAGAAGATGCTGGAACGCATGTTTGTAGGCCACCCTCCGGGTTTACACGATCGGGTTTTGGATTACTCGAAGCCAGTCACTGGCACGGTGTTTTTTGCACCGTCGGTGGATGTTTTGCAAGGTCTTGCAGATTGACAGGTGGAACAAGTTGCAGGGCTTCTGTAGAGTTAGAGAGAGGGTGGCGTGCAATCTCGCTGGGCGGCTCGATGCACGTGAGTACGTGCAAATACATTTGGCCTGTTGCAAAAGATGTTATTCTGTTGCCTGCATGGTTATTCTAAAGATCCACGGCGCGCTGTCACCAGCAAAGGCAGATTGAATCACTGAGTCAATGCGGATGTTTGGCATATCCTGACAATTTTCAACGTCATTCCCGACGCGAACATCTCACTCAATTTACGCGTCTACATGGATCGACGCGTTACCGAAGGAACTTGCTTTGTGATTGTTGAGATAGCTTGGTGGTCAGGCGTGTCACCAGCGTGGTGCGCGCCCACGCACACCACCTTCGTAGCTTAGATAGGCACCTCTCACCAGATGCAATCTCACCATTCCTTTCTCCCCTCTTTTGGGTCTGCTACGTTCTCACAGTAGCCTCCAATAGGTTATGAGCCCTGCTTAGCGCACAAAAAGTGAGGTTATTCACATTTCCTTACTGCCTAGGCACAACTTGCAAAATAACCTCCTTCTTTTTCTATCGTTTTTCGGCGCGTTTTGCGCCTTCTACAGAGTGCAGACTTCGCACCTCTTTACGACTTAACGATCCCTACGCATCGAATACGGCTACCGAAGCCATCGTATCGAATCGTCGCCAAAGTCCCTCCTTCGGCTTTAACGCTATCCAAAAACATATAAAATCCTTCCGGCTTCTACGCTATTTTTCAGAGCTCTTACGCTCTTTACCTACGCAGCGGTATATCGTTGTAGTAGGTATTACCTACGTAGCGGCACTTCGTCGTAGTAGGATCAACATATTCACGTATCTTTAATATAGTTTCTGATCTCGAGGCTTATAAGGCGGCTAAAACCTTCGCCGAATCAGTCCCTATACTTAAGGGAAGAGCTAACTTCGAGAAATAGAAATAGGGGCTTTAATTTGTTATAGATAGCCTAGACGAAGATCTATAGTCTATTATTATAGGTAACCTAATATACCCTATTCAAGAGCCTCGTGATACTCCTATAGAGGAAGCTATCTAAAACGTCCTTTTCGCTTAACTTAGATAAGAACCTACCGAAGAGGAATTTAATAAGTAGATTAATAAGAATATAACTTAACTAAATAACCGATTTCACTAGTTTCGCCGAAAATATACGCTTACGAAATACCTTATCTATTATATACTTAGCGATTTAGCTCGTAGCTTTATACGCGATTATAAAGATTTATATAAAATCTTCCTTCGTATTAGTAATATATACAGTACTAGTAACTATACTACTTTAAGCTATAGGCTATTATCTTTAATTAAGCTTACTTATACTAGTAGTAATCTATATAATTTCGTTACTAAATAGTAAGCTACTTTAGACCTTACGAATTTAGCCGTTCTAAATACCCTCTTACTATCTAAATAGGCTCTAGCCTATTTTAAGCTTATAATTAATAGCTACTAAAGTATAAAGGGTTTCTTAAATATATATAAACCTCTAGCTAATCCGGATAGTATACTTAACTATATTTTCGGCAAATTTATTAAATATAAGTCGAATAAAAAGTCTGTAAATATAGTAATCGTAGCCGTTTCTACCTTAAAAGATACAAAATCTACGTAAAATAATAATCGAGGTAGAGGTAGAGATAGAGGCCGAGGTAATAAAGGCCGCGGGAGAGGCTCCGGATAAGGTCGTGGTTAAAGTCAAAATAATAAAGATAATAATAATTAGCCACCGAATTACTATATCTACTATAAGCGTTTAATAGCTTATACTAGTAAGTAGTACTTCTTTAACCCTAAATCTAAGGGCGTCTCTTAAGACGGAGTTAATATAGTAGTAGCTAGTACTTCTGATTCAAAAAAGGACTTAAAATCGAAAGAGAAATCTAAGAAGATTTTAATAAGCTTCGCCGAAATAAGCTTATTAGCTATTAATATTATAGCTATATTAACAGATAACGATAAATAGTATACTTAGATAGTAGATTCTAGCGTATTAGCGTATATAATACCTTATCGTATAAATTTTATTAATTTCACGCTACTTATTACCGATATAAAGCTTCTAAATAGTTATTAAGTATAGACTAAAGGATATAGCGATATTATCCTAAACTTTTTAAATAGAAATAATATTTCTAAGCTTAAGCTACTTAGAGTCTAGTATATTCCTTCTTTTAATATAAACCTTATTTCCTCGTAGTAACTTACGAAGGATTCTAGTATTAAGACTCGATTTAATAAGATATATAGCTCCCTATATAGAGGGGAAGAGCTTATCGTTACGGTAAAGTAGGAGAATAATTAATATTAGGTTCGTACTTATAATAGTAATAGCCTTATTAATATACTTAGAGCTCTATCTGTTTAACTATCCTATATATTTAGTAATAGCTACGTACCCGCTATAGATTTAGCTATAGCTTCTTAAATCGGTAAGATTTAACCTATTTTAATAGACCTAGCTTATCGTAGAGCCTATTACGCAGATAAGCAGAAGGTAAAGTGTATACCTAAATATACCGAAGGAATTAATATTAAAAAGGGATCTAGTATTAAGTACCCTTATCCTCCTTATATTCTTAGTAAAGGCTATATCTTACCTTTTAGACGAAGTAAGCGTATTAAGACTATACTAGCGTAGAAGCTTTATATTAATATTTAGGATCCTATCTCTATCGCTAGCGTTAGAGATAATCATTATTTGATAATAGTTACCGATAATACTACTCGCTTCTGTTAGATCTTCCTATTAAAGGCGAAAAGCGAAATTACTAATAAAATTCGTATATTAGTAACCTATTTTTTAATATAATTTAAATACAAAGTTAAGGTAATTTCAAGCGATAATACGTAAGAATATATTAAAATCGCTACTTTTTGCGAAGAAAACAGTATTATTTAGGATCCTATTCCCCCCTATATACCTTAGCTTAATAGTATTACGGAGATTAGGAATTATTAGCTTATTAAGCCGCTAATCGCTATATTAGCTAAAAATCAGCTTTCTAAATATCTATAGGGTAAACTACTTTTAGGTATTAATTATATAATAAACCGTCTCTAGTAGTCTACTATTAATATAACTCTATATAAAGCTTTCTATAGCAAAAAGCTAGATATTTCAAATCTACGCGTACTTAGCTACTAAGCTTAGTATCTGATTCCAAAGGAATATAGGATAGATAAGCTTTCTCCGTATATAGCCGAAGTAAGGTTAGTAGGCTATAGTACTAATAGATATCGACTCTATAATATTTATTTAAAGAAGATCGTAGTCTCTCGTAACGTAGTCTTTAATAAGAATACAACAAAGGATCTACCTAAGCCTATATACGATCTTAATATAGAGCCAAAGTTAGTTCCTACGTAATCTATAGCTAATTAACGACGTTATATACTATCGGATTTCCTACCGGCTAATAGCGATTAACTAATTTAGCTAGATTTAGCTAATAACCCTAGTAAGCTAGTATAGCCAGTAACTCTATCTCCTTATATTCTAATAGGAGACCTACTATTATCTAAGCGGTCTAATATACTACTTTCTTTATTTAAACGCGAAGTCTAACTTAAAAAGCTTCGTGAACAGATTAAGCGGAGATTCGCCTATAAACAGAATAAATATATCGACGATAGCTCTTAAGCTATAGAGGACAGTTTCGAAACTATCGAGGGCAGTCCTAGAAATATCGATAATAATCTTCAAACTATGGAGGGTAGTTCTGAAACTATCGAGGCTAATCCTAAAACTATCGAAAGTAGTTCTTAAACTATACTAGGTCTTCGGCGTTCCTTATAAGTCCGCAAGAAGACCTAAGCGGCTATAGAGTCTAAGGAATATTTACGTTTTCTTAAGCGTTTAAATATAGCTCTAGCTAATTATATTAAATACGCTACTTTTTTAATTTATAGTATAACCGTAGACTTATAGCTACTTCCAAAGCTTTTATATTAAGCTTTAGCTTAGTTAACGTTATATAAACCAGATAGCTGGTAGGATATAATACAAAATTACAGTAAGAATAAACAGACTAAATAGATTAAAGCTATAGATAAGGAAATATAGAAGTAGCTAATAAACGGTACCTAGCGCGTATATAATCTTCCTACTAAAGGTACTAAAAAGATGCTTCTTCCGCTTCGATAGGTCTTTTATATTAAGGACAATAGGACCTATAAAGTATATCTCGTTATAAAAGGGTTTAAGTAACGCGAAGAAATCGATTATCTTAATATTTATATAAGTATAGCTAAAGCTTTAAGCTTTAAAATATTCTACGTAATCGCTACGTATTTCGGCTAGTAGATATATTATATTAACTTTATTACGGCGTTTCTTAACGCAGAGCTTCTTAAAGAAATCTATATTTAACTTCCTAATAGTTTTAAAGAGCCTAGAAAATACAGCCTTCTTTTAAAGACTTTATACGGTCTAAAATAGAGTCCTCGCGAATGGTATAATACTATCTATAGGGCTCTAATAGTAATTAGGTTTAGTCGTTTATAAGCTAATCATTCGGTCTTTATATATTTAAAGCATAAGCTTTATCTTCTTATATATATTAATAATATACTAATTATTACGCCTTTAGACGTATCTCTTATATAGCTTAAGGACTATATTCGAAAATCCTTCGATATCACTAATAATGGTACTACTACACGATTCCTTACGATTAATATCATTTATATAGATAGTAAGGTAAAGCTCTCTTAGCTCGCCTATATTCGCAAAGTTCTCGCGAAATTTAACCTATAAGATATATACATAGTCCCTACGCTATTTTATAATAAGAAGATCCTATAACCGCGTAAGAATACTACTACTCCGGCGGAAGTTAAAGCTTACCGTAAGATAGTAGGCTTACTTATTTAGCTAATAGTTAATACGCGACTAGATATTATATTCGTAGTTATAAAGCTTATAAGATATACGTATAATCCCTCCGCGAAGTATATAACTATATTAAAGCGTATCTTTCGATATCTTAAGGGTTCTGAAACGCTTACTATCGCGTATTCCTACTTACTAGACCCCCTCTTTAGATTCGTTAATACAGATTAGGCCGGTAAATATACGGATAGTAGTATATTAACCTCTGGCTTCCTTTTTAAGCTTACGAATAGTACAATTACTTAGGCTTATAAAAAGTAAATATACGTTACTCTTTCCTCTACAGAAAGCGAGTATATAGCTATATCTTTAGCTATCTAAGAGGTATTATAGCTATAGCTTTTCCTTAAGGAACTTAATATAGAGTCCCTTTTACAACTTCCTACTATAATCTACGAGGATAACTAAGGCGCTATTTACCTTACTAAAAGCTATAATTTATACTAATAAACGAAGTATATTAACGTTAAATACTATTATATTAGAGACTAAGTCTCTAGGGGGGTATATAAACTCGTCAAAATCTCTACCACAGAGTAGGCAGCAGATAGCTTTACTAAGCCGCTATAGCGAGTCTAATTCGAGAGGTTTCTATACCTTTTAGGTATAAAAAAGCTCTAATTCAACAGCCTTTCTAGCGAGCTTAATTCTAAGGGTTTAAACACCTTTTTGAGCTCAAAAAGCTATATTAAGGCGTTATTAATATATTTATATGATCACTTTTCATGTTTTTTCGTGTTTTGAGTGAGATTAGTGGATCGAGGTCTAGGGGGGTGTTGAGATAGCTTGGTGGTCAGGCGTGTCACTAGCGTGGTGCGCGCCCACGCACACCACCTTCGTAGCTTAGATAGGCACCTCTTACCAGATGCAATCTCACCATTCCTTTCTCCCCTCTTTTGGGTCTGCTACGTTCTCACAGTAGCCTCCAATAGTGATAGTAGAAATGCAGGGGAGGACTTCGAGACTCTCTTTCAATAAAGAAACTTTTCTGGTGACCTTGAATAGAGAGCAACTGGTACCATTCCCAGTAGAAGGTAAAGAGGATGTGTTCGACATCGAAGTACGATCTAACTACTATGTGAGACTGGACCCCGCGTGGATCACACTGAACGGAAAATCCAAATCCCCGGCATCGGTCAGAGGAACTACTCGGCAAGAACTGCCCGAACCTGTCGTGTGCGGGGCCCCACTCTGCCACTGGAGAAAGCCGTGGGGCAGGACCTGCTTGCTTCCACGAGACCACTGCTGCAGTGCTGTCTCCTTTCTAGATCACCGTCATGGACAATGGCACCATGTCTCCGGAACAGACCAACGAGGGTCAGAAGCGTAAACGCACATCTTTGGCGGTTAGTCCCTAACATGCGATCGACGTCTCGGCAGAATATTCTAACGACGGCTACCAGTGTGACCCTTGTCGGTATCGTAAAGTGCGGTGGGTTGCCGATCTCTTATGCCCTGCGAGTTATGCTAGAGTCGCACATTGACATCACGAAGATGCGATGGCCGTCGGCCATGCACGACCTGCAGTCAAGTAGGCACGGACTGTATCTATGGCTCCGAGGCCGTCAAGTACGTTGTTCCCAGTATCGCTCCAAAGACCCCCGATTGCTCTGACCAAGGCGTACAGTAAGAGCAAAAGCGACATGATTCTGGATGTTGCCATTCGCTCCGAGACTCTTTTACAGGAATTGTCGGCTCAATTGGTGCGCCCCCGTATTTTGACGCTCAGGTACGCTATTGATGCTAAACCGATCCCAGTCACAAGTGAGGTCGATGAGAAAGCGAAGCCCAAGTCATGGGGGCAGTGTGAAATCGCCCCAGACGGGGATATCCCCAAGTATCACAAGCGACATAAATCGCACAGGGGAACGAATGGACCACATTTCCAACGCAACGCTCTCCCCATTTCATGCCTCGACGACAGAGTCCATTCTGGCATGGCCCCAATTTGCCGAGTTCGGCAATTTAATTCGAGGCAAGAGTGTTCCAGTCTTTCGACTGGAGCAGAGCCGAGCACCGCTGTTACCGCGGCCTTCCACTGTAATGCCTTTTGTATCGAAGCAAGAAGTGGTGCGAATCGTGCAGTCCTTTGAACGTGGCGTCAATTTTTGGTATCCCACGATGGCATGCGGCTTGATAGAAGATCTGCGGGCTCGTGTCATAGTGGCCAACTTTGATGATGGTCACTTGCGCTCTTGTTTGTCGTTATTGGTGATGGCTTTGGGCTGTGCTTGTGAGCTTGTCGGATCTCTGTCATTTTCCCAACCTCCTCTGCCAGATCAAATTGACAGCCAAAATCATTGGCGACAGTTGGCCGACTCGTACTTCGATTGCGCCTTCAAGAAGGTACAAGCAGCTCACACTGAATTTTCTGCCGAGGCGGCGCTGTGCTTATTCTTCACGGGGTGAGTGCTTTCGTAGAGAGATTCCCTTACCACAATGTCCAGCTGACGTACCGTTGCCAGGTTATATTTTTCCTACCAACAACGACCGCTGCAGGCCTGGTCGTTTATCAGCGCGGCTGCAACAAAATGTCGACTCCTTCTGTCATACGAGATACCCACCGAAGATCCAAACCAGATGGAATGCCTTCGTCGCATCTTCTGGTCGTGTTACATACTTGAGAGGTGCGTTTCTGCTCCAATTTTGTGCTTTCATACCGATCTAGTTACTATTTGAGTTGCATTGATTGTGGACCTCACACGGAAGTCTTCACCACAGCGACTTTCTCGCCGAATTGGCTGGTCTGCCTCAGACGGGTATCGCTGACATTGAATCTTCGATTCCACTACCTGGCAATTATCCTACGCAAGAGTCCAAAATCGATCAAGAGCAATCCTCACTCTACTTTCTTGCATGTATCTCTATGCGACGCCTACTGAATCGCGTTCATGATCTTCTATATGCGCGCGATGTCGGTGTTGGGTTCGACAACAATCAGTTCCCTTCGGTTGTCTCCGAACTGGCCTTTCAATTGGACGAGTGGAAAGACCTGCTGCCCTTCCCCTTCCAATTCACGATTGACTTGGAACCCACACGTACCGAGGAAGGTGCATTCTTGCGTCAGCGATACTTGACTTGCAAAAGTGTCATTTATCGACCCTACCTCACTTGGGCCTTGTCTAACGGCGATGCCATCGAGGGATGTCCTCCTGTTGTCCTAGAGGGGTCTCGGCTGTGCCTTCAATCCTGCTGGATGCACGCACAGAACCTGCGCAGTCTCCGTCATACGATTATGGTCGACACGTGGATTTGCTCTCTCTCGTAAGTCGGCCTGAGTTGAATAGTCATCCAATGTGCTGATGACGTGAGCAGCATGGCATCCGTGATTCTCATCACGTTAGCTGCATCGAGAGTACGCGCACTTCACCCACTCATTGCACCTGAAGTTGTCGACATCGGACCACACCTTAGCAAGTGGCTGACCCACTGGTCACGCATACCGGGGGCTTCGATATCGCCAAGCATAAGTCAGAGCATCGACCTAATCGACAATGTTTCCAAATTGCTGCAATTCACGTTCAGGGATGAGCGGAATGAGAAACAGGTGGGCAGATGACATGACCCGCTGTGTACGGTATAAATTACATCCGATGAGGCCTCTGGGCTGGAAGGTGAAGGCTTTATCCCCGAGGCGTGATTCCGTGACTCTTCATACTGGGTCTGGCCCTCAGCCATAAGTGCGGGGCGGGATTTCAGGTGGCTAAGCGTAGCCGCTAACGTTGTCGTGATCAATTCAGTATCCCTCAATCCTGCTGCCGTGGTGTTGACGTGCTTATATGGGAAGTCGATCGAATTCGCTTGGCCGATTCAGTATCTCCTCCGTCTTAGAAAGCACCCCTTTGTGCCACAGTGACGGTCGGCAATTCTAACGCGGATCCTGAACCTGCTAAGTTATGGAATTCACTTCGACTCGCGGTCATGTCCGACCGTGTTTCAGGATCATGTTCATCTGTTCACCGACCCGGATGCGGGCACGAGTCCGAATGAGGCCTTCTCGCACTATGTGGGGTGGTCTTTAGATTTGGATCTCATGCGTTTCACTCTACCGTCTATGCCCATCTAGGCATCCCGCTTTGTCAGTTCTCCCTAATAGACTGATACCTATACTTCAAATCATATATCACGCCGATTATGTTCAACCCATGATCCTATGCGAATTCAACGCGTGATGAGTTTATGCTTTATTTCTGCGTTATCCCGAAGTCACGAAGCATCTTGCAATCTTGCTATAGCACCTGTGATTCGAATGGTCCACGAGTGTTAACTGGTTCAAATGCGGGACTTCAGTGACATGTCGTTTTTGATGGTGGTTTCATCACTGCGAGCTCTGAATACCTAGCAGGTAGTCGTTTGACTGGTGTAGATCAAGTTTTGGTCTGATTACTGTTTGACTACTGGTCGGGCTGCTCCAATCGAAAGACCATCTGAATGCGAGTGTGGCATCGCGGTGCTCCACGTTAATCACGTGATTGGCAGATTCCAGATTCGCGCGTCCCACGTTCCTGACTGATTGAATAGTTGGAACTGCATCCTGGACCGAGGTGTCCTGTTCCTTCCACTAGGCTAGACTTACCTCGAGCCGATCCGCAACGGATTGAATCGCGTGTTGGTGGTCTCTGTCGATGCACTCTTTTCATTTTGAGACTTGATGGGAGAAGTATACTTTGATCGGGGGACTCGGGTCAATCGTGCTGCGCAAAGTGCGGGGTTGAAGCTGCGCTGCAACGGTATTCTGGTGGAGCTTCTCTGTCGATCTCCTTCGGCGGGGTGAAGCTGGCTCCATGCATATACGCGATGAGGAAACCCACGAATCAATATGGATTTCGCACTTCAGCAAATGCTTGACTCTCAACTCCACTGAAGGGAGCTCGCCTCAGATGGTCCGCCACCTCGATGATTCTGCAGGCTCCCCCACCGCTGTGTGAGATTATTCCGATATCCCCGTGAACAAGTCAACCCCCTGTCGAGACAGTCTTTATCGACGAAGGGATGGTTCAAAAATGGGATAAGTATGGGGATCTTGCCCCGAATGGAGTTGAAAAGTGCATCTCCAACGGAGCAGTTAATTCACCTACAATCCCAGCCAGGTGACTGCGGAGAGTTTCCTACCATGAAGCTGTCTACAAGTCGTGAGTGGCTGTTCAGTCTTGCGCTGACCGCCGCCACACTGCCCAGTACCGATGCAGACATGACTACGACCATAAGCTCGTCCACGAATTGGGGTACATGGGAAGGTTTCGGGGTGTCCCTCGCCTGGTGGGCTGCGGCTTTTGGCTCGCACAGTGAACTGGCAGACCTTTTCTTCTCCACAAAGACGACCAGCTACAATGACGCCGAAGTACCCGGATTGGGGTTCACCATTGCTCGGTACAACGCCGGTGCATGCAGCTCGAACACAATCAATGGCTCTGCCATGGTTGTTTCACCGAAGATGATCCCTTCTCGTCAAGTGGACAGTTATTGGCTCGACTGGCAAAGCAGTTCGCCTTCTTCGTCGAGCTGGAACTGGAATGTTGATGCTAAACAGCGCAACATGCTGTTCATGGCAAAGGCACGAGGCGCAACGACCTTCGAGCTCTTCTCAAACTCGCCAACTTGGTGGATGTGCATCAACCACAATCCGTCCGGATCCAATGATGGCACGAGCAACAACTTGCAATCCTGGAACTATGACCAGCATGCCGTTTACCTAGCGACCATCGCCCAGTACGCCGCTGCCCACTGGGGTATCACCTTCCAGTCAGTCGAAGCATTCAATGAACCCTCCTCGGGATGGTGGAATGGACTCACAGGAACACAAGAAGGGTGCCATTTCGACGTCAGCACTCAAGCTATTGTCATTGGTAACCTGCGATCGGAGCTCAACCATCGCGGTCTGGGCTCGACACTCATCGCGTCATCGGACGAGAACACGTATGACCTGGCCATCTCGACTTGGAATAATCTCGGCAGCGCGGCGACGCGGCAAGTTGCTCGAATCAATGTCCACGGATATCAATATGGCCAAGGCCGTCGAGACACCCTGTACAGCTTAGCATCCGGTGCTGGTAAACGGCTGTGGAACAGCGAGTATGGCGAGAGTGACGCTACGGGCCGAAGTCTGGTAGACAACCTGTTGCTCGATTTCCGCTGGTTGCACCCAACGGCTTGGGTGTATTGGCAAGCCATCGATGGCGGTGGTTGGGGTTTGATCGATGGTGACAACGACAAGCTCACTCTGGGCGCCGTCAGTCAGAAGTACTTCGTACTCGCTCAGTTCGCTCGACACATCCGACCGGGCATGCAGATTCTGGACGGTGGCAGCAACTACACCGTCGCCGCATACGACTCCAATGCTCGCAAGCTGGTCATTGTGGCAGCGAACTGGGGGCCCGATCAATATCTGAACTTTGATCTCTCTCACTTCAACAAGCCCGGAGTCAGCGGTGCTTTGGTCCCTCGCTGGACAACTCAAGTTGGGTCTGGGGCTCAATACGTCAGTCACAGCGACACTTATATGAGTGGAAGCAAATTCTGGTCATATTTCCCTAGTGGAGCTGTTCAAACTTTTGAAGTGGCGAATGTTTCCCTGTGATAGGTCGTCGTATTTTAAACTCTTGTCCTAAGCTAAGCGCAGCAAAGGCTCCCGCTGACTGTTCATTCTCGGATTGGAACCTTCACCTGCTAGACCCTGTCTCATTTCGAATCAAGTACTTGAGTATTTTTTTGAGAATTGGAACTCTTCTCACTCGGTGATGTCCTCACAGAGCCAATGAATTGTAACAGCATATCTGAGTACAGCCTAGGTTTGCTGTGGTCCGATTTCGCAGTCAAGGTTCGTGGAGCATTCGAGCTTTCGGTACAGTCACAACGCTAAGAGACCCTTTTCTCCGGACGTTCCGCCTCATGGAGAAATTCTCGGCGATACTCAAAAATCCCCTTCCAATAGGAAAATAGACAATCATTGGGGCTGGCCAGCTGACGAGCGCATGGATCAATTTGACCAAGAGTCCAGGTAGATGTCCTGATAATGGCGGTTCCGGGGTTTGCGAGTCATGTTAGCTTTCAAATTGAGATCTTGAACTTGAACAGACGCGAGGTGTCCAAACGATCCTCGTGCCGAGATCACATTTACATTGGTAGTATGGATGCAGTCGTACCACTCATGCCAGTCTTTAGTGGGCCGAGAAAAGAAAACACTAACAAGAAAGGCATTAGTGTCTATTTTCCCCCATATTCATGGAGATCCATTCAGATAGAGGCTATTTCTTGGAAAACCCGACACTCTGAAGCCGCTCTGATTAAGAAGACGGCCGTCTCCATGAGGCTTGTTTATTGGTTGCTCACCTCTTTGGGTGCACCAGTTTTTGACTTTTGCGGGGGTGGACCTGCGAGCGCACATCGTACGAATTGACAAACTCTCACGGCGGGCAGGATAAGCTTTTCCCGCCTAGGAGATGAAGACGATTCTTTTGCCCCCACCTCCCCCGCACAGTTTCTCTACTCTGGCGGATGCGATCAACCGAGGCGAAGATCCTGGAGCTTTGAAAGATCTGCTATCCCTGAGCGAGTGACAGTCTGAGAGTCGCATTTGGTGTCCGGTTTAGTTGCGGGCGTGACACAACCGGTTGTCACATTGGGATGGAGACCTGGCCGGAGCCCATCTTTCAGCTTGATATGATCGACGCGGTCGCGAAGTAATGGGCCACTATGGCGAAGCAGGCCGGTAACGCTACCTGGGAATTCCAAAACCGCAAGCCCTGCACCTCAAAAGTTCGATCCCGAATCCCACGTGCGAAGAAAGTTTCACAGACTCCGCGGACAGGTTGCGATGAGCCAAGCGGATCGTGCGCGACCACACGGTCCATACTTACCCCGTTTGGCTTCCCACGAGTGACCTGGGGGCGAGCCTGAAGCTGAGACAGAGCCAGTGGCTTGAGCTAGTCCAACGCTATTCCCCCATTACGGAGCCATGAGGGGCAGGGATTTGGAAACGTGAGCCAGATCAAGGATGCTCCAGCGCTTGGATGCTTTTCACCCGGGAGCACTTACCCGTGCAACTCCTTCTACTGATTCGCCCGGTTCAGGTTCGATGTCGCCATCACAGCGAATAAGCACGAAGACCCCTCCCTCGGAACCACTTCACCATACACGACAAAGTGGCCGAGACTGTCCAAGGCGAGGTTAGAGCTTGATCAATGTTCGACATCATGATTTGAGCCGTCAAACTTAAATCTTGGGAGGACCTGCGCTGCTCAGCGCAAAATCTATATAAGTTTTGTCCGGCCCCTTGCTTCGAATACCAACTGTCACGATCGATCCGACAATATCGACAGAGGATCTGGTCCACGCAGTCAATCACTTTGCTTACATCTCCACAACATGTCGGACAAATCTCACGATCAGCCGGAGGCGGTTCATGATGAGACTCCAGGGTCCCGGCATGGCGAGCCCATCGTCCACCACTCAGCCTTGCATGAATCCAAGCTTATCAACTTGACGGACGAAGCCAGGCAAGGTGCAGAGATGGAGAAGAACATGTCCCTACGCCAATCTTTACGCCTATACCCCAAGGCAGTCTTTTGGTCTATTGTCTTATCGACTGCGCTGGTCATGGAAGGCTACGACACTCTCCTGCTGGCCAACTTTTATGGACTTCCAACCTTCGCCAAGAAGTATGGTACCCTGGATCCTGCAACAGGAAAATACTCTGTATCTGCCCCTTGGCGGTCCGGTTTATCCAACGGCGCTGCTGTCGGTGAGATTCTTGGTCTTTTCCTGACTGGCCTCGTGTCAGAGCGCATCGGATACCGCAAAACCATTCTGGGAGCTCTCTTCATGATCACGGGTTTCATTTTCATCACCTTTTTTGCCGTGGATGTCAAGATGCTCTTGGTGGGCGAGATTCTGTGCGGTCTTCCCTGGGGAGTGTTCCAGACGATTACTACTGCATATGCGTCTGAGGTGTGCCCCGTCAGTCTGAGAGCCCATCTGACCACGTACAATAATTTATGTTGGGTCATTGGGCACTTCATTGCTTCGGGAGTCTTGCGAGGAATGGTGGGCAACAACACGGCCCAGGCGTATCGAATTCCATTCGGTGTGCAATGGGCCTGGCCGCCCCTCCTGATTGTCGGAGTCTACTTTGCACCCGAGTCACCCTGGTGGTTGGTCCGAAAAGGACGATTGGAGGAAGCCAAACACTCACTCCTCCGACTTACGAGCGCCAACCACCCCGATTTTGACGCTGACAAGACGATTGCGATGATGGCGCATACCAATGAGATTGAGAAGGAAATTTCATCGGGCACCCGTTACGTCGACTGCTTCAAGGGGGTCGATCTTCGACGTACGGAAATCTGCACGGCGGCCTGGGTTGCGCAAAGCATCTGTGGATCAGCCTTCATCGGCTATTCGACTACCTTTTATGAACAGGCTGGTCTTCCCATCGTCGACGCCTTTGACTTATCTCTGGCACTCTATGCTATCGCAGCGGTGGGAACCATGCTTTCCTGGTGGGTCATGACTTTCTTTGGTCGACGAAAGATCTACGTGCTGGGCTTGTCGACCATGTGTGTCATCCTCTTCATCGTCGGTATGCTCGGCATTGCACCGAAGAGCAACAAGTCAGTCTCATGGGCGGTCGGCTCCATGCTGCTCGTTTTCGCCTTTGTTTACGATTCAAGTGTCGGTCCTGTGTGTTATTCCCTAGTCGCCGAAATGTCATCCACCCGACTCCGGGCCAAGACCATCGTCATCGCACGGAACTGTTACAACATCGCCGGTCTGGTGGTGAATGTATTGATCAACTACCAGTTGACCCCAACAGCCTGGAATTGGGGCGCCAAAGCTGGCTTCTTCTGGATGGGGACATGCTTTTTGTGCCTCGTATGGAGCTTTTTCCGGCTTCCCGAGCCCAAAGGCCGCAACTATGCTGAACTTGACATTCTCTTTGAGTCGCGTGTCTCGGCTCGTCACTTTGCACGCACGAAGGTTAATCCATATCAGGTGGAGACGGTGTCTATTGAATCTGCGAAGCCCAAGAGCGAGCCTTTTCCGTGATTCAGCCAACTGATTTATCGCAATTCCCGGATAGGGCTGGAGGAGCCGTCAATGTCAACTATCAATTCGACAGAGCAAAGTTTTTGTATTCAATTCCTTCCAAGCGACTCCTTTGATGATTGAGATTGTATGACCATAATCGATTTAAATTGCACGAATCAAAATTTTTAGAAAAAGACCAGTGATCCCTAATCCTCTTCTTGTACCCGAGGCTTTGTGCTAGTGACACAAAAACCTTAATCATCGTTTAGAAACGGCAGCTCGACGTTTTCGTTCTTCCAATGACGGTCATGAGTGGATTTCTAGGCAATTCAGTGGGCCTCAGCCTCTACTGAAGGATTCATATCCAAGAGAAAAGCGAACGTATATGATCTCGAGTCAGGTACACTTTGAGCATATAGGAGCCGCACGTGCATCATGAATCATGTGAATTGTAGAGCCTAAATAGCCCTGTAAGGCCGGTCCTGCTAGATCCTGAAAGCAATTCGGCACCTTTCAAGTAGGCTGGTACTGGACTTTGCTGACGATTGACAATTCCCCATAATCTAAATTCGGGTGCTTGTGAGACCCTGCAGGCTGTTCTAGATGTGACTTCCGCTAATTTGGAAGCTTCGGCCTTAAATTTTGGAGTCTGCGGGCTACGTCGGTACATTGATGCAGGTGGGGTCTCAGACAAGTGGCTGTCAGCTCGCTTCCATGCGGTTCATCTTCCGAATTGCTATCTACATTCATTTTTCCCAGGATGCCGTCCACAGAAACCTAGGACGATTGACATTTGTTATCTTCGAAAAATGCTATTCGCACTATTCTCTAGAACTTCGGAACGTCTTGTAGCAGGAGAGATGGAACTTGGCGCTCGGACGCAATCTAGACCGCCAACGTTGGCAAAGCCTCAAAGGTACAATGGATTCGATTTGTTGGGGGCCAACACAACGTTCGGATATGTGTAGTTCATCACATTTGTCGACATGCGCTAAGGAGGTCGAAAGTTCTAGACTCGATAGCTCTACCCCGTAAGCCACTAAGTGTCCGAATGTAAACTTTGCCTTGGAGGAATCGCCGTCAGACTTGTCGATGATGTGCAGGACATGAGAACCGTACTTTAGTGGAGATGGCCACAGAAGCCGGTTGACACATGCTTATTCAGAGGCACAACAGAGTTTAGTACACACCCTTCCGTAGGGCGACCGGGTAATCATTTACATTGGAGATAAATCTCGGGAGGTGGGGGTCTTCGCTGGCGGAGGGGGGAAGTGACGGCAAAGATGCAGCCTGAGGACGAAGGGAAGCAAATATCTCGGAACGATAATACCAGGAGTCATCGAGTGGATTTACCGCCATCTAAGCTCACTGAACATATTGACACACAAGAGACTTCAATTGGCTGCCTATCGAGCTCAAACACTTGCTACACACAGCACCGATGCAACAAGCCAGGCCAATTCATTACTCTGCCCATACTTGCGAGACATTTCTCGAGATCAACCCTTGAACACAGTCAAAGCCGGGCCTGGGTTTGGTCGGCGCCAAGTTCTTGCTTGGCCTGCTCCCGTAGAACACGCTTCAAGATTTTCCCACTAGGATTCCGTGGAATAGACGCTAGGAATTTCACGCCGCCCACGAGAGCTTTGAATCGTGCCAACCGCGCAGCAATGTGTTCCTGAACGGCGTGTTCCGTCAAGTTCTGGCTTTGAGGGCCTGGACGACGAACGACGTAGGCTCGTGGCAATTCGGTGTTCGCGCCCGGGAGAGTTACCCCAATGACAGCGGCGTCAACAATCTGTGGATGCGAGAGCAGAACAGCTTCAAGCTCAGCCGGTGCCACCTGGAACCCGCGAACTTTGATCAACTCCTTTTTCCGATCGACAATGTACCATTTGCGAGTTGATACGTCGCAACGAGCAATGTCTCCGGTTTTGAACCATCCGTCTGCGTCAAAGGCGTCAGCATTGGCCTTGGCGTTTTTGTAATATCCAGACGTGACTGTAGGACCTCGGACGCAAAGCTCTCCGCAAACACCAAATTCTGAGATATTGTTGCCCTCTTCGTCGATAAGTCTGAACAAAAGTCAATACAATTGTGTGGCCCACATATAGGATAATCAAGTCCTGACCCCGAAGAAGAAAACACACGGAGCATGTAAAGATACATCTGAGCAATATACTTACTTCGCCTCAAGATTCGGGATCAGCCGTCCCACGGAACCTGTGTCATCGCATTCAGGGTATCGGAACATGGTCGCTATGCAAGAGGTCTCTGTCATTCCCCAGACTTGATTAAAAGGGACATCCTTCCCCAAGAGTGACCGAAATCGAGCCTGGATATCTTTGTCCAAGGGAGCCGCACCACATATAACCATGCGACTCTTTCGAAGGAAGGCTCTCTTGGTGGCGACAGGCGACATCAGTATCGCGATTGCAATCGGTGGGACCATCAGTAGGTCAGTCACGTTATATTTTTCGACGGTCTCGAGATACTGCTGTAGATCGAAACGGCGCAGCACATAAGCAGGTTGGCCTGCTTTTAAGGTGGAAATGTGAGTGGTTGGGGCAGCTGCCGCATGGAAGATTGGAACAGTGACTGCACGAGAGACCTGTGTTACAATGAGAACGGGTTCACAATCTGTTGAACTTTCGCAAACCCCTCTATAGACGTAACTGGAAAGTCACAATCACTTGCACGACTGAGATAACTTACAGGATAAGGCCGTGGATCGACCGCTATGGTCAGCTCATGCTGCGCAACTAGATTGTAATGCGTGATGATCACAGCTTTGGGCAGACCAGTTGTGCCACTACTAAATAATCGGGCAGCAGTCGTGGTCTGAGTACTCTGCAGGTCATTGAACCTGATCCAGTCCTCGTGGCCAAAGTTGAACAGCTCTTTCCAGGACTTGTGACCTGGTGGAATGGACTGGTGGAGATTATCAAAAATCCACAAATTCTCAAGGGGCAATCCTGTCTCTTTGGCGGCGGCAAGAAGAGGAGTCATTATCTCCGGTTCGGTAATCAGAAACTTCGTGTCAGAGGCTCGAATATGGTGAGCGAGCTCTGCGTGAGTATAACCAGGATTTGAACCGGTAAAAACTCCCCCGGCGCCGATGATGGCGAGGACCAAGATGCTGTAGTTGATCTGGAAGGCCACGTTCATCAGCTTCCGCCGATGTTTTGGACACGGTGATAGTCATTTTGCAAACCACTGAGATGAGAAGCAGAAACACGCACATCATTGAATGAGTGTATGAGAACGCAGTCTCCTCGGCGAAGTCCCGCAGCACGTAGCCCTGCAATCAATTGGCGTATAAGGTGCCTAGCTTGATTGCACGAGATCGAGCGTGTCGGGCGATGGGCATCAACGTAAATCTGACCGATATTTGCCAACCATCGATCAGTTTGGAAGCTCTCAACGAAAGACTACTTACTTGGAGCATGGCCTGAGTAGTTCATACCGGCTTGTTTTGGTCATATTGCGGACTGTCAAAAATATACGACAACAAGTCTGTTGTAGGAATCTGGGCTCGTTCGGAAGGCTCAAAGATCATTGTGGAAGGGATCAAGAACCAATAGTCATGCACAAACTTAGGATTAGAAGACTGAAGACCGGAACCAAGGGTTTCTTTTGAAGTGGGACTCTGATCGGTTCTGATATGGACGAGAGGTCACTCGGGCCCGGCTCATCGCGATATAAATAGGAGAGTAGGAGAGACGGATAGACGGAATATAAAAACGCGTCCAGACTGCTGATGCATAGATCTGGCCTATGGAACGAGGCTCAAATAAGCCTTCCACTGCCCCACGATCGACCGAGACACAAAATTGATTGCACATTGTTGGCCTGACTGCGTCTGTCGTGCAGCCAACAGTCAGCCGCCCTTAGGCGTCCAGCGCTTGAGCCCTCATGAACAAAATCACTGCTAATGCAGCCATAAACGGTGCAACCCAAGAGCCAACAGCCAAACGGGTTTATAGTTTAGAGTTGAGCCCGGTCCAACCGTGAGAGTTGGAGACTGCGTTGGGTGAGCCGGAGAGATCGGCGCCAAAATGGGTTTGTTGGTGTGTTGGAAATTCTATCATCTGCCAGGGGGCCTTAGGCGAGATCCGTAGGCCAAAGGAGTCTTCGAGAGAGCGAGACTTCCGACAGCCTTCATGTCTCTCTCAGTACAGACTGTTTCCGATTTCTTGGAAAACAACATCGGGCCACAGGGTGTGACAGGCCCGGCGAAGGCGTCTTTGGAGTGTGGAATCGTGGATGAAAGTTGACGGCCGAGGCTGGAGTTAAATGGGAAAACCCTCAGTTCAGCTCGAATTCCCGTCCCCGGCGGTGGCCCCTACTGCCTCCGCCTCGTACCCTGTGGGAGGCCTTGGAGATGCGTTAATTACGTGCGCCTGCGTCCAAGGCGAAACTGGGTTGTATCTACAAGCATCCATATCCTTCGGGGCAGAAAACTAACTTATGATGAGGCCCATGGCGCTCTTTGGAGCATGTTGCCCTCCCAAAGCCCATTCATCGAGAATTTTCTCAAAAAGCCGATTTTCTTCATTGGATGATGATCATGAAGCTCCATCTTGTCCAGCTGTCATGTCGTTCCAATAGCTCAACCCCACACAAAGAGATAGGAAGAGGTCTGCTGGATATGTACCGGTCCCCTCGCAGGTGTCATCCTCAGAAGCAAAACGAATGTTGCATTCATTTTCCATCTAGTGAGCTATCATGCAAGTGTACCGTCGAGCCAACGTAGCAAGTTTCACAGCCTTATTTGCAACGAGCTGGAGCTTGCAGTAAAGCGTGATTCAAACAACAGTCTATCAGTATTTTGATCTCACAGTGCCGTATGATACTCCGTTGAATTCCAGCTCAAATAGCAGTGACGCCAATTGGGGGGTAAGCTTCAACTCATACTCGATATAGTAGTATTTTATACCTTTGGAATTTTCTCGTATCTCGAAAAGCTCCTTTGGAATTCGGGACAGGTCTGATTCGAGGCGGCACAGCGTCGAGACCCCTTGAAAGCGTCCAGTCAGAATATCGCGATTATCAATCCCGAGCGGGAGGTGTTACTCACTAGAATTGCAGTAACGGGGTGCATCTTCAGCCAAGCAGAATTTCAGTTCGTCTTCGAAACGGTATGATTTGCGAATCGCGGCCCCGAAACCCACGGTGCGATAAAAGGTCAATTTAATAGGCTTGTTCTCGGCAATATCATCGCCCTAATATAACACAAGATTTAGCTGCTGTCGCCGGTGCTTGAATTGCAAACAAATATTCGATCCGCAAACCTTGCCAATAAACCATTGCATCCATCCGTCAACCACCCACTTCTCCTCGAGAGGGTCCCAAAACTTCTCTCGATCAGAATGAACAGATTCATAATACGAAGATTTGCAACTGATTCCATAGTGATATCTCGATTTTCTGTTGTCGATTTGACAGCCGTCAAGCCCTCTGTGAACTGCGCCACTTTCATGGAGATAAGCCATTTTTTCGCGTTCGTGGCTTGAGACCATGATGCACTCACCGCACAATCGCAGACCATCTGCCCGAAGTAACATATCGTCAATTTAAGACAGTCATTGGATCGGGGATTGGCCCACTCACGCATTCTGGGGTTGCAAAACCTGAACCTCGTCAAAAATCTCCTTGACTTGCTCTCGTAGGTAAGCCGAGGCACCCAGACCGCCGACCAGAATGATTGCCTAGCGGAAGTTATTCAGGGTCGCAATTGTCGAGATAAGCCCTTAAAGGGACTTTCTTACCTTCAGGAGATTTCCAGATTTCTCTACCTCCATTTGTTGCTCCGTGATGAGCTCCTGGACTCGTTTAACCACGGGTTGGAAGATGCCTTCCACTTCATGGCTGTAATGCCAGTCAACTTTGTTCTATTCTCGCACCCTTTTTTTTATCTTGACTTACCTCTTGATATTCAGGACTCCATTCTGTAGACCGGCTTCTAGATCATCAGATGCTCCAGGGATAGGAATAGTACCATACCCAACATCAACAAAATCGTCGATCTCATCAGGCCCCTCGAAGTTAGGCTTTATATAGTCTCGCCATCGGCTCATGGCAATCCACTTTGCCTTGTCGGAAAGACGACTGTACTTAGATTCACCGATCTTTTGGCGAATGAAAGTTTCAAAGTAATGGTCCAAGGCCATGGAGCCACAAACATCACCTGAAGTACTTCAGTTATTTCTGGCGTGTTGACGTACAACGAATGAGTACCCACCTGTTCCTTCAGTGACCTCCACGAGTCTGAGAGGGTCAGTCTGTGTGATACGATACGTAATCAGGTCCTGAGCATTGTCAATTAACATTGTCACGTCGGAAACATGTAGGCCCTTTCAACGTACCACAGTTCCTCCTCCAGCGTCGCACACGATTATACAGTCGTCTCTCTGTTTTTTTCTTCGGTTAGTGTGTTACCACGGTCAGTCATCCGCGTTTCCAGCCCCGAGTGACTTACGGTCAAGTTGTTTGGCTGAATTGTCTGTATGGCGTAGACTGCAGCTGCCTCGGGCTCTGAAATGAGATACAAGTCTTTCTGAGCGATACCAGCTCGACAAGCGATTTGCATCGTGGCATCCTTGGCTTTGTCGGACCAGATAGCCGGCACAGTCATGAAGAATTGCAGATCAATACCTTCAAGGGCAGACCCAAATCGGTGATGCAGAACGCTCTTGGAGTGATCCACAAGTTTCTGAACGTAGTCACCGGCTGCACCGATCGCGTCCTTGCCCATGTACTTAAGAGCCTCAGCAGCAGTGATAGATGGGCTGAAGAAGTATCTTTTTTGATCGTCTAGCAAGAGCTTGACGCCATGGATTGCTTCGGGTGCATTGTTCACTTGATAGCCCCAGTGAAGGTTCTTATCTTTGTAGACGAGAACTGAAGGAACCTTCTGTGAGGTAGCTGAGTTCAGCTGTCAGTTACACGTATCACTCGAATTTCTTGTGAGGAATTAGGTCTACCATTTCCCCCACCGGGCCACTTTTCGATCACCTCCACATCGGAGGAGCTGTCTTGGAGTGCCCAAGCCACCCTGTTCGTGTCAGCAATAAGTCGAGCCTGGAAGTCATTCATGGAGGGAATTCAAGCCATGCATACCCACTATATGTGGTTCCATAATCGATACCAACGATTATTTTGGGCTTTCCCTGTATGTCAGTCATCTCGGCAGTGACTGATGATCGTCTGGAGTAGGGTAGTAGGGGACCTCTGAACAATGAGTCCAAGACAAGTGATAGCACAGAGAAAGTCAATCTTCTCTGATGGATGCCCAGCAGGGAAAGAGGATTAATAATGTATCCGCATGAGTCCATAGAAACGGTCGACCTTTAGCGTTAACCACATCATTAAACGTAATCCATTTGGCGCCAACGCCAAAAGGAGCCTGTGATGACGAGAACATTAGCCAAGCTTCAGATTGGCGTTGACCAAACATAAGCTTCCTCGCTTTCAATTTCGAGTAGCCTAAATACTGCGTTCAACCATCTTTTGCAGAAATACTGACTTGTTCGACTTGATGAGCTTCATCGTTGAGTTCTTGGATAACGCGGCCCGCTTCCTGAGTGTGGTTTTCAAAATGGAGAACGTCCCTTGCGACGGGGAGCCAAACCGGCCGAGAGAGATTGACCCCCGCAAAACACCCACCTGCAGGTGCAAAACACGCTCAAAGAACCTGGAGCGAGTCAACGCCATTTTGCGAAAGAAATTGCATGAGACTGAAGCTTCATTGAAAATCTCACAGGATGCCCAGCTGACCTGGGCAGAGAAGACTCAGCAACAAGAGGAGCAGCTCAAGAAAGCCCGACTCCTTGAAGCAGAGAATAGTCGCCGATTCGAAAAAGATCTCGAAAAAGTACGCCTCGTTGAAGCAGAGAAAACCAGGCGGCTAAAGGAGCAGCTCGAGCAAGCCAGTGATGCAGCTGCTAAGGCGAACAAGCAACTTGTCCAGTGTTTGAAAAAGGTCAATGAGTTGCAGAGACGAACTGAGTCTGTCGATGAGAATCAAATTATTGACCGAATGCGGAGTCTGTTTCGAAAGTCTGAGACTTGGACGACACGACACTTTCCACCCAAGAGCGAGAGGTCCGCCATGGACGGAAATACAGACAACAGTAATGAACGCAATCTCGGCCTTGATCAGAACTGGCTTCCAGATCCTCAGTATATTCAGGCTGTGCTATCGTCTGCGATTTGGTTCCATATATTTTCAAAACCAATGATAGGGGCGCCGGATGAATTGGGGGGCCACTTGAGTAGACTCGAGATTGAAGTCGAGAGATCCTGTGAGACTGCCCCAAATCCCGAAAATATGCCGAGTGCTAAGATGTTATATTCAGTCCCTTCCCACATATGGCAACACTGGCGCAGTGCAACGAGCCAAAGCTTGGCCAACATAAATCCAGCGAGTGGCGATAAAGCTTGCAGCGCCATACTGCAGTACATGGAGGAAACATGTTCAGACCACTCCGTGTCCAGTCAGAACTTCAGGGTCTCACAGCTCGAAGATCTACTTACCGCTTGTATCGATTTCAAGAAGCAGCTTGAAAGACAAGAAACCATCTATCGCTTCGAGCATAGTTACCCAGACACGCCATTCTGCGAGTGGTACATGCGAAGCCACAATGGGACTTCTCCCGTCAACTCGTTTGTTTGCAGGTCATTGTGGCCAGGTCTCTACAAGGTCACGTCTGAAAAAACGCCAATCATGATCGAAAAACAACTTGTGGAGCTTGCTGAGGTATAATCTCTACCACTCGATGATACACTGAAGCCTCAATTCAGTTATAGCTGAAGTATTTCCCTTTGTTTCGAAAAGATGAAGCATACCTATGCTCTTTCGACGTTCAACCTAACCTTTACCTTACTAATATCATATTGACTTTTTTTAACTCATGGACTGACGCGAGAAAATGCTAGAATATGAAACATGGGTTCTTTCAATTTACATGAATCTGTCTGGCTGGGCTAATCTGATACTGCGTGTTGACTGTATCTCGAAGTGAAAAGGAAATTAAATTGGGCACGAAGAAAATCAAGGAGAAAAGAAAACACTCTTCACCAATCAAACTCCGTTAGCAAAGCCATCACCTCCAGCCTCGGTATCTACCTTCATAGATTCAGACAGACCACAAACCTCGAACAATTTGCGAGGGGAAAGACCTTCGGGGGTTCCAACAACACCCTCGGTCAACAAGCGCTGGAAAGAATCACGAATTCCCAAGTAAGCAGGTGCAAGAGAAGCAAAGGAGAAGATCATGATGCGGAATCCCATCTCTTGGGCCTCTTTGGTGGTGATGATGGGGGTAGCACCATTCTCTACCATGTTGAGCAAGAGGGGCCAAGGAGCGAGATCTTGCACCGCTTGGCGTGCCTGCTCCTTGGATGTGAATCCCTCAAGGAGACCGACGTCAGCTCCAAGATCCCTCGCAGCCTTGAGGCGCTCAATACACTCCTCGTATCCGTGTTGCTGGAGGGCATCAGTGCGGGCAATGAGGACAATGTCCGAGTGCAGACGTTCTTTGGTCTGCTTGGCCGCGCGAATGCGAGTCATGTATTCCTCGCGGCCCACGACCTTCTTGCCTGCGAGATGGCCACAACGTTTGTTCTGAATTTGGTCTTCAATGTGGAAACCGGCGACACCAGCCTGGATATATTGTTGGACGGACTTGGATACCATGAGGGGACCTTTAAAAATCATGTCATCTCAGTACACGCTACAATAATCCTCGGAGAACTGCGTATGCTTTCTGCTTACCTCCGTATCCAGTGTCCATATCAGCGATGAGGGGGGGTCCGAAGGGATCAAGGTTGGCAATCATCTCTGCATTGGTGCGCATGTCGTGAAGCTGGGCCAGGCCAAGATCAGCCATTCCGAGTCTGGAAGCAGTGGTTCCTGCACCGGTCTTTGAAAATTCAGTATCAGTACAACACTCTCGACGACCTGTCGCGTAGTGGGGATCAATATTCATACCATGTACATGGCTTTGAAGCCGAGCTCCATCGCAATACGCGCAGACAGACCATCGTAGACTCCAGGACACACAATCAGCTCCTTGGAGTCCTTCAACATGCGGCGCAACTTGGATGCGGCGGGAATGACATATAAGGAAACATTTGGCTCTTGACGAGTGCCGTTGACCTCGTAGAAGCCATCCTTCTCCACGGTGATAGTGATAGTCATGATTGTGATGGAAGTGTTTAGAGGGATGACAGTGAAATTATTGGAGTGGAAGTATGAGAGAGAAGAAGAGAGAATAATATAGTAGATGAGTGATTCTGATTGTCAGAGATGATGATGCTCAAGTTGCTACGTCGTTCTCGGGCTACTTATACTTTCGCCATCTTCTCCGAAAGCACCCAAGACTACATCAATAGCCCTGAGTGATTCAGGTCGGATTGGATTACTCCGATTCGAAGGCGTTATCGTCGTCGATCAATCGCGAACTGTGAGTGAATTTCTCTAGGGTTGCAACATCTGACCATGCGCCAAGATACGAATGTATCGATTGTATTTTCTTGGGTTGTACTGTCCTGCAAACAGGGGCCGAACGCTGGCCGAATGATCTCTTCGATGCATTTGGTACATCAACAAAGCTAATACTTGACAAGACTACCACTGAGTCGGCGGTGCGTCATGCCCGATAAGAACAAGCCATCTGCGGAACGGCGCGACGGCACGAAACTGGAAGAAGAGAGCCCGCAAACCTTAACCGCGATAAATCAGGGCTCGTCCAATCGGGAAAAAGGAAGAAGGGGTCTGATAAGATGGTCACTTCTTCAGCCTACGGGGCATGAGCCCGAGAGGATCAGCGTCGGAACAGCCATCGGCCTGAAGGGTCCTGGCAACGGCAAGCGAAAGCGCAGACGCTAGTAGGGAATAATCTCACTTGCATCTGCAATGCTTTCAAGTGCATCGAAGGGGGCAGTGCACAGCAAGCGACAAAATCACCGACTCGGCAGCAGACTTCGTCGACCACGGTCCGCCGAGCTGCCGTAACCAATCTATGATCCAGAACCTCAACGGCCACTTGTAAGAAGAGGGCATATCAACGTGGTATTTTTTGCATTGGGAAACATCTCACAAAAGGTACAAATTTATGTCCCCATTGATTTGTTTGGTTCTTGCAAGTGGATCCGGAGGGTGAGATTGGCCATCACCAGGCCTCAGCTCTCTCCCCTTGAAGATCCAAGACGGTCCACATTGGCGTCTCCATTATCGGGGAGCCCCGACCAGCATTTAGTTCGGGTGTAAAATCGGGTGTAAAATGATCACCGTTGCCAAGCCACACTTTCATCTTCTGGCCGCGCATTTTATCCAAATTGAATCAGGAGGGAAGTGACAATCTTCAGTCGAATGATGGTGGATCTCTCGGGACGAAACGTCGAGGCTGGCGGCGCCAAGCGGCTCGGCATCACAATCGCATCCCGCCGAGGTTGTCTTGGCCCCGAGGACTTGGTTGCATTCATCCGGTCCGCGGAGAGGAGGGTACAACCAAGACGGATGATAGAAAGACACAGAATTGCCATAAGCCCAGGGTGTGCATATGGGTGGAGTCTGAAGATGTCGCTGATTCTGCAGGATGCAACCCAATGCCCAATAAAGGGTCCAAGCTAAGTTCAATACTCAGGTGAGGATCAGCTCCTGATCCTGGATAGGTAGAAAATCAGGGTCAGTTTACCCCCCTGTTTTTCTTCTTGCAGCTGTACCAGTCGCTAGCCCCTCGTGGGGGTCTGTTTGGACTTGACAGTCCAGAATTATCAAGCCAAGCGCCAGATGCAGCTCCGTGTCAGCGTGCAGAATGCCCGAAATGAAGTCAGAGGGGCCATTCGAATCTGAAAGAAAGGAATTAGTGAGAACGGTACTTCGATAAGCCCAATGAGACCGCAATGACCCATTCACATATTTTCAGACACTTTCTGGCCGCCCGCGAAGGAAACAGATGTTTTTTTTTTCTTCTTCGTGATCACTTTTCCATCTTTGCTGTTGCTAGATCATATCCATCATCCTGTGTGACACCGAAAAACATGGGACAGCAGAAGAAGAACCTCTCGGGGCTCTCTACCTTTCTCAAGAACGAGGTAGATCCACGCCGTGCCGATCTGCTGTTATTCACTTGCTGTCTGTGTTCTGGTCTCGTGGACAGTACAATATACAAGGGTGCCGACCCCATGAACTTCTTGCGCAACCGGAACGGCAATTGAACTAACAATTCCCGCCAGCGTACAACACCTTCGTGTCTATGCAGACCGGTATGTCTCTTGTGTCATGATTCAAAGACGGTGCTTGTGATTGAGAGTGACTGTGGTCAAAGGCTAACGTTTCTGTGCGACCTCATCGGGCAGGAAACACGATTTTCGTGGGACTGGGAGCATCTAATCAGAACCCGCGTCCATTTGGATGGGCACGCTCCTTGACCTCGATCGGCTGTTTCGTTATTGGCTGCTTCCTCTTTGCTCGACTGAATCGCATTATGGGCGCTCAGCGTCGAGGATCCCTCATGCTATCGTTCTTCATCCAGGCCTCATTGGTCATTGTGACCGCCGCTCTCGTCCAGGCCGGGGCGGTATCTAGTGCCATTGACGACAACTCAGCGAATCCCATTGTCCGATGGGACCAAGAAGTTCCAATTGTGCTTCTGAGTATCCAGTCAGCCGGGCAGATTGTGGCCAGCCGCACTTTGGGATACAATGAGATTCCGACCGTTGTGATTACGAGTCTTCTTTGTGATCTGATGTCTGATCCCAAACTCTTCCTGCTGCGCAATGAAAAGCGCGACCGTCGGATCATTGCTTTTGTTCTGACGATGGTTGGCGCTATTGTCGGGGGGTGGGTCACGAAGTCAACGGGGAATATCGCACCCATTCTTTGGCTGGCGGCAGGCATCAAGTACAGCGTGGCGCTGGCGTGGGGATTTTGGAGGGTCAAAGCCTAAAAGCCTGGGGAGAACGTCCGCCATGGAGATAGAAAGAGATCGGATAGACGGAGAATAGCTGGAATCAATTGGAATGTTTTGATGCATCGTTCCCAGCGCTGTTTGCGACTGCAAAAGTCACCCCCACTCCTCCAGCATATCATCATCATCATCATCAACAACACACCACTTCCAGCAGTAGAGCCAAGACTGCCTAGGCTGGGCATCCCGTCACTAAGCAGACGGGCCGAGATTGGGCGGGAGGGAAGCGGAAAATAGAGGATGAATGTCGATCACCTACCGATTTAGGCTATGAGTATCCTGAAGATCTCGGCAGTCAAACTGCTTTGAAACATGGTTATCAGCGGGTGTCAGATCATCGTGGTGATTGTAGATTAGAGAAGGGCGAGATGTCACATACCGGTTCAATAGCCACAAGTCTCACGACAACTGAATCGTCTTCCTACAAACAACATCTTCTCCCATCGCCACGCGTTCTGCGTCGCATCGTGTTGCCTTGGTTTCTGTTGGCCGGGCTTCTCCACAAAATCAACAAACCTCGCCAAACATGGGAGCCCACCGGGTCTGTCCACCTAAGATACGTGAGGTCCACGCAGACATGCACTGTGCAGCCACACCATCGGTGGTTCTCATGATGATGCGCCAAGTCCCAGATCTGGTGTCATCCATGATAAGTGCTGACTGGTATCTGACCCGTGCGAGATCGAGCCGACGGTGCCTTGACGTCAGTCTCCAAATCAGCGCCAGCAAGGTTTCGGCCCCAGTTAAGCCGGGCGCGTAACACTTCACACACGTGTTGTGCTTATCGAATCGCTCTGTGGTTAAGATCAGATCCCAACTGCCAAGGTGTGTTGAAGTCCTGGACCGACCATCATGGTATACTCGGTGATATTGGACCCTGGGTACCCTGCGTGGTGGTCATCTTGCGGGCCCGTCCGCGTCCTCGTTGGTGAAAGATGTCTGGGCGCTGCCGCGCGAGTCACGATGACTGACTGGTATCTCTGACCGGATACATTGTGTGATTGGTGCCATGTCAAGGTTCTCCCGGATTTATGAGTAGTCACGACTCACTAGTCACGTCGGTCTCATGATTCGATCTTTTCCCCGCCAAAGTGGACTTGAATGCCCGCTGCACACTGGCACTCCCGTAGGTGTCGGTGACAAGGGATCGAATCGGTTCTTAGGTCTCTCCTGTGGAGGCGCTCTTTGTGTTCGGCAGAGAGGAGAGCCCTCAAGTAGCCCCATCAGGTCAACGCATACAAGAATCTGCAACTTGTATGTCCTGAACTGCTACAGCGATCCGGCCTGCCCATCTGCCCACTCCACGCAGTCGAGGTGCGTTCCGTGATTACAGATAATTGACCAAAAGGAAATTCTGCCTGTGAGCAATTCAAGCTCGGCGATGACCGAAGACTTGTAAGCACTGATTGCAATGCTTTTCTGGCACGGTCCGTCTTCCCGAACCCTGATTTCAGGGTTTCGGGGCATGAAGCTGACATGCAGGTTGACTGTCTCTTCTGGGTCAGTTAAAGCAGTCCATAATGGCTTCGTGTAAGGGAATCTGGAGTTGCTCAGCCAAATAGGCTCGTGTTGGCCGTTCTCGGATGTTCCGGGAAATTTCCGACACCCGGAGCTAATCATGATCACGATTTGAGCATTGATCATAGTTCTGCTTCTGAATCTCGGGAAGACGCTTCTGGTTCTGCAACGCTGCAAGATTGTGCCAGCGACCTGACCGGACTGGTGGCGTCAGATGGAGTGTTTGCGAGACGGCCCCTCGAGCCCAGAGGCGACCTCACGATTGGGGTGGACCCGCAGGCGTGGGTTTCGGTGGGGATTGTTGTTTCAGGCCGCTCCTTGGAAAGACCCGTCATTATTATTCCCAGAACGAGACTGCAGAAGAAGACAACGGTGTCTCGTTGACTGATCTAGACTAGTGAAGGCGGAGAATATCAATCGCCCGGTAGGTAGCTAAATTGCTGACGAAGATCATCACTTTTGAGTCGTGTTTGAGGTGAAGCCCCTGCTCACCATCCAACCAGGTATTTTCGCGACGGGTCCTATACCTTTCGCCATTTGCATGGCAACAGATTCGGCAGGCACTGTCTGGTCTACCACACAGCAACAGCTTAAAACGCCTGCTTACAGACTCAACCAGGTACTATTTCGCTTCCACCCACATTGATTGAGATCGTGTACCACGCTGGCATGCAGTGGTTGCTGGCATCATCTCGCTCCCGCTTTTCCACAAGTCCACAGTCCACACTTAATGACCACCCCTCGTCTGCAGCTCGAGATGTTTCACTCGTGATTTCTGCTCCCATCCTGCGAATTCGTCGCCATGTGGTCGCTCCGTTCTTGGTCCTCGCGGAGATTTCATTCGGGATTTTTCATCAATAAGGCAAAAACCCGGATCCTACGCTGATAATGGTATTTCTCCGTTGCGGGGCTTCTGTTCAGGGATGATCGCCACGATGAGCAAACTGCCGCAAGTTGTGGAAAGAGAGCAAGAGCTCCCGTCTCCGCAGGTGAATTCCCAGTCTCGCCGTATTCGAGACAGATCGAAGGCTGAAAACGCGAGTGAAATGGGAGCCTACAGGCTGAATTATAAAGCTCGGATCGCTTTCGTGAGATGAGGTTCCATTTAAAAGCACACTGCGGGCCCACGACCCGTCGCCGTTGTTGATATCCATTCGAGTGATTCTGGAATCTCTTGCGTACCGCCACCTTACGATCAATCAGGTCGACCCTTTTTTCTGTTGGAATACACACTCTTTCTGTCACTGGACTCTGGTGGTACCAACAGCCATGCTCTCCAAGCAACAGTTTTGGCCGTGGGCCTGCACGTTGCTTTCCTTGAGCACTTTCGGGAACGTGGCCAAAGCAGATAATCCGATCGTGCAGGACATTTATACTGCAGACCCGGCTCCAGTCGTCTACAATGATCGTATCTACGTGTTCACGGGCCACGACAACAACGGTGCCACATTCTACGACATGACGGACTGGCGTCTCATCTCATCCGCTGATGCCGTGAATTGGCAGCATCACGGCTCCCCCATGAGCCTCACCACTTTCAAGTGGGCCAATGCGAATGCATGGGCAGGCCAAGTGATCGAGCGCAACGGCAAGTTCTACTACTATGCTCCCGTCCGACACTCCACAGGCGCCATGGCAATCGGCGTGGCTGTGAGCAACAGCATCACCGGGCCGTACACGGATGCGTTGGGCAAGCCACTGGTGGAAAATAACGAAATCGATCCCACCGTTTGGATCGACGACAATGGACAAGCCTACTTGTATTGGGGTAATCCAGGCTTGTACTACGTGAAACTAAACGCGGATATGATTTCCTACAGCGGTGGAGTCAACCAGGTCTCCCTGACCACTGCTGGCTTTGGCACGCGGACAGGGAACGCCCAGCGGCCCACGACCTTTGAGGAAGGCCCTTGGCTCTACAAACGCAACGGTCTTTACTACATGATCTACGCCGCCGACTGCTGCTCGGAGGACATCCGTTACTCAACGGGACCTACAGCCACCGGACCCTGGACGTACAGAGGCGTCATCATGCCGAGCCAAGGTCGCAGTTTCACCAACCATCCTGGCATCATCGACTTCAAGGGAAACTCGTACTTTTTCTATCACAATGGCGCCCTCCCCGGCGGTGGTGGCTACGCTAGATCCGTCGCCGTGGAAAGCTTCACCTATCGTAGTGATGGCACAATTCCTCAAATCGACATGACCACCAACGGGCCAGCCCAAATCGGAACTCTCAACCCCTATGTCCGACAAGAAGCCGAGACTATCGCCTGGTCCTCGGGTATCCAAATTGAGACCTGCAGCGAGGGCGGATACAGCGTCGGCTACATCAAGAGTGGCTCCTACATCAAGGTCAAGGGTGTCAACTTCGGCAATGGTGCCAAGACCTTCACAGCACGTGTGGCCTCGGCCGGTAATGGTGGTGACATCCAGGTACGCTTAGATAGTCAGAGTGGTTCCATTGTTGCTACTTGTACCGTGCGCAATACTGGTGGTTGGCAATCGTGGGCCAGCGTGAGTTGTCCCGTGAGTAACGCCAACGGGGTCCATGATGTCTACTTTGTCTATTCCAGCAGCGACAAGAACTCGTATCTGTTCAACGTCAACTGGTGGCAATTTGCCTAGACGTTTCAGTGATGTTGACATTGACAAAAGTCGAAGGTCTTCAACAATTGCTTCTTACTTCTTCATATTAGGAGACAACCGTCTGGGCCTTTGTTTATTAGCCCGGAGAATGCCAGTGTCTCTTAATCGATAGCGATTTCAAATCCAGTCGCAGATTTGATCCTGAGATTGCTCGTATTCATCTTTCTTGGAGATTTGAAGGGTTTTCTGCTTAGAGAAGAGATTCCGTGTCATAAAAATAGTTGCCTGTCATTCGTGGTTTTGGTAAGACAGCCAGTCCGTCGACACCAACACGGATGTTGAAATAGATCGACGGCCCTCGTACTTGACTCGTCTGGAATAGCTAAGACCAGACACCCAGCGACTTGCCCTCTGGGGACATGTCGGATCTGACCGGTCTTCAGTCCATGTCAATCATTTTCGGGGGCACTTTGGGTAGTATACCTCTACTCCAGCGTGATAAATCATTGACCCTTTCTGCTCCGACCGACCCTCTCTCCCTGCAATGCCCTGACCTGACTGCCTAGCCGTTCCGCCCCGCTTGATCAGAGATTCGTAGACACTGCCTAGGCGGAATAGTCCCGACGGGAAGGAAACATACTCTTGGCTGGAATAGTTCCTCATCCTTCGGTTCGTCTGGAGCGTATTTGACGAACATCTTTGAATGGAGGGGAAGACGATTTCCTCCACTGGTGTTTGCAGTCCTTTCCACTTCCCATGTGGCTTTATGTCCAGTGCATTCCCATGACCCGGGTGCTCATCTTGCACAGCGGTCGTTTCATCTGCTTCAATGCCAAGGTCAGCAATGCTTGCTCATCTCCGAAGAGCATGCCAACAAAAGCGAAACAGTCTAGAGCACAAACGACTAGGGCGACCGCCTCCGCCAGGAGGCATCACTAATTGGCTCGAGAGGATCGACTTCGCTAAAGCCACACAAGCTTCTTCAGCAACACTCACCGGGCGGAGAATCCACCGGTGTTGACGGGCCATGCCAGGGTAGCTCTTGTCTGATTGAAGGAAATTTCCACCCCTGTCTCTTCGTTTGGAGTTTTGCCAAGATCTTCTGCAACAGATTGATACAAGTGCATGCTTGGTACGGCTGCAGATGCATGCACCCCGCAAAGGAGAGACCCTTCACGCGCTCAATCCGGGGTAGCTTTTGATCCTTGAATCACTCACATCGTTGTGCTTTGCTTGGGAATCTGACTCGGGACTTGGGTGTTGGAAACGATGCGCATGACCGTACCACGAATGAACCAAAGCCCTACATGAAATACATGCCCTAACAACTTGTTTGTCAAGAGGACTTGCTCTCGGCTATGGTGGAAAAATTGGCAACCGCCGAAGCATCACAGGTCGTCACAGACAGATGTGAGGTCCGGAGATCGACGACAATGTGAACTGTTCATGGAAACTTGAGAAAAATGTAATCCCCCGACCAGTTTTCGGGGCGCTCCTTGATGAAAGAATTGGTTCACAGGAGGTTTCGTCGTCTCGATGAGTGAGGCTGTCTCTACTATGAGAGACCGGTTCCAGATATGAAATTATCCAAGAACATGCCAAGGAGTCGCAAGTACAAAAGGCAACAGAATCCTTCAACAAAACACTCAACTCATCAAAATCGACTTTCCTTTCTTTTCAGAGGCAGCGACAGGTTACTTCTCAGCGCATTAATCTCCACCTTTTTAACTTCACCTACAAAATGGTTCGCCGTTGCTCTGGCAAGGTGTCTCTCCGGAGCAGTCCTTGCCGCGCCGACAGCGACCAGTGACAACTTGATTGTCAAGCGTGCTGGAATCAAGGATGTCAGTCTTAAAGTCCCAACCTCTCCGCATAATCCAACAAGTACCCTCGTTCAACTTGAGATGCTGACTCTGACTCGGTCAAAACAAGGCTGCAACCGGTTTTGCAAGCCAGAACGGTGGGACAACTGGTGGCGCCGGCGGCACCACCACCACCACTACCACTGTCTCTTCTTATGCTGCCTTTACGGCGGCAGTCAAGGAAGACGCGAAGAAAGTGCTATTTGTGTCTGGAACAATCACTCAGACTGCGGATCAAGCCCGGGTCGGAAGCAACACCAGCATCATCGGCAAGGACTCCAACGCAAAGCTGGTCAACTTTGGCGTGTAAGTGAGCAGTACTGAATTCAACCTTTGCTGTCCTGGAATGACCAGCCACGGCTAGCTAGTTATACCCTTTGTCTAGCCTTGTCAAGGGCGTTTCAAATGTCATCATTCGCAACTTGGATATCTCCCAAGGTCCTAGCTGCCAATGGTGATGCGATTGGCATCCGTAAATACTACAATACCCTGACCCCGTGAAGGCCGGGGGAACTCACTTGGCTTATCGCCAATGATTCGCATCAGAGAAATCGACCAACGTGTGGGTTGACCACTGTGATGTCTCTTCTGATAGAGAACACAATAAGGACTACTACGATGGTCTGATTGACGTAAGTAGTTCTGGTCTCTTGACTTGTCACCTTGCTGTTTGTCGAAAGCATACTAAATCCCGCGATCGGATCACCCACGCCGCAGACTATGTCACGGTCTCTAACAGCTACATCCACGACCACTGGAAAGCATCCTTGATCGGCCACTCGGACAAGAACGGCGCCGAAGATACAGGCCACCTCCACCTTACCCAGAACAACAACCACTGGAAGAACATCCACTCCCGGACTCCACCCATCCGGTTTGGCACCGGCCACATCTACAAGAGCTACTCTGAAGTTGACGACAGCATCAACACCCGCGATGCCGCGCAGGTTCTCGTCGAGTCTAACGTGTTCAGCGGCTCAACCAAGCCTCTCTACTCAACTGATGCCGGCTATGCATTTGAGAGGGACAACGACTTTGGAGCCGGTGCGAACGCGGCCTTGGCCGGCACGCTCAAGTCTGTGCCTTATTCTTATTCGCTGCTTGGATCGAAGAATGTCGAGAGTGTGGTTGTCGGCTCTGCTGGTCAGACTTTGAAGTTCTGAGGTAAATGCAATGTCGAGCGGATCAGGAGGATGACCAGGAAGGGAAGCGGGCTGTATGTGGAGGACAGTAGGGTCAATGTCAACGGAGTATGAGTCTCAGGGTCACAATTTCAGGCACACGCAATTGACCGATAAGGTCACACTACTAGTACGGAGTACCGTGTCTAGTCTGAGATTGTTTCTTATCCAAATAAATCTTACTCTTCAAAGAGGTGATCAGGAGTTCTACACAAAGACTAGAGGTCTTACATGTCCAGGTGCAGTGCCAATACCTTCGAAACTCTGTGACCATCTAAGACGAGTCTTCTCCGTGTCCCAAAGGCAAAGCTTTGTCATCTGACATGTTTTGGTCACTCCACTGCACGTAGTACTTCATCATTATTCAATTCCAAGGGGTATATATCCAAATTAGGTAAGTATCCTGCTTGAATCCAAAACAAGTCTCTCCCGGAAATGCGCCTCGTCGGCTTGACCATATCCAACCCGGTTATCGCTGATTCGTCACACCTTTTCCTCCCTCAGAAACGAGTTCAACGACACCATGTCCTCACTCGGTGTGGGAGTCGGGAGCAAGACCTTTGTAGCATCGAATTCCCACGCAGATTCCCGCTTTTCACGACGATTGCGAATCTGAAACGGCATCATCCATTCCTTCAGTCGACTCTCTAAGAATCCCATGTCACGATTTCGATCCCACATCCGCCTTGATTCTTTAAAAGCACTTTCCACCGTCTCTCGGCGAAGTCGCTCGTATGCTTCAAAGACCTCTGTCAGCGGTTCCTGGTAGTATCGAGAGAGAATGCGAGCGAAGAGGATCGCATCGTCCAATGCGTATGCGGCAGATTCGTCTCGGGGTGGCATCTGGTGGTGGGAAACATTAGCGAAATGATCAGGAATGATGATGTTGAACACGTCTCTACCCCTGAGAAGCTACTCACCGCATGTGCTGCGTCTCCCAACAAAATGACGCGATTCATGCACCAGCGACTCCCTGGTTGCACCTGGTATACTGGATAAAGCATCCAGTCTGCCTTGCTATCTACCATCTCGCGGATGCAAGGCAGGGCCGACTTGGCGAATCGCTCCCGCATCTCGTTCCGTAAGTCTCGACGGATTCGATCCTTCGAAGCCCAATCCTGTCCGGAGTCCAGGCGGTAGTTGCTCAGCTCTGCTTCATCGAATTGCACGATTGCCGCAGCAAAGATCTGTTCGTGATCGGAGTCGATAAAACTCGTCAGCAACGAGCCATGACGCGAGACGTTGAGAGCTGAGGATCTGAAATGTATTTTGGACGAGAGACTCTTGGTCGGGATGGTCGCTTGAAGAAAGGACATGCCCGTGTACTGAGATACACTGTCGGGATCAACCCAGCGGGTGCGCACGGCCGAGTGCACCCCGTCACAGCCGACCACCAGATCCGAGATGACCTCGGTGCCATCACTGAAATGCAGAACCGCCTTTTCATTGATTTCCTCTCCACCCAGCACCTTCTTACCAAAGACCACCTCCACATTAGGCGTGCGCTCAATGACCGCCATCATCGCCATGGAGAGAACGATCCGCATGACACGGCGGCCCTTGTATCCTCCAAACCCATTCCCCTTTTGATCCACAAAGTCGATGGACCCAATAGGTCGACCGGAGCGCATCGAGAACAGTTCAATGGCTTCCACGTCCGCGCCACCTTCGGATCCCATGCGGTCCAGCTCGTCGAGCACCCCCAGTTGTGCGAGATGTCGTTGTGCGACCGGTGTGAGATTGATGGCGCCTCCAGATGTCGACAGAATATCATGGCGCTCGTAGATGGTGATTTGGAGGTCGGGTACCAAGGGTGTGAGTTCTCGTGAAAGTGAGAGTGCACAGGCAATGCCCGCAATGCCCGCACCGACGATGGCGATGTCGCGAGGGGGAGTGAGAGCGCTCATCGTTGCGTTTCGTCTTGGAGAATGTTCTGGTGGTTGTGCAAGTATAAGAGTTGTCCTCGTAGGGAGCCCTTATCTGGGAGAGAATGATCGGCCAGTCGGGATCTCTTGGACACGGTCCGCGACAGCCCAATGTCGAGATTTTGTAGCGTCTGCCCCACGCGGACAGGGACGGGGGAGGTCGTTGGCAGTGTCAATCGACACGGTCGAACCGCTTGGGCTCAGAATCGGTTTGCTCGCGTGAACACACTGCGTTCGAGCCCTCCAGAGTGTTCGCGTCCTCAAGAGTCCGAGAAAGAGACCAGCCGGGAACGCACTGAGGAGAGCACGGAGAATGATCAATCGGCAAAGCCCACGGAGGTGGGGGTGTGAGATAAAAATCGTGTGAAGAAATCTGCACCGTGCTGTGTCGGCTCTTGATAAGGATTTTCTCTCCTCCGGTCTCTAAGGAGGACCTAGACCGGCTTCCAGACTTCCAGACTTCCAGACTTCCAGACATCCCCACGTCAACGCAGCTCTGACCCTTGGGCCTGAATATCTGGTCCAAACCCCTCGTCCATGACGAGGCAACACCGGCTTGACTCTTCGAATCGAATCACAGGCGCCATCCGCTCGGCCGGAGAAGGGCGATCGTTCGGCATTTGCTTATTGAAGAAGTATCTCCCCCCAAAAAAGGGTGTGACAGCGCCACGTCCCGTGGAACCAAACCCCCGAGTGGATCCGGTCTGATCGCCAGGAAAACGGGGAAAAAAAAAAAAAAAAAAAAAAAAAAAAACAGATTTCCACAGTCCGAAGGATGAATTGAGTTGATGGGGGGATGGCTTGGAGTTCAGAGGCTGACAGCCATGCAAAGCTCTGTTTCAGTCGAGCCGATCGAATGCTCCTGCCTGAATAGTTTCGACGAAAGTACCAAGAACAGTATGACAGGTCTGTTTTCCCTGGCACCAAATTACATTTCCAGCGAGCATGGGTTCCATTGATCATGGCCAGCGGCCTTTGGATAGCTCATCTCTGCTGTGGTGGCGGTGCACCGGTATCCTCAAGACTCTCTCGCCAGCGCACCCCAGACCGAGATGACCGTAATCGAGCCCATTTGCAGTCCTTTCCTTTTGCCGCTTTGACGACTACGGCAGAGATCCGATTGTCCCGTTGCCAAGTTTGCTGTCGACATGTCTCCGTCGGCAGACGCATCCCACGAGTCGCGGCGCACTCTGCCGAGAGCCAGAGACACTCTCGACCTGTCAAATCGTGTCATCAAAGGTGAGTGCTGCATTCACCCCCAAAACTCGGGGTCTGTGAGTCCCCACCGTTCGTAACAAGTGACAACTAGTCAACTACAGCAAAGGACCCTTTTTCACTGTTTCCACCCAGGTGCCTCGTTCAACCCTCATTTTTATCCAACATGTAGGTGGCATCAATCATTTTGCACAGACATTTTCATGATGCATCTGGAACGATGGAACGATTTGCTACACATTTTGCATTGTTATCTTTCAAGAAACCGATTGATCGCACGCTTTCTGAAATTGTCAGAAGACCTAAGGATGACTGAGTATCTACCAGCCAACGGCCAGGTAGAACTTAGAAGTGTGGTGGGTCGGCCGGTCAACGTTGCCATGTTTTGAAGTTCAAGACCCGCAGATTCACCCTTTGTACTTGAGACTTTCACCCGTACACTCTCACAGATCTAGGTTTCCCATGCTCCAAGGGCAACCCCGGCCGAAGAGCGAGGCTGTCATCGAATGCACACGCATTCGATGATCAGCCCAGATGCCCACGACCGTATCGGTATGCGGAGAATGTGAGGTCATACAAAAGTGGCCTTGCCCAATGAAAGACCCATATCCGAACCACTCAACCATGTTTACATTGAGCCGATGCTCGTCTCGAAATTCAAACGAGGCCGATGCCGTGGGACCTCCCGCAACGCGCGGCACGGTGTGGGTGCACAGATCAAGTATCAGGTATGCAGCGGGTTCACTTCTAAGATCTAGACGCAGGGTGAACCGGACGTGGGTAGCACACAGTAGAATGTTAAGGGTGTGAATAAATTGATGAAACTCAACCTTGAAGCATCGGCTATAGCAGAGATTGCGCTCAACCAAGAGATACTTTACATGTTCGAGTCAGACACCTTCGAATCCAGTGACTCACCGACGGTTCGGCTAGTACAAGTGCAGTGTATACTTGCATCGGGTCATTTCTACATGCACTCCTTTTCTCAGGAGGACTATAAGTCCCGCGGTTCGATTCCTAGTAATTCCAGTGCTGTCTTCGTCCGGCCCTTCGTCTCCAAACATGGCTCTCGATTTCTGGGTGGGATTCCAGAGGTGGACCAAAGATGTTATGTGGTGATGTCCCCCGGACACACCACTGTTCCGGACCGTGACCATTGACGGTCAAGTCATTCTTTTTTAGAAACCGCCAGAGTGTCTAGGAGGCGAATGGGCAATTGAGAATAGACTTTGATTTTCGCACGAATTTGAAATCCTCTGTTCTTTGACCCCATATTGTACCTCATCGTCGCACTCTATCTGAGATTCCACGCAGCCTGTACAGCACAAGTCAAACACATCATCGCTACCACATGTGACTGGTCAGTCAAGCCACATCCAAAATCGTTTCAGTGCTGTTTGAAGGTCAGGGTGTTGACAGCCGCGCGAGCTCTCAAACTCACCAAGAACGCAACTCATCTCATAATACCCCCCGTTTTCAACAAGCCGGCCAGAAATGATAGGTCCCAGGAAAAGTCCCAGTTTGACGCTGAGACTGCTGATCACCATGGCGTGGGCGACGGCCTCTTGGTCGAAAGCCCTAGTTTGCTGAGTTTCGAGCTCCTGGACAGCACCTGATATGGAAGACATGTCAGTTGAGGACCTGTTTTGATTTGCCTACTCACCCCGACTTTTGTCACATCGCGGGTGACTCTTACAAGCAGTCTCCGTTAATCCAGCTCCCTGCAACAATGACATGAACACTCCGGCGGCAGCAACGGCGCTTGCATAAATCACCGCTGGTCGATCGCCCGAAGCTGCCCATGAACCCTGTTCACTTCCAGGAGTTCCAGCCAGCCACAAAAGTACACCCAACCCCAGAAACCCCACGGATGCCGTGTGATGTGATCCGACTCGGTTCTTCAGCCAGTGCGTGGGAACACTAAGAAAGACATGCGGTCCGTGCAAGACAGCAAACAGAATACCAGTCAGCTGACTGCCCCATCCAAAGGCTTCACCTACGTGCAATGGCATGGTTGTATCGAAGCTGACTGAAACAATGGTAAAGCAAACTGAGATCATGATGCCACCCATATAACGACGGCTAGTGAGCAGGTGGAGATAGAGATTGAGGTCCCGTTTCACAGATTCTACATCCGCCGGTAGGTGAGTTTTGATCGTCTTCGTGGACTCGAAGGATGACGACAGCAGAGAACTTCTTTCATCTGGTCCTTCTTCGGGGTACCGTGGTACGTCACTTACCTCGGGCTCACGGGGCAAGTCTTCTGACGGGACCAGCATCAGACTCTGCAGAATAATGCCGAGAGAACTTGCCGCAGAGGCAGTCTTCCAGGCAACCCAGTAATCAGAAATCTCAAACAAGGTCCCGGCTACTAAAGGACCTCCGGATGAGCCAGCTGCAACGGCAAGACTCAGATACCGTTGAGTTTTCTCATGTCGATTCGACGAGCCGACACTCGACAGGGTCTTGACGCCTTGAACACCCACTATCGTATTTGCCAGTGCCTGGACGGCCCGCCCACCGAATAAGCCGATCACTGGGATAAGTTTCACATGAGTCATTTCTCGCCTGGAATGTGTAGGTGTTGGCTTTACTCAGGAGTGTGTGTATCAGAGTCTGTCCAAGCAAGAATTGTCATTACCTGAGTGCGAAGACGCAACAACCAAAGAACCAAGTAATTGCCCCAGAAGACCGAGTTGGAGCCAAGTCCTTGCCCCAAGGCAATTCGCCAAACGACCGATCAACGGCGTCACCAGGAACGAAATCAGCGCCGTCTGAGCTAGCAACGCGACACTCACGCGCTGCAGAATCTCCGGTTCTAGGTCAAGTCGGTCTTCTAGAATGGATGGCAATATCGAGACCACGAATTGGTGGCGATACATGTCTGTTTGAGAGTTTGATCAGTGTCTTGAACCTAGAACGAGCTCACAACCGGACAATGCGCACCGGTCAATACTGAGGTCGCGGTGGCAATGAGAATGAATCGGCCAGAGGACCTCCATCTGTATCCCCATGGAACACTCTGTTCCTGAGACTCTCCCATCCTACAAATCTGCCTCGGGGTGACTCTTCAGCAGACTCGTCTTGTGAATTCAAACGCAAATCGTCACACCCTGTAATAGAACTAAATGAGTTTGATCAGGCGTCAAGTTTCGCTCATCCCCGGGGATCTGCCGCTTCTTCAATACTAGTTCGCATTCTGTCGATCGCTGCTCGCTCTGCATTGGGTTCTTGTCCCCTGCATACCAGATGCCCAGGATCAACCATACATTGGGCTGCAGGTGGCCAATGTTCTTCGCCAGGCGGAACCACAGTACGCCCCCAAGTGGTGCATCTCTGTATTCTTCAATCGAGATAATTCGTTCACAATCTCCCAAATTTGGGTCTCAAAAGTACATGTATGGGCGAACGAGAGCATATGCATTTTGTGTTGACAATACGAGTGAGACGTCTCAGCGGGATTGGAACCCGAGTTATGAAATGACGGGCTTGATCGATCACGCTAGTGCCATGATCCAAGGGTAATTCAGCCCTATCATCGAGATGTTCTTAATGAAGAGAGTCGAGTGGATTGCGTGCTCTCGGGGATGTACGTTCGAGTAGGGGATCGTTCTCCATACCCACTTCACCAATTGAAATGTTGCCCCCTCCATCATGCTCAGTTTGTCCGTCCTCACGTAGGTCCAGTGGATCCCCTGATCTGAGAAAATATAGAGTAAGTACGGGCGCCCCTTACATTGTCAGCTGAGGAGGGGCAATATTGATGAACGGAGTGGCATTATTGAACAAACCATTGGATTATCAGGTGCAGCCTCGACAGCACGTCAGATTGTCGATCTAAATAGCAGCCAGAAAGCTCGATCGGGAATCACATGGCGAGTGGGGAAATCGAAAATTTGAAATTAGTAACTTTATCAGATAGCTGATCGCAATAAGATCTCCAACCAATTGGCAGGAGACAACAGGTGAGAGTGGCAAGCTGACAACGAATACGACTGACAGATGGCATCCGTTCAGATTCAGAGGTTGCGGAGAAAAAATAGGACGCGGGGAGACAAGAAATGTAAGAAGAAGAAAAAAAACTTCATGAAAAAGAAAAAGCCAAAGACAACTCCTCGTCTCCTTGTGGATATACTTCGGCACTCATTAAAATGTAGACAAAAAATCAAGCACAGGACAATAACGCTCGTGTGATCATGTCGCATGGTATCGTTGGATCGATCCCGTTCCCCGGTAATAAGAATGCTTGATCGTCCTCCTCCTTCTCCAACTCACGTTGCCCGTTCCAAACTGGGTCTCCTTCGACGCAAAAAGTTCACGGATCACATTACTGCAACGTCTCGGAGTGAGAGAACAAGGTCCATTCACCATCCGACCCCTGGCCCCAAGTCGAGGAGCATGTGGCGCGATATTCTCTCTTGCCACGAACGGCGCGAATCTTGTAAGTCACGGCACCGGCCATCAAGTCGATGATGATGACTTTGACATCGTCAAACTGGTACCCGTCGAAACGGTGGAAGGGAGGTGCCATGGCTTCACGGAATCGGTCCTTGTCCTTCATTGACAGGATCTCTGGCATTTGGGGAAACATGAGGACGCCCTCGGGGTTGGTGAGTTTCTCGACGGCGGGGCCGGGGTCGGCAGAAGTCAGGGCGGTCCAGAGGGCCTGCTCCTTAAGGGTCAGGTCCTCACGGATGCGATCGTACATGGACGGCATAACGGCGAATGTGAGAGGAGGTCAGGTGTTTGAATAGTTCAGAGTGGTCGTGAGCGGGTTTGGAGAGAAAGAGCTGCGATGCGGTGGTCAGGTCTGGCTCATTCAACCCAGTCCCCAAGAGCTGGTCGGACGAAGAAGGACTTACACCCGGGGTGGAAGACTCGGTCGCGCAGAGTATGTTATGACTCGGGGTAGTGTGGTGACAGTGATCAAGAGGAATTGGTTCAAGCGGAACAATACGATTATGTATTCAACTGGTTCTGCTCCTCCACCAGAGAAAAGCCTCTTGTGGTGTCTGCGCAACATAGATTAAAGTGACGTCAGGGGAGATGACGTTGGAACGAGGTGGTCAAGGGTACTTGGGATCACTCAGTAAATGAGTTGGACGGGAAGTCAGAGAGACCGAGCAGTACAGGAGATTGATATCTGCGACATCTGCGACCTTGAAGTTATTGTGAACCCGCTTCTCCTGCTACTGGTCAACCTCATCTCTCTGGGGCCTGGTGCGACCGTTGAATCCAGGGCAGCCTGGTCGTGGCTCGGACTTGCTGGTGTCAAGACGGAGTTCATCAACAGAACAACAGCCGACGCCTTACCACTAGTCCGTCTCACTTTTGCAGCGTTGACCTGATGGACAGAGTATTCGACTGCATCTTCCAGTGTTCAATCTCAATGACCCTGCTCTCCCGAGGCTACCCTGCCTCTGTAAGCCGAGTCTCCTTCGTCGATTCCCTTCCATCTATGAGTTGGACAGGTCTCGCCCGTTGGGAGATGCCGTCATGCTCCACTAAGTGGCCGAGCTTTTCTCCCCGTTGTGGCTTGAGCCCCGCGCGTCATCGGGGATTTTCATGACAGCCTGTCACAGCAGACTCAGAAGATCACAGTCCAGGCGGTCCACCGACTGAAGATTCAAGCCCACTGCTGCTGTCAGGTGCTATCAGATGTTCTCGACCCCTTATAGATGCAGAGTCCGTGTAGCCTTGGTCTTCGTCAAGGTCACGGCTAGCAGGTGTACAGAGTGACTAACACGTAGGCACATTACATTTAGTAGTAAGGTAGCACAGATCAACCTTTTACCTTCGTAAAGTGACCGCCTCAGGCTAAGCGGGTGGGCACCGCGACGCTCTGGCTCCAAATTGTGTATCTCTTGGCCTCAATTTATCCATCTTTGGAGCCCGACATCAAAATCTAGGAGCTCAAATAGTAAGTGCGAAGCCATATTGATTGGAGGAGGTTAGTCGTAAGTTACTACCTCCGGTTGTTTATTTGCGCGCGAGGACGATAGAGTAGTTGTGCCTTGGGCCCAAGGCCTCTCAAATCGACATCATGTGACTCCAAGACTTTTGTACCTGGCAACCTTTCGAACCCTAGACGGTTGACCGCCCGGAGCAATTATGTAATTACTTTGCCAGGTCCTCTCAGAGGATCTCAGGTTTTCTTTCTTCGGGGCGTTCCAGAATACAAGTCAGGTCCTCCGGGCAGTACACATGTTGCGTTGATGCGCTGGACACTGCGATGATCAATTGTACCCATCCATCTCCGAAAATTGACTCGATCTCGCTTGGAAGTTATAGAGATCCAGCACAGGCAGATCAGAACAATGACTTTGGTGGGGAAAGCCATAAGGTATTTGCTAGAGTTCAGCGCGGTACCTTATGACTCCGGGACTAGCATCACAACATCGAAACCATAACCGCTGAAGACTTCGGTTCTCAGGTGTAGCAGGCCGCTATCTTCCTCCGGTCGGTAACGTAATTCCCGGCCGTGTCGGTCACCCGGCCGTCCCGGTCACCCTACCATAGTTTAGAATTTCAAAATCGATTATTTCCATTAACACCCATAGAATTTGCTATTACTAACGATTCTTACATTAATTGATCCTATGCCCAATTACTCCACATCCACTATAGGTAGGAGGAGCCCTCCTAACCGGTTAACACGGCTGATCAGGCAGATCGACCTATTTATACGAATCAACCCTATTATCTTCCTCTGGCTGGTTTAGCTACGTAGCTAGCTATATAGCCTCTTTAATGGTTAAACCCTCTTCGCAGGGTATCTTCTTAGTTAACCGATTACGCTTTTTGACTATCTTCTTATTCGCTATACGTAAATTCGCGTTATCCTCTACCAGTAGTATACTACTATAAAGCGCTAGGTAGTAACCCTTAATAAGCTAGTCTAGTATGGTTTTTGATAGACTTAGTAGGCTATTTAACCGTCGCTTTAGTAGGTCTTTTAATATCGAAGCTTACTTAAATAGCTAAGTAGCGGTTCTAGGCGTTTTTGGTATAAATTAGCTAGATCTACTACTTAGCCGGCTATTTAGTAGTATTAGAGTTTATAGAGAGATATTAAGCTTATTAAGTACTCTCTCGGTATCTAATAGTACTAGACTACTAGCTACGAAGCTATTTTTAATAGTAGGATTAGTTAATTAGAAGGCTTCTAGCTATACGTACTAGTAATCTACTAAGAAATCGTGCTTATCGATATAGTTATATCCTCTACGCGTAAGATCGCTAACGAAGTAACTATACACGCGCTTAACTACTATAAAATACCTAATATCTAGTAGTTATAGTAGATATAATAAATACGTAGGTATATAAAGAGGTATAATATTATTATCCGCGTAGATTCGATCGAATTAAGGCGTAAGATAGCTACTATAGCTATTAAGAATTAGTAGCCGAAACCGGCTATATACGCGCGAATTTGTTAACAGGATAAATAGCTTTTATAGCTAGCGTAGGCTAATCTTATCGGTAGTCTAACCGTTAGTAGAGACCTCGATTCGCTAGTCTTTCGGTAGGTTTTCGTTAAACTATCCTATAATAGCTACTTTACCTTTAAAGACTATATACGGCGGTAGTAAATAGCTATCTACACAGATTACTTCGATAGTAGTAACCTATTCGCGATTTCCTAGTTATAGAAGAGACCTCCGACTATAGTATTTAGCTCTTATAACTACTTTCTGCGAAGATATAAGGCCTATTATAAAGCCTATCTTATTTGTTACGGCGTAGCCGAACAAGTTGCGATACCATACTATATATACCGGACTCTGGGCAGTATCCGCAACTGCGGATATTAGTGATCTTTTATGGTCTTGTTGGTTAGTGTCCGCCCAGAACGCTTCCGTAACAAAATATCCGCAGTTACCGGTCTAAGGTCTTAGGTTCGAATCGCGGATGATTCGAGTCTGCGACCGGGGGGCTGACAAGAAATACTAAGGACGGCTAGGTTACCTACCCGTTCCCTGGTTTACGCTTGGGGGTCTACGGTATTGCGTATGGCTGATACCCGCAGAGTGCGGATGCCGCGAGTTATGCGAAGGGGTTTTCGGTATACCCAAAAACCGGGGTCCCACGTTGAAACTAGAGATCGAAAGGATCCTAGGCGTGAGGGCACACCTCAGGGAAAGAGGAGTATAGTTGTTACGGCGTAGCCGAACAAGTTGCGATACCATACTATATATACCGGACTCTGGGCAGTATCCGCAACTGCGGATATTAGTGATCTTTTATGGTCTTGTTGGTTAGTGTCCGCCCAGAACGCTTCCGTAACATTATTAAAGTTATAGATATCCTTTAGTTATATACCGTTCTCGTTAATTATACTTTATATAGTCGCGAACTACTACCGAATTAATTTCGGATCTTCGTTTAGGGCTCTTTAGTAATCGTATCTTCGCGAGAAGCATATACGAAGCTCAGGGCGGTAGTTAATAAAGATTAATAGCTAATTCTTTTTAACGGTAGGCAGAGGGTAGCTACTGCGTATAGTAAGAAGGATATTAGCTATTTCTCCTATAGTTACTAGCCTAGGCGCTACTCTACGTATATCTATAGAGAGAATCTATTCAGTAAGCGAATCCTCTTCTAATTAGGTTAATTTATAGCCTATAGGGCGAGAATCGACGCGGCAAACCACCCCTTTAGCGCGGTCGATCAGTGTTGACTTCGGGATTTCGTATAGGATAGCCGCTACGCGGAGAGATTTGACGCGGCCATTTTTTAGGTCGGAAAGGGCTAATAAGATCCTGCCCTCTTAACTAGCTAATTTATGGCTAGATTCAGTGCGAATTGGTGGCATGGTAGGTGGTTGAATTAGGTATGTTGGTAGAAAGACGCGATTTTAGAGAGGGTGACCGGGACGGCCGGGTGACCGACACGGCCGGGAATTACGTTATGGGCCGGGACAGCCGCTTCAAGCTGACGTGCCTAAGGTTACGGGCCGAAGTTCGAACTGGGCCGAACTGAAAGTGGAAGAAGGCCTTTGGCGCTAATCACGATTAAGCGGCACGACGCGGATGCGCCGATGCTTAGGGTTTCCTCTTCTGGAGGGAAGGACCCTAGCGAGCTCACCTCCCTCATATGGGATTGCTGCAATTGATAATTTGATACACACTGACGCAGTTCCCGGCAGTCTCTCTCACTCGGAACTTGGGATCCATATTCAAGAATGGCATCGGGCAGACAGGGCAGTCTGACAAGAAAAAAGCAAGCCTCAAATCTTCATGCTCTCGTCCACAGAACAACCTTAGTGTTACCTCCACACTCATCCCTCGACGCTGGCGGCCGCTGCGCCTTCCACATGTATGCACACTTCACTAATCCTATCCACTCGTACCGTGCCCCCAAAGCCTTCACCCTCTGCCACCGGGCGAATCTGAATGATTTCGGTCATTTGTCGTATTCGAATGACTGATCAGCTCGGTCTGCTCGCTCCGATTAAAGTTCGTTTTAGGTGGAGCTGGGTCGAGTTGCTGGAGCTCATCCGACGATATGCCAATCATGCCGCTATCGCGGTGAGGCTCCACCGAACATTATCAGGAACTGCCGCTGATCGCTCCTCAATCGAGAGCAGGCACGATCCGCTTGGGAAAAATTTCATGGATGCGGCCGACGGGCCGCAGATACCACGCAGGTCTTGTTGAGGGACCATGACTCAATTGAAATCCCATCGTCGTCAGTCGGGTCCTTGTCGGTTACCGTCATTCGCTCCGACAACTATAAGAGAGCGCGGTCCCTCTCCGTCACGAAGCATTGCGAATTGTTTGGACAGGAGTGTGGTCTGATTGAATCCCCTCGATTGCCTCTCAACATGCCGTCCCTACAGAAGTTTGTAACTTCTCTTTTGCTGGCTGGAAGTGTGTTGGGTGCACAAGTCACTGCCAAGCAGTTCTCCCACCATGACGAGAAGATCACGCCCAAGGTCTTCATTGTCTCGATGGTATGTTTCATGGGCAAAAGGTGGCTGTAGAGAACCATCGCTGACATGTCTGCCCTCATCTGACAGTTCGAACCGGAAGCCAAGGCGTGGTGGAACATTCCTGAGTTTAACCTGCTAGCCCACAACATCACCATTCCCGGTCTCTCCCCGCTCTACCCCGACATTCACTGCACGGAAGACCATGAGGTCTGCCAGCTGATCACCGGAGAGTCGGAGATCAACGCCGCGGCCACCGTCAACACTGTCGCCTTCTCCCCGGTCTTTGACTTGAAGAAGACCTACTTCCTTGTGGCGGGAATCGCCGGTGTCAGTCCCAAGCGTGCCACCCTTGGATCGGCTACTTTTGCTCGCTATGCAGTCCAAGTAGCTCTGCAGTATCAGATCGACATCCGTGAATTGCCCAGTAACTATTCAACCAGCTACATTCCCTACGGCCGAGTCTTCCCTGGCAAATATCCGACCACCATCTACGGCACCGAGGTCTTCGAGGTCAACGCGGCCCTCCGTACAGTCGCCGCGAACTTCGCCCGTCAGGCTACTCTTGCCGACTCTGCAACTGCCCAGGCTTACCGTGCTCACTATGGCAATGGCACCGGAGAGTACAAGGCTGCCACCCTGGCGCCCGGCATCGTTGAATGCGACACTGCCACCTCAGACGTCTACTACAGTGGCAATCTTCTGGCCACCGCGTTCGAGAACACCTCCAAGCTCCTCACCAACGGCACCGGGGACTATTGCTCCTCTGCACAGGAAGACAACGCCACGCTTGAAGTCCTCCTCCGAGCCGCGTCTCACGAGCTGGCCGACTTTGCTCGAATCATCGTCATGCGGACTGCATCCGATTTTGATAGACCCTACCCCGGTGCCTCAGCCGCGTACAACTTGCTCCTAGCAAACCAAGGTGGCTTTGAGCCCGCCTTGGAGAATATCTACCGCGCCGGCATCAAAGTGGTGCAGGGTATCCTCAATGACTGGAATACGACCTTTGCCGAAGGTGTGAAGCCTACCAACTACATTGGTGATATCTTTGGTACTTTGGGAGGCGAGCCTGACTTTGGGCCGGGTACTGCGCAAGCTTTGGCGGGCAGTGGAGCTTACAAGAAGCGGAGCTTGGAGGGTCGTTCTCGCCGACGTGGTTGACGACGTCTCCTCCAGATCGGGGATGGGAGTAGCAATATAGGAGGTACTATAAAAGTTTATAGAGGTATGGATAGATTGTAAGACCATTTCTTATCAAATAAAGAAGATCCATGTTTTGACACACCCGTTTCAAGCCATGGTATGACTTCTCAGGCTTGGTTTCACAGTCCCTCGGCGAGATGTGAGGAGTTCAAGCTATAAAGGTCTCAGTACTTTGTGCTCAGGGAAAGTGTAGCGGGCTTTATCCTGTAACGGAATGACGGATCATAGTCAACGAATTTAGAGGTGCGCGGGCCTTTGCAATATTTTGTAGAGGCGGAGGTTGAATAACGTTGGTAAGGAGTTCGTCTTTCGAGAGCGCTGTAGAGGCTTGGTAATTGTTGGATAGCACGGCCTTCCCTTGTGATGGACTCTCAGTACTCACTGGCTGAGCGCTTGCATAGGTCATTCCTACGGATGTGCATAAGCCGCCTTTTCTGGGCACTTTGTTCAATTTTGTGCCCTTATCGCACAATTCTATTTGCATCGGAGCGACGAACCGATTATCCAAAGGGACACAAAGGGCATTGGCCAAGATGAGTCCAAGCCTTCGGCCCACTATCTCCGGCTAAAATCCGTGATGACATCGACATGAGCGTCTGCCCGTTCAGTTGTGTTGGCGCGGGGGCCCTCCCATCTCCTCCAATTCTCCAATAAAGCCCCCGCTTTCGGCACAGACGATTGAAGTGAGCCTTCAGTCAATCGATCAAACACCAGCAGACACACTCACCTCTGTATTTGCATCCAATCTCACCATGACTTCCGTCATTCAAGATCAGAAGACGGCATTAATCACCGGCGCAGCATCCGGCGTGGGATTCGCCATTGCGAGGCTCTGCCGTAGTAAAGGCATGCACCTCGCGCTAATGGACATTGACCAAACCAATCTGGTCAAGGCCAAGACTTTGCTCCACGATCTCAATCCTCACCTTCTGACGGAAGCATATGTGATTGATGTTGCGGATGCCGAGATCTGGAAAGCCACGGCTCAGCAGATTGCGAAGCTCTTCCCATCCATCGACCTAGTGGTGCTGAATGCAGGGAGAGGATATAAAGCACAGGATCAAGGGAAAGACAAGCTACGCCCCTGGCTGGATGGCAGCTATTGGCAAAAGGTATGTTGGACCCTCTGCGAAATTTCCTCGTCTACTCCTTTTTCGCTCTCTGTTTCCCTTACTCTTGAATCGCGCTGCTTAGACTAATACCTTTCTCAAGACCTTTGACACCAATGTTCGCGGGCCACTAAACGGGCTTGAAGCCCTGCTACCCTTACTTCGCACCGCGGAATCAACATCACCCAAAGCGATCGTCATCACCGGCTCCAAACAGGGCATCACCAACCCTCCTGGCGGCGGCAACCCCGCTTACAATGCCTCCAAGGCAGCGATCAAGAGTATCGCCGAGCATCTCGCCCACGATCTACGCTCGGATCCAGCCACCGCGCACATCACTGCTCATCTGTTGATTCCCGGTTGGACATGGACAGGGCTGATGGGTAACGTGGGACCGACCGAGGAAAAGGACGTGCAGAAGCCCGCAGGCGCTTGGTTCCCCAGTCAAGTGGCGGAAGAGCTCTTGAAAGGACTGGAGACTGGGACATTCTACATCATCTGTCCCGACGGCGAGACCAGTCGCGCTCAGGATCAGGCTCGGATGAAATGGGCCTGCGAGGATGTAATTGAGGGACGTTCAGCGCTGTCTCGTTGGGATGAGAAGTGGAAGTCTCAGGCGGCCGAGTCGATTGAAGCTGATGCAAACTCGCGAGGATCATCGTAGATCTAGAAATGCCAATGTTGTGCAAGAGTCTAGGTGGCCTCTTCCGGGACGGGGCAAGTTTCTTCTCCCCGTTGCCTGCTGAGTATGGTTTATGTAGGTCCAGTACAACCTCAACTTGGGTCATTGTCGCTTCTAACTCGAGCTCAATTACAACCTTCGAGGCTGAAAAGCTACCAACATGACGCGTCAAACGCTCGTTGTAGACGCACTCACTAGATACGTTTCCAAGCCATGATCGCAGCCCAATTCCCAAAGAAGATCGCCGTCTGGAGCACACGTGCTTATCCCCCGTTGTGCTGCCGGAAATGGAAATGAGTCGTCAACTCCTCCAGGTGCAGCACTCAACCACCCCTCGCCGCGTGGGCGAGGAATGCGCCTCCTGGGTGACTGGAAATATGGGCTGATGCTTTTTACTGCTTAAACGGAATGATTACGGCAGCATTCAACATGATGATCTTCTTCTCAATATCCTCGTCAGAATCGAACGACAAGACCGACTATCCGCCAACTGTAACCCTTCCTCTCTGTCCAGTTCCGACTTCCCACCGTCAGCTGGATGCAACCGTCCAGCAGAAGATCGGCAGCCCCCGCTTTTCCCCCCCCCCACAAGCTTCGACAACAACTCGGCTTCCTTCTTCCGCGCAGCTGAACCACTTCATGGCAGTCAATCTCTTGCCTCTAAACCTCATGCGGAGAAAACACAGGGAGGGGTCACATCGACCGTGCCAGTAATGCAACGCTCTGCTTATCGGTTCACTTGGAGGAGTGGGGGGAACTGGCAAGAGCAAAGGGTGTCATAGACATGACCTCTTGATTAAAAGCACCATGGCTCTCGGGGGAGATTGGGACGTCCTTTCGCCTTTGTAAAGACGGCGATGCGTGGTGATACTTGCCTTTCTAAACATCGATTCGACCGATTCGACCGATTCTCTTCGGTTTGGGAAGCTAGAACTGCAGGCTGTCTTCGAAGGCTGTTCCAGCGTCCTGCTTGTTGTCTATGGATCGTGTCACTGGATCACTCGCTCCAAGAACGATGAATCGCGAACATCATAACCAATCACCGATGGAAGAGACTACAAAGTCAGGAGCTCGGGGCTCGGTGGAAGAGCCCGACAAATTACATGGATACCCTTCGGTACCAGGGGCGGTGGATGAAGTCGCCTATGTGGTGGATCATGAGGCTGAACGGCGTCTTTGTCGTCGATTCGATTTTCGACTGCTTCCTATTCTCGCAACCATGTGTGAGTGTGATATGACTTTGCCGGCGGACTGCACGACCCAGCTCGGTTTTGTGGAAAGGACCGTTATTGACGACGGCTATGCAGATCTGTTCAACGCCCTCGACAAGGGCAATCTGGGCAATGCTAAAACAGACCATATGACCGAAGGTAATGATCTCTTCTTCAAGTTGACCGTGGTGACCCTGCTGATACGTTTTTTTTTTTTTTTCAGATTTGCATTTCCAACCGAATCAATACAATCTTCTGCTCTCCATCTTCTTCGTGCCGTTTGTGATCTTCGCGCCGCCAATCGCCATGATAGGCAAAAGGTTGAGTCCGGCTCGAGTCTTGCCTATCCTGATGTTCTCATTTGGCTGTTTTACGCTCCTCTCGGCGGCAGCACAGAACTTCAGCGGTCTATTCGCCCTGCGTTGGTTCTTGGGCATGTCAGAGGCAGCCTTCTTCCCACTGGTCATCTATTACTTGACCACGTTCTACCGTCGAGGCGAGCTGGCTCGCCGATTGGCCGTCTTCTATGCAGCCGCCAACATTGCAAATGCTTTCTCTGGCTTGATTGCATTCGGCGTCTTCCAGTTGAAGGGATCGAGTATTCCGAACTGGCGATATCTTTTTATCATTGAGGGCGGCGTGACCGTCATCTTTGCTATCTTCGCATTCTTCACTCTACCGAGGAGTGCAGCCGAGGCTCGGTTCCTATCCGAGGAGGAAAAAGCTCTGGCCTTCCATCGAATCCAGGTGGACTCTAGCGCCGTGGTGAACGAGATATTTCGCTTCCGGGAGGCACTTGCCATCTTCAAGCATCCGACTGCCTACGTCTTCCTTCTCATCGAAATATGCTTGGGCGTACCTTTGCAAGGCGTCGCCCTCTTCATGCCGCAAATCATCGCTCGGCTAGGCTATCCGACCGTCAAGACCAACTTATACACTGTCGCTCCTAATGTGACGGGAGCTGTGATGTTGCTCGTTCTCGCATTTTGCTCCGACTACACTCGACTACGGTCTCCATTCATCGTTCTCGGCTTCTTGTTCACTTTCACCGGCTTTATCATCTACGCGTCCATCAACGACGTACAAAAGCAGATCCATGTGGCCTACTTTGCGACCTTTATGATGACCTGGGGGACGTCGGCACCCTCGGTCCTTCTCAGTACCTGGTACAATAACAACATCGCTCACGAGGGCCGCCGCGTTCTGTTGACCAGTATCGGCGTGCCACTGGCCAATCTAATGGGTCTTGTCAGTAGCAATGTCTTCTTGGAGAAAGATGCACCAAAGTACATGCGCGCATTGATCACAGTTTCCGCCTTTGGAGCCACGGGTGCCTGTCTTGCGGGACTTTTGGGGTTGTATATGTGGTTCGACAATAAACGACGCGATCGCCGGGAGGGCGTTAGGCTGAGAGCGAGGGATATCCCTACGGAGCGTATGCGCAACGGGCCATCTTCGGAAGAGTTCCGCTGGTTCTTGTGAAAGGTGGACAATCATGAGAAACTTTCGTGCCGAGGAAGTGTGCGTTCAATCGTGCTTCTTTTGTCCATTACACAGCTAGTGTACATTCATTGTAGATGGCCGAGTCTAATCTACGCCTGGATCTTGATCACAACCTTTCCGAAGTGACTGCCGCTCTCCAAGAACTTGAATGCCTCCTTGGCCTCGGCAAAGGAAAAGACCCGATTGACCACAGGCTGCACCTGATGCTTCTCGTAGAACCGGATCATCTCTTCGAACCGATCCTTGGGCCCGTTGATGATGCCCTTGAGAGTGACGTTTCGGCGCAACGCCAGAAGGTTGACATTCATGCGGTCATCCGCGGGATCCGTCTTGCCAGACACGTAGCCGATACAGTCGATCAGACCACCGAACGCAATGCAGTCGAAACTCTTGCGCAAAGTCTGTGCACCACCGGTCTCGAGAATGATATCCGCGCCGTGGTTCTGGGTGTATTCCATCACTTTTTCTTCCCAGTTGGGGGTGGTACGGTAGTTGATGGTGAAGTCGGCGCCGAGCTTCTTTGCTTGCTCCAACTTGTCATCCGAGGAGGAGGTAATAATCGCTAGAGAATTAGACACGGTCAGCATGCCCCCCCGCAAACCTCTTCTTTCTCGGAAAGATCCCGACTCACCCTTGGCACCAGACGCCTTGGCAATCTGTAATCCGGAAATTGCAACCCCTCCAGTGCCCTGAAGGAGCACGTATTCACCCTCACCACCGCTCTGGTTCATTGGTCGCATTCCATTGATAGACATCCACGCCGTCACAGCCGCAATGGGCAGAGTAGCCGCCTCCTCGTCAGACATGTAGCTCGGGGCCTTCACGAGGCTGTAATCGGGGAAGACGCGGTGAGTGGCCAGCACTCCGTTCCTGGGGAGACCCATACTTCCTGCCATCTCCTTCTCGGTGACTTGGCCGGTCTGGTGCTCGGGGAGGAAGGTGGACAGAACGCGATCTCCCTTGACCCAGCGGGTGACACCAGATCCGACTGAGACGACGACACCGCACATGTCCGAGCATGGGACGATCGTCACATTTTGCTCGGCGGTCTTGTGGTGCTTGTATTCTCCCTTGGTGACTATGATGGAATCAAGGTCAGTGTTTCTCTTTTGTTTTCTCAAAGTCCAGCGTATCTGGTGATCTGTGCATAAAGTTGCATTTGCGGGGGTCATTTTGTCCCACCTTCCACATCACGATAGTTCAATGAGACCGCATGTATCTTCACAAGAACCTCGCCAGCGCCGGGCGACGCCATGGGCACCTCGGTCTGACGAAGGCTGTCCAAGCCCTCGAGGGGAGTGATCCACTGCTGAATTGACATTTTGTATGCTTTCCGAGTTACTCGACGATATGATGTTCGAACAAGGCGGATAATTAAAGTTCTGACCGATTTGATTTATAGAATCGCGCAAATTGATCAGTGATGTCATGCACGGGTGGCAGCTAGTCAGATTCGGACTTGGATTCTTCGGTTCGGAGACTTCCAGATCTTGTTCATGAGTCAGCACTGCGGCAGTCTCCCGACCGATTGCTCCAGTTTCAGGAACGCTAGACAAGAAGGTACAACTTCCGACTATACATAATTACATACGCCATACGGTCCTCTATATGATGGTGTGATCATACATCGTATTAGGTATTACTGTGAGTGTGCGCTGAAATCTGCAACCTTGGAAGGTGCGTTACTCTCAATCTGCAATGACGATTTCTACAGTGTGTGGCTTCATCACTCCTCTCTCTCGAGGTACGTAAGTTCATATGGCGATCATGCAGTAGAAACGTTTACCATACAACAAGCTTGTAGTTACCTACATATGCTGTGTCAGTGGGTCACTGTGTTGTACGTGATTTTCTGTACGTCCAGGCATCCTATTCCTTGGTCCTTCGGCTTCCTTCTATTTTGTTTCTTTTTATGGGTCGACCGGGCAAATGACCCAATTCGGTAATTTTTGCGGATCAGCTGGCGGAGACAAGGAAAGGTGGATGGGTTATGGACTCTTGATCCTCGATTCAAGCTAGGTATGATGGACCCTGGACCCTGGACCCTGGACATTAGACAGTGGACAGTGGCACCGACTTGGCACTTGAAGAGAGTAACCGTACGGCAGGAACGCGCACGAGTCAGTTGACCTTGGCGCAAACATTATTCTTATCCAAATCGATGATGCCGATCCATGGTCTTCACACTAGATGATGTGACTTGGCCCTTTCAACCGCGTACATCAGCAAACACGTCGACACCTCAGAAGCATGAGTGGAATGCCGGCGATATAGTCAAGTACTACAGTACTGGCTCTTAGAGTTAATACGCATCACCTGAGGGGCATGACTAAGAGCACACGGTTATTGTGCTGTTGCCCGCGGGGTTCTCTCCATGTGACGCAGTCCCAATTCATGACACGTGGGTCCTAAACTCCGCCAATCTCCGCTCCACCCGGTCCCCCAGTTCACAAATCAAGAGACGGAGATGATGTTGTTCAGGCCGACCAGGCAGCCTACGATTGGTATTTAGGCGGCCGGTCCATCTTTTAATAATGAAAAGCTGGTCGTATATATCCCTCAAGATCTCTTTCACCTTCCCACACTCTCTTCAACCGTCACCCTCACTCCTTTGCCCAAAATGAACGGTAGCCAGACAACATTGGCAGTTCCTCGCTCCGAGGCCGATCTTCCCGCTAGTTCCCTGTCTACGGGTATGCAATGGTCCCCTTGTCACATACGCAGGAGTATAGCGGGAGCTAACGAATGCTGGAATTTATCCCGGACTCAAGAAGAACTTGTCGGATCGTCTTCATCTCCAAGTAAACTAAAAGGCTCCGTGTCTCTCCCACAGACCATATCACACCGTGGATATAAGGGCAAATTCCCCGAAAACACCCTCGCCGCAGTGAAAGGCGCTACAGAGGCAGGTACAGATGCGTTAGAGATTGATCTACACCTCTCGAGGGATGCACAGATTGTTCTCTCACATGTGAGTGTCGTCCCCGATATGAAAATTCGTAATACCATATGCTTTGACTAACTCAGTCGTGATCCTTGTTTACTCCGTGAAGGACCCAACCTTGCAGCGATGCTATGGCGTCAAGAAGAAGATTGGCGATTGTGACTGGGCATACCTCAAGACTCTTCGCACGGTACAGGTGCCACATGAACCTATGCCCAGGCTAGCAGAGATCCTGGAGTATATCAATCAGCCTGAAAAGGAACATATCTGGGTACTTTTGGATATCAAAGTAAGTAGCGGCACCGCGGCCTCTGCAGCCTCTTCGCCTCGAAGCAAGTATACCCGGAGACGACCTACTAACTCACGTTTCCATAAGGTCACCAATGATCCAGACATGATCATGCGCCGTATTGCTGAAATCATCTCCTCCATCCCAGCTTCCTCTTCATCAGGTTCTTCTCGGCCTTGGCACGAGCGCATCGTGCTCGGCTTCTGGTCAGGCGACTACATCCCCCTGCGCAACAAATATCTCCCCAACTTCCCCATGGCCCTAATCTGCTTCGATTTCAAATACGCCCGCAAATTTCTGCACGTCGAAGATCTAGCCTACAACGTGAACCAAAGCGTTCTCATGGGCCCATTAGGCTGGGGATTCCTCGACGATGTCCGTGCCGCCCAGCGGCAGATCTACTTGTGGACTGTCAACGCGCCCAATCTCATGCGGTGGGGCATTCGACACGGCGTGGACGGGGTGATTACGGACGACCCCGCTCTGTTTCGAAAGGTCTGCGAGGCGTGGGAGAGAGAACATGGAGGTAGAGATGGGGCGGACACGGCCGTGGAGTTACGGACCGATCGTCTCAGCATGGGACAGAGGGTGAAGATTGTGCTGACGGCGGTGCTGGTGGTGATGTTCGGATGGATGATAAAGCGGAGGATATCGAAGAGGATGAAGAGTGTTCATCGTACTGGCGGGCAAAAGGGAGCATGATGGACGCCTACCTACATGATGATGATGCTTGATGAGCTTGATGAGTAATGATCATGTCTGTGCCCGATAAATCCCTACTTGTCGCCAGTGGATGGAGCCTTCCACTCGAGAACCTACTTATGACACAATCCCCGAATATATCAGCGCATGCTTCACAAGATGAGTCCAGATCAAGGTGCTCGCTGTTCCAGAATTGACTGGGGAAAAGTTCATTGTATAAAACAAGATGACATTGCAGTAAATGGATGGAACAATCTCAATAAACTGAGGGCGATCTTGCTACGTGATGCCGCTATTCAAAAGAGTAAAGCAGTGGATCACGCAAAGTGCCTGCAGCATTGATCCAGACGATGATAGAAAAGCAGGCTATCATCAAAATGAATTATGAATAAGACTAACACCGTGTAGTGAAGGTGGGGGGTATAAGGTAATCTATCAAACGAATGGCAGACGAAAGACGGCGGCAAGAGACGCCGCAATCAATAAATATATGAGGAATGCAACATCAAATCAGGCGCTTGACAATGTCAACGGTGGGCATCAACGTATCGCTTCAAAATAAAAATAAAAAAACAAGCACAATTCGGGTTGAGTAAATCAAGATCATGCTGCGCATGTTCTTCGTTCAGGTCATCATGAGTTTGGTGGTTCGTCGTTCTGGAAACCGCCTGGCACCACCCGAAGAATAGCGAGGACCGGGTCGAAGACCTCCATTACTTGGGGTTGGGGAGGGAGGCGGGCGGTATCCTGCAGGAGGAGGGGGATATGGACGCCCATTGGGGGCTAATGGAGGCCCGCCAGGTGATCGACGACGAGCACCAGGACCTGGGGGTCCAGGTGGTCTCAACGAGCCGGGAGCACCAGGCCCGCCACCATGTGGTGGTCCCATGGGTCCCGAATGTCCAGGCGGAGGGCGATAGTAGGAATTGGCGGCGCGTCGGGCATCCTGTTCGCAGTAGACTTCGCCGTTCCATTCGAAATAATCACCCTTGAGTAAGACCCGACAAGTTCGGCATTGCAGACACTCGGGGTGGAAGCGTCGTCGTTCCAGACGACTGCCGTTGTGTTCTACGGTTTCCAGGTATTGACCTTCAATTCCATGGTGACAGGTGGAGCAGAGGGATCCATTGCGCTCGTGGTAATGTTGAGCACAATAAGGTCGATTGTTCAAGACGTAAAATTCGGCAGACGGGAAGGGCGAGTGACAGTCAAAACAGACAAAACATCCACGATGATATCGCCCGGTCAAACGACCGTCTGACGATGATATGGACTTTCCAGTGATGGGTTCACCGCAACCTTTGCAGTCTCCTTTGGGCCGGGCTCCGGAACGAGTTGGAGGACGACTGATAGGCTCCGTCGCAGACCTTTGCATTGGTCGAAAATGGGGCACAGGCTCGTGAAATTCATTTTGCGAAGACTGTGGCTTTGCCTCGTGGTTAGGTAAAGGTTCAGTAGATGGCAACTGACAGAAAGCCTCCGTGGCTTGCGGGGGTTTGATGGATCGTGGCGCTTGTGTAGGCGAGGGTGAGGGCAACTGTGATGGCTGCTCCGCAAGTTTTTGTATCCCTGACTGCTGTGATAGTAGCGAGCCCTCACGCTTCTCATCGATCAGTGAGAGACTGCCCTGACCAATTGCGGGATCAGTCGGCGAATCAGGGCTGAAGAAGACGGCAGGAATTCGAGGAATCTCGTCCAAGGTGTCTCGAGGACGACCTGGCATTTCCACAATGGTCTGTCGGGTCCGCGCCGGAAGATCCTCCACCAGACTGCTCAGGTTGAGCGGATCAGAGTTCTTCTCCCGATTCAAGCTCGTATCGGAGGGCAGGCTGGACATGGAACTTCCGCTTGAGCTTCCTGTGCGTGCGCCCGAAGACTCGTATTCAGAGGCCGTAGATTCTTCCCGCGTGAACCCTGAAGGATCATCAAAGCCCATGGCCCGTGCGAATTCCGTGATAGATGTGGCGCTCTCGCTCGTTGCTTCAGATGCCTTACGAGGGAAATTGGCATTGATATTCAGTTCTGTATCGGCTAGATCCAGTCGGTTGGTGCTGTGACTAGAGGACAATGAGGTATGTTGGCGACTCTGCTTGGTAACCTCGGTCTGCTCATGCTTTTTCAACGATGGTTCGAGCTGAGTGGGTCTGACTGTACTCGGATCGATCCCGAAATCGAACCCACTGTAGGAATTGCCTCGTTCCGAGCGGGCGATAGGAGTCCGGTTAATTTCAGATTTAGAGTCGTTTCCAAGCGAAGCTTGATTCGGTGTGCGCAGGGGCGCTGGCGGAAGAGGCGGCGTGTCATTGATAAAGGAGCGTAGGCCTCGGGAAATACTCTGGGTCGATGACCTCGAGGCCGATGATCTTGTCGTCGACTCTCCATGACGCGTGCTTCCAAGCGAACTACGATAGCTACTCTGACTCGCAATCGATTCACCCCGACCGTGGCCCTGTTGACCCAGTTCCGCCTGAGGGGGCAGCGGGCTCGGGGGAAGCTGCACGTTTTCGGGAACCACATTAAGTCCTGGGCGCGGGGACGGAGCCGAGGCGATTCGAGCTGAAGTCCGGAGCGAAATATCGTTCTTCAATGAAGGTGTTCCCACAAGAGCCGGAGGGCGACTGCCGGGCATTGGAAAAGAGAAGACCGTGTCTTGGTCCAGCGTGGGCTCATCCTCGGGAGACGAGCGAGGATTTGATTCCACTGACTGAGACATGGGTGATCGAGGCGCGTCATGAATTGAAAGCGGCGAGGGAAGATGCGAACCAGTACTACTAGCTGGCGTAGTAAGAGTCGATTGAAGGAAAGGGCGATCTGAATCGAAACAGTCAGTCAGTCTCCGTCAAAACAGACCGCATACTGCAGTCATCAAGCATCTACATCGAGACATACTGGCGATCGACGGGTCGATGCGAGGGGGTGCTCCCAATCGACTTGATCTACTACCAATAACCACCTTCAAGTGATCCGGAGTCTCCAAGCCTGCCGACGGTGGAGGAGAAGGGAGTCTGGTCGCATCTGATGTGGCATTGGAAGTCTTCGGGCTGATCATGTTGGATGGGGGTGATCCCATTGCCGTCACCGGTGTCTTCTGCTCACTCGGGGTGCACACATGGTCTCCCATGGCCGAAATCTCGACATTCTGCCCGCAATTCGAACATTTGATCTTGGGCAAAAAGCCCAGGTCCATGGATGTCATTTCTGTTGGTGATTCAGAGGATCTGGACCGCGGAGGATGTCATTTGTATTGGGCTTAGGGCTGATGTGCCCTTGTTTCTCTGGACCCAGGTGCCCCTTCTTCCTCGATCACCAGAGATCACAATCCTCGATGGATTTTTGATTTAACCGATTGGTGACCCGCACGTCTCCAGTTGCACAGGGGAATAATGTGTCAGACTAGAGGAAACTATGGCAAACAATGGCCGTTCGTGGGGGAAGAGAAGGAGGAGAGGAGCGCTGGAGTAACGAATTCCAGAATGAATCAGGAATCACACATCTGAGGATCGACCCCCGGGCCTCAAGGTTCCTTCGACCATATGTAGGGCCACCAGGCCCCATGTCGGAATTCTCCAGCGAGGTCGATTGCGGGCATGTCTCACGGGTCCATCGCCCCAAAGTTCAATCCACGCGAAGCTCCATTGAGAAAGCGCCCGGGCCCCGTGCAGCGCCGCTAGCGCGTAGCGTCTCCAGTGCGGATGCGGGATTCGTCAGTCGAGGCCATGGAGAGAAGTTTTACGGTTCAGGGGTTGGCCAATGCCCGGTGCGCTTGTTGCCCAGGCATCAACATCGAGGCCGTAGAGTTGGTTTCATCCATGAAGATGCTCGGTCGCGGGAGCAGGATGGTTATGGACCATGTCAAGCAATAAGCGGTCTGAATTAAGGGGAACCTCTTGCATTTGGTGGCTACGACCTTATCCATCGTCTCCCATGGCGCTGGGACGGAGTAGGACGAGAGGCACACAGTCACACACTCTCGGCTTGTCTCCGTGGGTCTTGGATATGCCGCCCTGTGTATAACAATCGTCAGAGACTCTTGTTCTCTCTCTCTCTCTCTCTCTCTCTCTCTCTCTCTCTCTCTCTCTCGTGTGTAACTGTCTCCCTCCATTGTGCCTGCGTCATCTGGGTCATCCGAGCCATTGCCAGGGGTTGAACATCTGTCAAGACGGTGATCGGCTCCAGAATTTGAGTTCATTCAGGGGGAGGCGGAAGAGAAGTGGAGCCCGAGCGTAGTCGTCGTCTGCTCATTCGGGAAGGGAGTACGGCTCGCCAGTCGGTCAGACTCGGAGGAACGTGACTGGGGCATTCTGCCGTCCGACTCGTGCACTCAAGGATCTCTCGTCCGCCAAGATGGAACACGACTCTACTCACGGCATTGAGCATTCACATCTTACAACGGAGGGAGCGAAGCGGGCGTTGGCATTGACTAGTGTATCACTTCCGATGGTCGCTTATTCTCATTCGCTCGGCACGCTGTTTTCTAGATTATTAGGTCCCTGTCCTACCAGGTCTACTGAGTAGCTATAAACATATGTCATCACCATCAATGGAGGTGGCTGGATATGTGATTGGGATCAACGGTTCCCTTCTCTCGCACAAGGAACCAGAGCGGGTTGGAAGGCGCGTCTCCATCTCCATCATCGACCCTTCTAGTTACTGTCTTTGTCCCGACGACCATGGATCCTTACTTCTTGTCAAAACACACTGGGCTTGGCCAATGCTACCTCAAATCACAGGAGATGTCGATCACATTATTATCATCATCATCAGCTGCGGAGACGCTTCGGTTGAATTGGCCAGGTGGGGCCCTTGTCTGCTGCGGCCCACGAGGTCAAGATCTGCGATGCAACTGCCGTCATAAGCCCGTGGTCAAGGCTATCTGGTCCATGCTGAGAATGAATCGGATCCTTCTGAGATCTAAACTCCGATTCGAAACTCCCCGATGCTCCTGGAAGGTGCTAATGATAGATCTCATCCGTCCCTACTACGCGCTCCTAGCCAACAAGTGTATGATTCGCCCGCGCTCGAACCTGATATCGACATTCGTCAGGGGTGTCGCTTAGCATGTGTATGTAGAAGGTGATCCTACTCCTAGTAGTGCTCCTGATCGATCTTCTACAGGCCTACCCCTTTCCATACGGAGGATCAGACCAAAGACCCACTCGGCTCAGCCGATGAAGACAGTAGTATGCCCGAAACCTACCGCATGTTGCCTATGTGGGAGCTTAAGATTCTCTCCATACTGGATCAGTGACATTGCCAACGTACAAGTCAACAAACAATCATGGATTGAGTGGACTACGGGTCCGGTGCGCTAAGATCAAGTGGGTTCTTCCACGGCGCGTAGAGGCACTTGGGGTTCAAGCTGAAAGATTCCACATCTCTCATCAGTACCCTTCTCTCCTCGTGCTTGACCATGGGAGATGGCGCTCACGGGCCTCGGAAGATGCTAAGATCTTTGAAGCGCCAAATTTTGCGCGGAAGACTTCTCCACATCTGCTTGGCCCATTGCGTGGGGTCCCAGTCATATCACTCCTGGTTGGATGATCCCAGAACTTGGGTGGTGCCTCATCATGCGTGATGTTATCGCGTACATGGAGATGGTTCAGCTCGTTTGCGCAGAACTTCATCGGCATTAACCTCTCGAATTGGGGTATCACGGTAAGTGTGTGGATAGTGATACAACATCTGACGAAGCACTGCCTTCTAAGCCGTGTCTATCTTTGTCATGACATCTCAAAAGATGGGAAGGCTGCACCGAGGGATCACGTCCAGCGCAACAGAATCCCTCAACAGCCTTCAAATGTATCCAAATCAAGAGCTGAACTCTGATTTCAGAAATACACACTACCCGCTGTATACAGCCTACAGCTGGAGAAACCTATGCGCAATTGGAACATGTCGTCTATGAGCAGCTGATGTAAGTTTGCGGAATAAACGCTGGCGGCGAGGTGTAAGTAATATGCATTGACCTCTGACAGCAATGAGTATTGGAGTATTGGTGCCTGAGACCTGACGTGACGGCAAGTGATCTGTAATGAACCGTAATGTATGCTTGATGAATTCCCCTGGGCCCTGGGGCATGGGCAATTCGAGTTTCCGATCCGATACCTTACAACCTGAATTGTACATATCTGACTCAGCCGTCGTATCCTGCCAGGCCCGCACTTCCATACCGAGGGTCGGAAAAGTCGACCAACCAGCGGAGAGTAAGGAAGCGGCAGAATCGTAGCTGACAATGAGAGCGGTCAATTTCGGAACCTCCAGTAAAATTCATATTACTACATAAACTGCAGCTTCATCGACAAACTGGTTCCATAACTCAGTTGGTTAGAGTGTGGTGCTAATACGAACTAAAAGTTCTGAAACGCCAAAGTCGAGGGTTCGACCCCCTCTGGGACCATTTTTTTGTTATTCCATTTTTACAAGATCTGCTCCGAAAAATATCTCCATTACGGCCAATATTCGCGCTGGGGGATTTTTTTTTCAATTTGAAGAGCCCGGATTACCGTGTGCGCTGAAAAGGCGAGTCCCATCCATCTTGTTTATGTTCTTCGGCATCACGGGCTACTGAAGTACAGCATGTATGTACTATGATCGAGAATCCCGATCCATGTCCGCCGGTCCGACACAGATCACAGAAGGTGTCGCACGTATACATTTCATATCATACTGGTACCGTCACTTTACAGTGGTGGGTACTATATGTGTCTAAAGCATACGGCGTAATGATCAAGACAGTGCGAGCGGTCTGTGCGAACCCTCCCGCTCACGGGCGGAACGAAATCTGCCATGGCGGGAGCAACATGCCGCGATGTACGACAAATCCTTGGCACCGATTCTCGTCAAGACCACAAAAAGGCACGGAGAAAGGATTATCAAAAGAATCAATTGAGCAAAAAGTGATGGTCCCAGAGGGGGTCGAACCCTCGACTTTGGCGTTTCAGAACTTTTAGTTCGTATTAGCACCACACTCTAACCAACTGAGTTATGGAACCGATTTGTTGTGGAGACAAAAATTTGACAATATCAATCAACGTGAGACTTCGAGCTGACGGTCCCCACTCTTGCCTCAACCCAGGACGTGCCCTAGCCGCTTTTGCCCTAAGAGTGGATACATTTCGCTGTGACGTCGTTGAACATCAAGAAATATGTGAACTGGCCACACAGTCAGATCGATAGTACGAACGGTTCAACATTGAGTGAGACAAGAAGAAGTACAGGAGAATCTATTAGCTTAATCGTTTGTCTCACAGTCTCAATGAGCAACTGTAAACTTTCGACTTAGAGCTTGTGACGTCCATTTAGACGCTAACCCAGGTATGGAGTTGCCACTAGATCTATAGATCCAAATGCTGCCTCTCTCCCACAGCAAGAAACGGGTTCCATAACTCAGTTGGTTAGAGTGTGGTGCTAATACGGTTACGTAACGCCAAAGTCGAGGGTTCGACCCCCTCTGGGACCATTTGGATGGACTTCATGCCTTTCCTTTTTGCATCTCTGCTTGCTCGATACCTCGGACCAGAGGACAGAGGGGCCCACTGACATATCCAGCTTCGCTTGAGGAGGGTTTTGCTCTGTGACCCCCGGGCGGCTGTCTGGAGGTTGAATGTAGATTCATCCCGGCGAGATGAAACAAGTTCACCGGTTCTGTACCGTCCAGCGGCAACGCTCTTGAATCCTCGGGGCTAGTACTCGCACTGAAATTAAAATGCAGATACGATATAACGCGCTTGAGATGGAGAAAGCAGCTGCAGACCATGTCATGAGTAGAGTCATGGGAGAGGCAGCTTCACATTGGATTTCCCAAAGGGTTTGACCGGTGGCGGCGAGCATATGAGTTTCACGCAGACTAAGCTTTGCGAGCGAGGCAGTCTTGACGCCTTCGTCCGTGGGAGCACACCATCGTGATGTCTTCGGCTACTGCGTGCCTTGTCTGCAAGGACCGAGCAGCTGTGTGTGAGGGTGCCAGTGTGTTTCCTCGGTCCTCATTTTCGAGCAATTGAGAAGAATCGAGAACCCTGGCCCCTTCACGTATTCATAGAGGGCCACTTCACCGAATCTTTCTCTTTCGTCGCTGGTCATGACCATAAAATCCCTCAAGCAATGTATAACAGACATACGGTGTCGAAAGCCTGCTTGATCACCTTTGATCAGTCGTTTGGATGCCCGCTTACCTCGGAATGTCAGCTCATTCTGCCTTCTTCAAAACACGTCGACCACGGAGAGCAAAAGACCATCAAGGGCAGACACAATGTTCGAGCATGTTCGGAACTTCGGACTAAGAAGCTTGCAACACTCAGAGACGATGATTCGACCCACTTTCTCATGAGAATTAGAACAAGCTTCTTCGAAAACGGTTCTTCATCTTATTTGGAAGGGTCAGAACAACAAGAACCCCCAGAACATATACTTCTTTTTCCTCCTACCCGAGCCAAGCGACATGGACGCCATGCAGGAGGTATGTCCTCACTTCTCAGAAGTGCCTTCTCCAGCGATGTGTCAGTGAACTCCAAGGTAAGCCTGGTGATGATTCTTCTGGTCCATGGAGGGGTGATTTCCATTAACTCACAGGGCCCTCTCGAGTGACATGGATGTGTGTTTCGGTGACAGGACAGAAACACAGAAGGAGAAAATCCCCCTCAGTGCAGAGCTCATCCAACATCTTTAGCACATCTTAGTTGCCCACCCGCAACTAGGTCCCTCCGTGGAATCAACATTGTTCTGTCGCCTCGACTCCATGTTGTGCACTGCTCATGCCTGGTACCTATGCGTTGATTCCCGCGGGGGGGGCCACCTGTCCGAGATCCAAATTGAGTCGACACAGCGGAACCAACCCGAGGTGGCGGTCTCTGTTTGCATTTCATCCGAGTCTCTATTTGCATTCTGACTGACTCTCGACGAGCATCTGTGAGCCTTTCCAGTTGGATGATCTTGAGGCCATGTTATGCGAAAGCTGCAGCGACCTGGTCGAGCAGTCGGGGGCTCCTCTGCACGGGCCCGTCAAATCCGGGGCCGCTCCAATGTGCCGAGTCTGACTGATCTGATTGGAGCTGCTGGTCATCTCCCTCCTTGTGGAGTCATCTTTTGCTTCCAACCAATCAACAGTCCGGAATCCCCCCACGAGCGGACTTGAAGGGCCACGACGGCTCCGCCCGGACGATTGCATTGCCGCTCCACCCAACTCAGATGCATCTCTTACTCTGTCAATCATCGTCTTGTATTATCCTTTTACTTTGTTGGGATTGTTCACACTGTTCGCTGTCGACCGCTCACGGCCGATGTACCCAATGTCAACATCTCACCATGTCACCCGTTTTGGTTGCGGCGATCGAGCGATCCTCGGAAAAAACGGCCAGCACATGCCGATGGGCCGAGCTGTGAATGGTTCCTGCGTGGCGGGTCCACTGCAAGAGGAAGCTAATTGCTCTTAAAGTTGAGGAGCACGGGTCAATCTCCATTTCGCCGTATTCTGATCGAGCTCGTCCCACGCAGTCAGCAATGATTGTCTGGGAGTCAGACTATTCCAATCCACCGTCGTGAGCGATTATCGGCTACTGTGACTCTTTGAGGGCAAGCTGGATGACGAATCGTCGAGTCGATCCTCGCTATTGAAGGCCGTCGTCCATTTTCACTGACATGACCGGCGACGAAGCATCGACGACGCATCTAATCGAACCAGTGGTGCTGCATCCCAAGTATCCGTACGATATCGGTCACCACACAGGCTGACCATTCATTCTGAGATCAATTGGAGAGAGTAATAATGCACAAAGCACCCGTGACAGCGACGGAAGATGTCCATTCTCGTGGCACTGACATGCACTGCAAAGAATTGCATTCCGCAGCCCTGAAGTGGAGGGAAAGCCTCATTGAGATTGGGTCAAGGGCGTGGCTCGTACTGTTCTGTATGTCTCTCAACGAGTCAAATGTCCACTAGAGCCATGATGCTGCAGGTGGTCCAAGTGTGGCTCGCTTCAAATCCATCGAAGCAGGTCCGTTGTCGCCCGATCAAAGCGGGATAGATCATGTAGCTGCTACATTCGTCTCCACTGATCCTCCCCCAGAATCCAGGCCTGTGAGCCAGCCGCTGGCAGCTGAAGTGGAACCTCGACTGACCCCCGGTCGTGTACACGGTACCTCCCGCTGTCCTTGCCCCCGTCACTTACTGCGAGGGATCGACTCATGTCTGCAGTTGTTCCACCTCGTGTCTGGGTTCACGGCCTTTCCTATCCGAGGATGCCCTTATCGTGAAGTTTCACCCCATCCCCACCCATGTGTTGGGGTGATAGGATATCCGTGTTGCATGCCCCTCACCATGAGGCCCGCTCCCGGTCATCTGAAGATGCGTGGACGAGGTTCATACAAAGAGTATATGAATTGCTCCCTCGTGTGATCTGGTCGACAGCCTCGTCCGCACCTTCTCTCGCTCCTCACTTGCTCCCCCCCAAAACCCACACACAGTCTCTTGACTTCCCTCGTCCCGACGTTTGGAGGCGCAACTGCAATGGACTGGATACACATCTACATTGTCGGCGCGGCCTTCTTGGTCTTTGGTCTCATTGGCCTCGTGCTCCTTATTTCATCCCAGAAGGTCAAGCTCGACTTTGACCATGGAGCTCTCTCGTACGTCAAGTTCTTCTGGGCGAGCTTTCTCAAACCGCATGATCGAAGTGCAGAGGGCCAACAAGGTGCCCTGGAAAGTTTCTACAAGGCTCAGGTACGGAAAAGACTCCCGGACTCGGCGTGCTTGGGGATGCTCAATGGATGAAAAAAGAGACTAGAGGCTGACAATTGGCTGAATTGATTGACAGGCTTCCGTGTACGATGCGACCCGTCATCGACTGCTCCGAGGCCGGGAAGATATGTTGGGTCTGGTCGCCGCTCAATTGAAGTACAAGGTGGAGAACAGAGATATCAAGGCCGGCAAAGCAGTTTGGGTAGATGTACGTGACTTGACTGGGCCTCGTGTCCCACCTCAGAACGGACGTCAAAGGAATATGACTGACACGAGTTTCGTCATATAGGTTGGTGGTGGTACTGGGTAGGCTCAATTCGCTTGAGACGCTCGATAGTGACTTCGCGACTCGTAACTGATCAGAATGCAAACAGATATAACATCGAGGCCATGTCTGCTTATCTTCCTGTGGACAAATTTTTTGATCAGGTCTACCTTGTCGATCTTTCTCCCTCCCTCTGCGAGGTGGCTCGCCAGCGTTTCGAGCGTCTAGGTTGGAAGAATGTCACTGTCCTATGCCAGGATGCTCGATCCTTCCGCCTGCCCGAGAGACAGGTGGATCCCAAATCGTCCAACAGCGCCACGACAGACCGTGCCGACCTGATGACAATGAGCTACAGTTTGTCAATGATTCCTGGTCAGTAGATGCTTCACAAAGATGTTCAAGAACATTGGATTCGTGTCCCGCAACATCACGGCTCACATCTCGAAGACTACTACAGCGTTGTCGATTCATTGACGTCTCGATTGAAGCCAACTGGTCTGCTTGGTGTCTGCGATTTCTATGGTCAGTCTTACTCCACCGATACCAAAAACAAAAGCAAAGCTGGACTTGAATTTTGACCTGCGGCGTAGTCCAAAATATCGTCGACGTCTCTTGTCGAAACTACACTGGCGGTGCCTTCAACCGTCACGTGAACTGGCTGAGCCGAGCTTTTTGGCGTGCCTGGTTTGACTTTGATCGCGTGAACTTGGAAGCGGCTCGTCGCGACTACTTGGAGTACAAGTTCGGAACAGTCATCTCGGCAAGCGAGCGAAACTACGCTCTCGGCGGAATTCCCTACTACATTTTTGTGGGCTGCCCAAAAGAGATTGCATCTGCCCCGTCCAGCCACGCCACCATTGAGAAGCTCGATGCTTCTTTCACCGAGTCTCCCTATCTGCACCCCACAACTCACCAGCAAGAAGCCTCTCAGGCCGTCGAAAAGAGTACGAGCGAGATTCGATCCAAGGCATATGAGTCGGCCGTGGTCAATCTGAGCGCCAACTTGCCCCTGCCCTCCTCCTTCTACCAAAACCACCACTACCGCATTCACTACAATGACATGCTTTCGAAGCACACCCAATTCAAGAATGAGTATATCTACGCTTTCACTTGGGAGGACCCGCGTGTTGACCACCGCCTCTTGAACATTGGCCCGGATGATGTTATTTTGGCCATCACGAGTGCTGGCGACAACATCCTGGACTATCTCCAGAAGAATCCTCGCCGGGTGCATGCCGTTGACCTCAACCCCAATCAGAATCACCTTCTGGAGCTCAAGGTAGCCAGCTACATGGCGCTGGGTCATCGGGACATGTGGAAAATCTTTGGCGAAGGAAAACACCCCCAATTCCGCGAACTTCTCATTTCCAAACTCAGCCCTCATCTGTCCAGTCAGGCATTCCAGTACTGGACAGAACACGCCCACGTCTTCACTTCCAGATTCGGTCGCGGACTCTACGAGACTGGAGGATCCCGCCACGCGATCCGCATGGTCCGCTACCTGTTTAACATGTTCGGGCTACAAGGAGAGGTGGAGAAGATGTGTTCCGCGCAAACTCTGGCTGAACAACGGGAAATCTGGCCGCGCATTCGGCGCATTCTCCTCAGCAAGCCCTTGAACTGGGCCATCGTTAGCACCGAATGGTTTGCCTGGAAAGCGGCAGGTGTGCCACGGAATCAGCGAAACATGATTGTCGATGACTTTTTCCGCCGCAATGGATTGACAACGGAAATGAAGCAGGGCAAGGACATCAGTGGGCAGTCGATTTGGGAATACGTGGTGGACACACTAGACCCGGTGGTCAATGAGACTCTGATCAGCAACGACAATTACTTCTATTACCTTTGCATGCAAGGTAAATTCTCGCGCCGGTAAGTACCGTTGAACGTCGCAGTGTGGAAGCAAAAAGATTTCTTACTGACCATTCGCTCGAGTTACAGCTGCCACCCGACCTACTTATCCCCACAAGCCCATGTGAAGATGTCCACACCAGGAGCCTTTGACGGTCTTCGAATCCACACCGACGAGATCAACGAGGTGATCAACCGTATCACCCCGGGTACACTCACCATTGCCGTGGTAGGTTACTACAGTCTCGCTGATAGAGACCCATGATATCTCGATCGACCACCGCTCACACATTTCTCATTTGCATAGGTTATGGACTCAATGGATTGGTTCGACCCAGCCGGCGATGCAGCCCCCGCACAAGCCCGCCGATTCAACGCTGCTCTGAAAAAGGGCGGCCGTATTCTTCTTCGCTCAGCCAGTATCGACCCCTGGTACATCAAACACTTCGAGCAGAATGGATTCTCTGCGCGTCGAGTCGGGGCCCGTTTCCCGGGTACTTGTATTGACCGGTATGTTACTGAAAATATTCTCGCCTGGGATTTTCTTTTTCCTTTTTCAAAATCGTTGTCACTGACATGACTCCACCCTTGATAGTGTCAACATGTACGCCTCGACGTGGATCTGCACCAAGACGGAAGACGTGGCTCGTCCCAAGAACGCACGTACCATTTCTTCCTTGTCCCTGAGTGATGCGACCGTCGGTAAGACGAGACGGTCAAGTAGTGTGGAAGATTTACAGATCTGATGATTTTTAATGACGATTCTTTATCCATTTCAATGTTGTTCCTGATTGTCTTTCTCAGCGAGTGGTTGGCGTTGAGATCCCTTTGATATATGTTGGCTCCCCTGCAGCGTGGTTCGATGATCCCTGTCTATTGATGAAGGTTTATGTTGAGCGAGATATGTCGGAGAGAAAACCCCCGGCTTTTTTTCTTCCGTTCTATTCCATTATCTTCTTTCTCTGTCCCTCTCACTTATTTCTTGTCCTCCAACATGGATGAGGAAAAGTTGATCGAATTGCGAAGAAAATCCCCGTCAGAATTAGATCCACGATTTGATGATTTAAAACCGAAAGGGCCCAGCCGTACTCAAGCCACAATATTTCGAGGCGCTCAATCTCTGAGTATTACAAGTGAAACGGATGATCTCAATTTGAGCGAGCGAAAGCTAAACATAGATAGAAACTGGATATGGATGATAGGTAGGAGGGAGGTGACCGGGGTGATTCAGGTGAGAGCCCGGGCTACCCAGAGCATTTCATGCTCCATTCGAACTATATGAATGAATCATGTGATTACAACTTCCAATTCAGATAGAAAATGAACTCTTCTTTCCAATCCACCTGCAACTCCACTCATTGCAATTGCGTGTAATATTCGCAGCATCTTATTTACTCTCTGCACACAATCCGGAGCAACACAATGCATCTGGGAGATATCTGACTCTGGCCTGCCCCTTTGGTAGCATGTTGGAGTTTTTTTCATAGCGTCAAATGCCTCATGAAGTTATGACCGTTTCTATCTATTCCGAAAGAGGACTATGGGCGGCACTGCGGTACACGTCCGTCGCTCAGCGGCTGATGGGACGAGGCCTGCAAATGCCAAGCACATGATAAGTCAAGCACGCGTTGTGCGAAAAGGAAGGTACGACCTCACTCATGACCAAACGAGTAAGGCAAGTAAGAGGAATTGTTCATGATGCCGGTGAAACATGCCTGTAGCACCTTCCACCTTGAAGTGCTTACTCTGGTTCACGAGAACAGAACTGGATTCTCAGAATCATCTTTCTTCTTAGAAACCCCTTCCAGAACGAGCTCAGCTTCATAAGAAAATCACATTTGACCATCTTCAATCACATTCAGTAAGTGCCGGACAGCTGGGCAGTTTTCCGCAATTCATCTGCTTATTGTTTGTTCTGTTGTCCAGGAAAACGGAACTCCAGAAACGAGTTGCCGAGTTGGGGAGCGGCCGCAAGAAGCGCCGCCTACTACCTGGAATCCTGGAGTATATAACGAGCACATGGATGAGGTTGAGTCACCTCTGTCGTCAACCTTCCCTTGGCCTTCCGAACTGAGCAGGCCAATCTCTCCCACAACACCTCCTCACCCGCCAATCTACATTCCTATCGACACGATCATCCAACACAAGATGGCCGAACGTGAAGATTCGGACATGGCTTCTTCGGGTGTTGTCGAGTCTGCAGAGGTCGAAATGGCCCCTATTGATGAGGGTGAGAAGGAAGAAGATCCTGGCTTCGTGCCCGAAGAGGGCGAAATGGCCCCGGTTCTTCAGGAAGAGGAGGATGAAGATCCTGGCTTCGTGTCCTGGGCTGGCGAAAGGCATCCTCAAGTCCTCGGTCCCCAAGGCTTCCGCCCGGTTTGGTCCAACGTGGATGGCTACCCTGGCGAAATACCATCTGACATTCTGGAATGGGTTGGCCCCGAAAATCCAACCGCTGCCGATCATCTCAGAATGGTTGGGCCCATCTCTAGTTTGCTCTGGCTGGCTCGATTTGATGACCTTGCCCGAACTATGCTCAGCCCGGAATACGCGACGTGGAATGAGGTGATGGTGGTGCCCTCGAGCGCTACTATCCGGTCGTTGCTCCCTGACTTAGCCGCCGAGGAGCGAATTCCCAGCTCAGTATACCAGAGATATACCGAATACCCTCCGGCTTTAACACCAGTGGCCTCTGACTCCCCCGACCTATCTATACCCTCCTGTGTGACTACCGCTACCAAGTCATTCTCTCTACTAAGCCTATTTCCGCTAACCGCCGACCGAAATCTACCCGATAAAATACTCTCGGTGCGTATCTCTTTCGACAAACCGGACAAGCTAGCCCAGCGAATCGAAAGGGACTTGATTCAGACACTCGGAAAGGGTCTTCTTTTCAGTGGAACGAAGCGGTCGTTTTTAGAGCTACAGATGAAATGGTTCGTTCCTGTCTTAAACGCATCGAACACCGATAACGAGTTTGGGCCGGGAATCTATACAACGTCCTCCCTAGCTCACGCACTTTTCTACGCCGGACCCCAAGGAGTTTTGCTCGTCTTCAAGAGCCCAGACTTCCAGGATGTTAATATTTGGGAACCCGACGATAATGACTGGCGTACCATAGTCGATCACTGGACGGGTCGCAGGGCAGCCACCCAGAAACCTCTCGGATGGGAAAGTGATGTGACAAAAGGGCCCATCTCTGTTGCTCGCCGGAGATCATCAACCAGTATTCGTGACCGCGGCCCTCATACGCAGGTAGTCGCCACTGCCTACCCTGGGGCAGCCGCACTTGCGCGCTCCTTGTGTATGGTGATCTGGATTGAGTAGGCTTGGTGTGGCTCACTTTCACTTTTATGCTTAGTTTCACTTTTCTGTTACCCAGTCTCATTTTCATGTCGCCCAGACACTATAACTAATCAATATCAAGGGCTTTGCTGTTTTGATACTCAGTTTACTTCCATGTTCTTTTCCTTGGCAGTAACCTCTGGACTCTAACTTCTTTCCTGTTCTTTTTCAGTCCCTTCCAATGCTTCTTCTTGAGTTGTTTACTTACGCCATCGTAAATAAAGAATTGAGAACTCGCCTATCTTCACCAATATTGTGACAAAACCCTACCATTATGCCAATTTACAAAATATGACGAGATAGCTTTCGCAGGAGAAGTTAATCAAGTCTGACATTTCATCACAGCACAGGGATTGCTATTTCGTTGCACTAGGTGCTCTGACTTCTCCCGCTTCTGCATGACTATATTCTCGCCATTTGATGCCCCAATATGAATCGTGTTTCAAGGGAGTTAAGGTTACCGTGCATATTCAGGAAGCTATATCTTCGATCGTACCTCACCCGCAAATCTACCTTCCTATCGACATGATCATTGATTACAAGGTGGCTGAACGTGAAGACTCGGACATGGCTTCTTCGGGTGTTGTTGATTCTATTCTGCAGAGATCGAGATGGCCTCTGTTCTTCAGGAGCATGAGAATGATGATTCTGATTTCGTGTCTTAGGCTAGCGAAAGGCATCCTTAAGTCCTCCCCCGCCTCAGCCTCTACTTGGGCCGTGTGGTTGCGCTTCACTGAGTACCCTCAGACCCGCACGGTGGCAGATCCTAGAGGCGAAATAGACATAGGCCGGGGGCTATTCACCGTCACTAGGGGTCTAGAAAAATTACTTTCCGTTCATTTCTATTTTTATGATATAGAATCCTTTTCATCTCTCAACCAGACACATACGACCACAGGGTGTGGAAAATAGGGCTTCCCGTCCGCTCAGCCGTACTCAAGCCACACGCCGGTCAGTTAGTAGTATGGTGGGTGACCACATGCGAATCCTGACTGTTGTATGTTTTTCCAATTTTACTTTTGCTCTATTCTGTATTTCTCGAAGAATATAAGAGAGTCACAGGTTTCAAGAATACCTTTCTGAGCCTTGATTTGAATTAGCCCACGGGAGGGTATTGAGGTTTGTTGGATAAGATGGATCGAAAAGTACCACGACATTGAACTTTGACTTGATTTGGAAATCTTAAGTGGTGGCACCTGGGAGGACCGGAAGGAATCAAAGAAAGACCGTTAGTGCAAGATATGACTCGACCAATCGATGCATTTGTAGTCGGTAGGTATTCATCTTCCGGATATGGAATCTAATATTATAGGTGTGTAGTGTGTACTGTGTAGTTTGTACTGTGTAGTGTGTACTACTTTAACCTGGAAAGGGTGAGAATGACCTCATGTACATTGGCATGTATGGTTGATCAAGGTGTGTCTGTGGTTCTGGGTCTTCAAGTTAAAGTGCGATATGTTCGTCCATATCGTTCGTATTATGTGTGGCAAAGCTATAGTTGCTAAATATTTTTGAGAGTTGTAAGGTCCGTTTTGCAAGGCCGAGTATAATCTCCGATGAGCCAATTTTACCGGCTCACGTTCGAGTTGTCCATATTCACACCTGTCGCAAGATGATCGGATACATCCCGTGCGTCACCAACAGTCTTGCCTGACGAGCCCGCCTTGCCATGCACTTGATGCATATCGCTCTCGACAGCATCCATGGCCCCTGTCAGGAAAAAGTCCAATTCACTAGGACCCCCCTGGGAGTGTTCATTCTCCGCCAATTGCTCCAAAAGGCTCAGGAAGGGGTCTTTCTCAAGATTCCCCGTTTCACTGCTCGCTGTGTGAGAGCCACTTGTCTGTGACTGGGCGCCCGGGGTCAAAGCTGCACCGGACTGATTGATGTTCGTGTCAAAGGGGAAGGTCGCGTATTGGGGATGAGAGGGAGGAGTTGGGGCAATGCCGAGAGAAGAGTCTGCGAGAAAGGCCGGTGGTGAAAGAGCGAAGGCGCTGGGAGAGAAGGCATTGGGGATCGCAAGATGTTGTGTTGGATCGTGGTTCGAGTGACCGTTAGAGTGGGAGAGATGTTCGGGGGTGGACTGCATGTGGAAGATGGAAGAAAGCCCTGGTGAAGGTTGAGATTGCTGAGCTTGGGTGCGATGGAAATGGAGGACTGGCGACAGAGCGGAGGAAGAGGAGGACGGAGGTTGTTGGTGTAGATTCTCAGTATGGTAGGATTGAGCTTGTGATTGAGAACCATTACGACGGCGCGATGATTCTGGAGTATGTGATGATGGAAGTGTAGGTGGTGTCGGACGAAGATTATTACCGTAGAAAGGGGTCTGTTGTTGATAAGATGATGGTGGTGCCATCGGCCGGTATGTGTGCGATTGCGCCTGTTGATCACCGAACGCAGAAGGACTATACCAAATATGGTCAGCGTGCGTTTCCTGTATGAGACAAATGCGCGGAAACCCCTCAAAAGCAGAAAACATGAAGCAGCGAATGTAGAGGGGAGCCCGTTCCTACCTGTTTATGAGCTCGTCCCCGGTGTCGACCAACTGCACATGTGCACCGTCCACTGCGAGGCCGGCGTATCGATCCAGGAAATCCTCAAGATGGAAAACCGGCGAAAAGCGCATAGAGCTACTCGCAAGATTTCGCACCAACTCAGTGTGACAAGTGTAGATGCTTTGAAGCAGCTCCCGCTGATGCTGCACGCCCGCCCACGCAGTTCGCAACCAGGCCAGCTGGTGCATCTCCCGGGTCAGGAATTCTGCACTCGAGGAAAAGACCTCCCCCTCACGCCCCTTGTAATGCACCCCGTGAACGTGGACGGTTCCAGCCGTGCATACACAATACCCGACAAAGGCGGGCCATTCGATTAAGGGAGCATTTCGACCGAGCTCGACCAACTCAGCAATGGCGTTGGAGTGGGAGAAACAGAGATTGGTGGCTTCAATCTGCCAGGACTGGTGTTGCCCCGTTCCTCGCAATTCCACCAAGTCAATAGGCAGGAATGGGCGATATATTAGACAGTGCACGAGGTGGTAGATCAGCTTGCTCAGCAGTAAAGTGGTGCTCTCCGGGTGACCAAATAGGGCCTCGATCGAAGAAAAAACGTCCTGGGTGCCCGCCGCCCAAATGTCCAATTCTTGCCTGATCTTGGACAGATTAGAAAGAGCATGCCATGGAAAATGTGAGTCTCCTTTGACACCTCCAGCAGCCAAGTATCGATTTGTAACGCCCAAGATCCGTGTGATATCAATCAGCAAGGATGCCGCACTGGGCGATTTGCGGCGCGAGTCGGCCGAGTATTGAATGTTAGGACCAACGTGGAACAATTCGCCCTCGATACTGAGACCAGCTGCATGGGGCGACCACGAAGGCAATCGCAAAACGATGGAGTGGTCGGCAATCAGACACGGTCGCTTGGACCCGCAGGTGATGAAGCGGTCCATCAAGTAAATCGACCAAAAGAGTCGTCGTCGTGTCTCCCGTTCAGAGGCGGAGACGTTTGCCTTGGATGGCATCTCTCGGAGAAGGTCCAGCGCCACCGCCATGGCCGCACAATTCGCTGGGACAAGTCAGCATGTACAAATCAATCCGCTTGAGGCAATGGAGTGACCAAGCAAATTCCCCAGATAGAATGGCCAGCCTTACAAAATGTCATATATGCCTTCTTTCCCATGCCATAAGCAAAGAAGGCTTGGGAAAGCAGAAGCAGAGATTGCAACCCATCAATTGTCGGATCATCAACATCGACCATTCGTCGCGCTTGCATCGCCGTTTCCAGGCCCATTCGCAGAGCGTATGCTTGATCCCGCTGACCGACGACCGTATATCTGAAAACGAGTCAGACGAGACACAAAGAGGGATCAAAGTAATGGAAAAGTGTGATATGGCTTCGCACGGCTTGACCCACCTAATTGTCATGGCCGAGATCGCCATGGCCAGATGGGTCGGTAACAGATTGGCCTGGTGGCGTTGACGAGTTTCGGCTTCATCGAGAATGTGAAATGGCTTTCCATGTAGCCGGGCAAAAAACGCGTTGAGCACACCATCAGAAAGCGAATTATGCTGCGACGCTGGCGATTTCGCTGAGACGCCTGTAGAGGGACTCTGCCCAGTTGCAGTGGGAAATGTCTCGGCGCCATGCGAAAGACCGGATGGCAGGGGCGGCCTTGACTCGACCGCGGGATGAATCGTATAGGATGAGGCGTCGATCGTCTTGCGACGGGCGCTGTTCGTCGCGGCCGGAGCTACGGCCACGGGCGCATGCGGAGGCCCTTCGTCCGATTGTTGCTCCCGCGGAGACGTTGGGGAGATGGAACTTTTCTCATCTTGCAGTTTTTTCTCCAATCCATCGACGCGTTTCAGGAGCGCTTCAAGGACGTCTGTCTTGGGTCCGCGCTTTTTTGGGATTGCATCTAATAACAAGGTGGGACTGAGTTCAGTAATTGCGTGTGGTGGCAGAGGACTCGCGCACCCGAGGCATGTGTGGAGAAGGCGCAGAGACTCCCAAGGTCGGATATCCGAGGAAAAAAAGTGTGGGGGGATAAGATGGAGGGGGGAAATCGAGGGAGCGGGGGACGATGCGCGCGCTCACCATAGATGCAGGGACACTGGAAGACCTTACAGGCCTCACAACTCGGCCGTAAACGATTGCATTTGATCTGGAAAAATAGCGCTCAGTTTTTCCGCGTCGATTGACATCCCTCACCCGCGATTTGAAGTGGAAAAAGGGAACCATCATCGGCGATTTGTAAGACTCACCTTGCGCTTGCGACAGGATTTGCAATTCATGGCCTCACGTGGTTCAATCGTCGCCCGTCGCGGCGTCAACCGGTCGATGCTGACCTGCGGGCGCGACATGGCTCATTGACATGAAAATTATTGCGAGTAAGGCATGTAGATCGACAAGCGGATCATGGCCTAGGTTTGTGTCGTGGTGTGGTGAAGACCGAGATCCCAAAGCAGAATAGACCACGCGAACAATTAATAGCTCGGCGATTCCGTAAGAATTCCGACGAGATTGAGAGAAAGAAGAACGGTCACGCTTACTGAAAAGGCAGCATGAAAGTAATCAAATGTGGAGGTTGTTCAGAATCGATTGATGCTCTTCGAACTCCACGAGATGGACCGATCGCCGATCTCGAACAGCTGGGAACGCAAGACGTCCTCGTGTTGATGTTCAATGGAGCAAAAGTCAGAAATAGAGGATTCGCTGGCTGCGTGATTTGTCGACGACGGCAAATATGAGGAAGAAGATTTGGCACAAAAATAAGGCAAAAGGGCAAAAGACAGAGCGATCAAGTTAGTGTAAGAAAGAGAGAAAGAGGAACGAAAGAAAGAAAGGAGGCAAAGATCGCAATGTCTGTAAGGAACAATAGAACCAGGCGTGGTTCGATTCGGACTTTTCACAGTACCGTGTGAGCGGACCAAGAATGATGCAAGAAGCACCACCACTAGCCAAGCTTCCGTCGAGAAAAGTAGTCCCCCGACGTATTCGGTCAAGAACAAGAGACTCGTTTCAACTAGGCGTGATCTTGCAGAGGACGAGCGTCGAAAAAGAGTCAAGACTCCCCACAAGACCGCCACAGAAAACTGCCTAGGAACCTTGCGTGTGCCAAACAAGAGAACCGGGGAAATCGGATTCACTTGTCTTTTCGTCTGGAACTGCGATGGCCAAGACTCGAGAGAACCGAGCAGAGCATGAAAAGACATCCGGCGATTCACGCGGACATCAGCAGAGAAGGGGGCAGATGCCCATCCTGGGGGGGGGGGGGCGGAGTGGATGCCCTCGAGGCACTCGATCCAGTGGACGGAGGGCATTCAAGAGTGGAGCAAAAACGCCATGGACCGTCACGACTCAAATGAGCAAAGACCCGTGGAGAATGCGGAGAAGGGGAGGGAGGAGAAATCGATGGGAAAGGCTAAGATCGAACCGTCAGAAAAAAGAAATAACCAGAAAAAGAGGACACGAGAAGAACGCTACAGCACCAGGAGGCGTCTCGAAGGTGACGACCCACGACAGATGCGAGAGTGGACATGGACGAGACGGAGACGACCCAAAAGGAGCCAAAAGAACCCACGAGAGGAAGAGCCGAGGAAACTCTAAAAGAGCAATCGACCAGGGGACCGGAACTGGGGCCACACCGTCACTAAGCCACTTTGACGGCTGAGTCGTGCACAGTGCAGTGTGCACACTCTGCAGTTCTGCACAGTTGACGCGACTTTGCTCACGGGTCAAATCTACTACGAATCTGAGGAGATTGAGATGATCCAGTACTGGTAAATGAGATGGAGGGGATGGGTTTAGCGGTCTCTCGCGGGTGAGGTCCGCCGAAGATCAGGTGATTGGACTACGATTTCACATGACTCTCCTCACTTCTCACTTCTCACTTCTCAGAAATAGGTAACTTATACAAGACGACAACCTTGTTTCCCAGCTGTCGGTCAAGTCGATTTGGAGTACAGTTTAAGTTTCTTCACTTTCTAGTGGATGCGCTACGATGAGATTCGCCTGATCATCTGATGTGCTCAATGAAACATTGTGGAGACTGGAGAGTAGCAAGCATGTCAGGACCAAAAAAAGTTTAGTACTCCCAGGCTACGAGAGATCCCGAAGCTGGGAATGGACTAAATAGATTGACAGGGGCGAGCATGGAGATGTGGATCATTGTGTTATGCATTATTATCCTAAATGTTGTCAGGGCAATGATCACAATGACTCATGGACGACTCCCTCAACCCTCATAGTAGGGGCCCTCGTGTGAGATGCAAAGCCGTTGAAACCTAGATGTGCCGAGAATCATCGCGCTGAGTCACCGGCATTAGGCTTATTCAAGGGTTGGATTTGACTATAGCAGGTGGGCATGAGACGTCTAACAGGACTCGTTGTTGATAGACGGTGAGGGCTTGAGTTGATCTGAGGTTCTCGGACTGATCTTGAAGGTTCCTGCACGCTACTATACGTGGTGCGCTCGGAGCAGAGTCCAGGGACAGGGGATGAGAAGTAGTGACTAGATTCGTGGGAACAACAAGAGGATCTCGAAACGGCGCAGTTGTGAATGTCCTCATGAATTGGGCCATGTGGCACAGGGCACAGTCGCCTCGAAAAGAAACCCACGGTCACTAGGTGCTTCAGCGATGCGAGGTGATGATCATGCTGGTGAGTGACGGTGTCTATTACTCTAATGTACTAGTGGAATTTTGGAGCCAGCTTTGGCCTTCTGCCCAAATATAACCATCAGGGATGCTTTTCAAAGCCGTCAGACCTAGCTTTAACTTCTCGATCTTAGCACAAGCAATCAGTTTGGTGCTTTCTCGCTTCCATACTGAGTTGTCTGCACGTGTCGCCCGCTTGATCTTCGGGGGTAGAACGAGTGGTCCAAGTCATCTATTTTTCATCAGATACAGTGCCACTTTACCTAAAGTGCCAGACCTTCAGTGGTCAGTTCTTTAGTAAGCGGCTTCAACTCGGCAAGGTGCTCTCTTACGTTCCGCCTCCGGTACACCCGCGTTTCCCTTCGCCTCTCGAACTTGATTTGGGGTTTCGAGTGAGCTCAAATATTGAAACAAGACTAATATGTTTCCGGCTGGTAAATACCATGCTCACAAGTATCAGGGCCGTCCGGATCTCGAAGGTTCTCGTCGGCCCAAATAATCATAGTAATTATCTCCATGAAACGCCGCTTCGATCGCACTTCATGCATCCTGCTGACAGCTCCAAGTGGAGGAAATGGGTTTACTCCTCCAAGTGGACCCTAGCCTCAGAGAAATCCACTTTTCTGGCCTGGGACAAGACTCAGAGGCTGTGATGTTTCTCCTCGGCCTGCCTCTCGTTCTGAGCACCAGAAGTGACGCTCGTCGCGTAAAATATTCCGATTCACGGTTTGTTCTGGAGATCGGCCCGCTTCTTCGGCCCAAGTTCTTTCTCGCCAGCGCAGACGCCGAAGGATCTGGCAAACGATCGAGCAAGCCTTTTGGGAGACAGCACGCACTTCAAATGACCCATAACGTGTCTCAGACGGCTGCAGGAGAGAACCATGTCGAAGGCAATCAAGGTGGGGGATCCAGAAGGGCTGATCAGCCTCCACCCAGTTTCGAAGCTTCGAATTTAGGCAGCTACCTATTATTGATGCGCCTTGGGGATTCGTCTCCAATCTTGAATATTGACGAATCTGGCACGTAGGTACTGCGCTGGACCTTCTCTACCTCTAAGCAAAAGCTGGCCTGTCCCAGGAATGAAGAATGAATCTTTACTACTTGACATTCACAATTGTAGCTGACGGCTTGTCGGGATCTATTGCCGAACTTTGATAGGGAATGAGAGTACTAAGCTCCAGGGGCAAGCGCTAGCATCTACCCTAACGTACAGTCTGGTCCACACAAATGCGCCCATCACCTACCGCTGACTACCATCCACTTCCCGGAATGGAAGTCAGTGTCTGGACCTTCTTTTCCCACGAACAGAGTCAATATATTTCAAATCAAAGACCATCCCTGACTGTCTCACGTCGACTCCTTATGCTTGCATAACAAAGTGCAGGGGAAAATTTATTGCCGGTCCACTTTTCAGCGGCCTCATTACTGAGCTTGCGTCTCAGACTAAACCTTATCTCAAAGACATCATGTCTTGTCGGCTTCGCTCATAGGTGAAATTCACAGCACAGTTCAGAACGAAGCTGTGATGGCCCGTGGACTTAGGCACGAACCAATTTGGAGAGCTTTTGGGAGAACCACTGGAATTGTGCCTTTGGGACCGGTGCAGATTCCTATGCTAAGGTCCATTCCGAGGTCTAACCGTCCTCCGCTTAGGGTGGGTAAGACACCGATGATCGGATTAGATCAAGAATATCACAGTGGGGCAGCGTAATCTTAAGTCGATTCTTGATTATTCATCTCCTTCAACGTCTGCCGATGGATCGTATTGGGAAGGACTCTCTTGGGTCCCTTTCAGATAATTCTTTCCAGTCTTAGATTCTTCCCGGATTCTATCGGTATTGAATCATTGATCAGGTATATAGTATGACCTGTTCGCTTCAGACGATCGCAACGCCATGCAAAATTATTGCAATCGGAAAAAAAGATAGTGAGACACCTACAATCTCTGCACAGTGCACACTCTCTGACTAGAAAGTATCACCAAGGCGAACGGAACCGTGGGTGAAAAAAAAAAGAAAAGAAAAGAAAAGAAAAGAAAAGAAAAGAAAAGAAAAGAAAAGAAAAGAAAATCACCACTTCGGGGGAATGAGGGCTGCGCGGTATCATTCCGAGTCCCACTAGGGCACCACTCGATGAGATGAAGTAGTTGGCGTATGGATATTGATAATTACCAATGCTTTTCGGTAACTGGGCGGCTTTTAATTATAATTCTTGGAGTCTGGATTCGTCAAAGCACGTCCGTTTCTTATTGACCCATCTCTCCACTGCTCCAGTCTCAACCCGTATTCGTGTTGAAGACCGGATTCAGAGTTAGGTTCGTTTCACTTTTCGTCCGCTGCACCCAATCGCCCCTGATCCTTGCTAAAGTCCGTATTTAGAGGGTGAACGCGCAGCTTTGCGATTTGGACACTGGGAAAAAAAAGTTAAATAGTGAGTCTCATGTGATTGTAGAAAAGTAAATATCAGCTAAGTCTAATCTCTCGTCGGCTCTAACTCATTCATTGCGAGGAATTTCATAATCCTGCAGTCTCGGTGCATGAGTACATAGCAACGTGTCGGCCGAGCTTAAGTTACTACCTTTCGAAGTGTAGCTTGCCACCGGACCAACTCAACTTCTCCAGCATATTACACATTAGCCAAACAGTAACGTAATTCACGGCCGGTCGGGACACACGGCCGGTCGGGACGCCCACTCCAAAATCGCGTATTCCTACCACCCTACCTAATTCAACTACCTACTATACCACCAATTCGCACTGAATCTTCGCAGAAATCAGCTAATCAGGAGGGCAGGATCCTATTAGCCCTTAATGATATAGAAAATAGCTGTATCAAATCTATTCGCGTAGCTGCGGAGCTATACAGTATACCGCGCTCTACACTATACGCGCGCGTATAGAAGATCCTCACACGTTGATAAACGCCTATTAGGTTATAAATTAACTTAATTAGAAGAGGATTCGCTTACTAAATAGATCCTCTCTATAGATTCGCGTAGGGTAGCGCCTAGGCCCTCTACTATTCGAGAGATAGCTAATATCCTTCTTATAGCGCGTGGAACTAACCCTGTTAGGGGGTCTGTATCGCAGGACAGAGAACCTGTTGGCTAGGCAGAGAGTCCAAGTCTATGGTTATGATTTTCAAAGACTGAATCTTGGGGTGTGGTAGACTTCACCAGTTCACACAATATATACATGGGGGTTCCGTGTACCGAGTCCCCACAGCCCCACACAGAGCCTTTGGGGTTGTTACCCTAAGGCGACGCGGGGTCGATTCGATCGTGAATCGTCCTAAGTCACCACGCATGACTACGCCGTGACAAACCCCCTATTAACTATTAGCGTTAATTAGGTATTAACCTTCGTTAAACGGCGCGATAAGCTTTAATCACGCTATTCTAAACGATATAATTATCAGCGCGCTCTTAACGAGGATCTAAAGGCTATTAAAGAGTGGTTTTTGATGGTGTAACGTGCGATTAAGGAGAATAGGATTTAACCGGAGGATATCTATAACTTTGATAAGATAGGCTTTACGATAGGCCTTATATCCTCGCAAAAGGTAGTTACGCGCGCTAAATACTACGGTCGGCGATCGATTCTATAGCCTAGTAATCGCGAATAGGTTACTACGATCGAAGTAATATACGCCGATAGCTATACGCTACCGCCCTATATTATTTTCAAAGGCTAGATTTATATCGCTAGATAGTTTAAATCGTCGAATATCCCTAGGGATTAGCGAATCAAAGTATCGAATAATAGCTAGACTACTAATAAAATCGGCCTTTACTAGCTTTAAAAGCTCTTTATTCTATATACTACTTTACGTATACAAGAACGATTTCGGCTATTAATCCTTAATAGGTACAGTAGCTATCTTATACCTTAATTCGATCGAATCTATACCGAAAATAATATTATACTACTTTATATACCTTTATATTCGTCTTACCTACTATAGCTACTTAATATTAGGTACTTTATAGTACTAAAGCGTATATATAGTCGCTTCGTGAGTAATCTAGCCCGAATAGGCTATAATTATATCGATAAGCTTAATTTTCTTATAGATTATCCTTATATATAGCTAGAAGCTTTTTAACCGAATATCGTCTAAAGTAGCTTTATAGCTACTAGTATCGTACTAGTTAATACTAGTCGAGTACTTTCTAAGCTTAATATATCGCTTCGAACGCCTCTACTACTATTAAGTCGACTAAGTAGTAGATCTAGCTAATTCACACTAAAAACGCCTCGAATAGTAAAGTAGCTAGAAAAGTAGGCTAAAATAATAAAAGATCTAATAGATTAGTAGTCAAAAAGCCCTCTAAGCCTATTAAAATTAGTAGTTAATCAGATTCTTAAGGGCTACTATTAAGCTTTATATTATACTACCTTATTAGTAAAGGAAAACGCCGATCTACGCGTAGCGAATAAAAAGAAACGTTAAAAGCGTACTCGATCGACTAGGCAGATAGCTTATAAGGGAGGCCTATCGATCGAAGAGGGCCTATAGCTAGTTCAGCAGCTAATTTAACTACCTAAAGCTAATAAGGTAGTATCGTATAAGGAGGTCGATTTGCCTAATCAGCCGATTCAACCGGCTAGGAGGGCTCCGCCTACCTATAGTGGATATAGCTAAACTGGCCACAGGATTACTTCATATAAAAATCGTATTATTTAGTTGAATTAATGGGTGTTAGTTGAGATAATCAATTTTGAATCTTTGTAATGGTGCTAGGTGTCCCGACCGGCCGTGTGTCCCGACCGGCCGTGAATTACGTTATTGAACGGTGAACTTCATCTACATAAGTACCGAATGAATGCTGAACCTACTACATGTCGAGTACGTAACATTACCATACTTGCCTTACCTGCAAGCTGCACCCGCATCACCACTGCCCAACTCCTCTGGAGACGGACCCCAAATCTCACCTATTACAACCATGTGCATAGGTAGGTTCCGGTTGTGACTGACACCGGCGTAAGGTCTGCCTCTGCGAATCTTCTGGTCATGCGTAGACCTGCAAGCAGGTAGTAAGATTTTATCTATATTACAAATAAAAACATTGTAGATCTCTTGGGAAGTCGTTCTTCAGTAGGAGGTAAGTCATATTCAGATTCTACAGTCTGTGCTTAGCTAAAAGTTTTGAAACTATTCGTACCTGGGCAACTTCTAGGTACAGGTACAAGATTCTTGCGTCCATCGTTGAGACATCCGTAACTTCTGCTTGGGGGGGGGACCCAGCAACACTCGACCCGGACGGGCATGACCGCAAGTGAAGATAATCCTCTACTGAGAAACTGGAAAGCGCACAGATCAACCTTCGTTGTGGCTGTCCATCCCGCTGAATGGAAGGAAAGCAACCATCTGCAGCAGAGCTGTGCAGAACACAGCTCAGCAGACACACCTGTGCTGGATATAGTTCCTGCCGCTCTACCCGTAGACTCGATGTTGCCAGGCCCTCTCCTTCTGTCCACTTCAAAAAGACTCGCTTGAGTCATATTTCACCTATTTATCTCAAAATACACATCGCGCATACGCGCCGGGCGGTTAAATGCAGAAAAGCTTACTCGGACGGGATTCGAGGGTCCAAAGGGTCTCAACGTGGATCAAATCCATCCCCGGAGCCACCTCCGCATTAAATCTAACTACCGGACCATCCAGTCATGCATCAGACCGAGTCTGTGCTGTCAGACAGAACATGCAGAACTGTGGATTCTTCAGCAAGATCAGGCTCAACCCAATGAACGACCTACCTGAACGTGGCATTGGAAAGACTCCATGGCTGACAGGCTTCCCCGCAGTTGAGGTCTCTTTGTGCAGTCTGAGTCAACAGTCCTGCAAGAACAGATTTATCCGAGCGCAACTTTGTGAAATGCAGGTGGGCCTTTAGCCTTTTCTGCGTGTGTTAAATATGTAGTTGGGACTGTGTAATAGAGCGCTGCGAAGAATCTGTTCAATGTTGTAACGACTAGAACTACGGGCTGTAGTGCTTAGTTACTTACACACTCCATTAGTCCAAGTGTGCCAGCAGTACATTCATGCAGGTGAGGATGAATCATGAAGGAGCGGCTTGAGTCGGCTACACGTTCAGTTTCGCGCCACCGAGGCTGATTATCGATGAAATAAGTGAAACAGGAATATGGCGAGCGAGTTTCGCGGATGGACCGATGACTGGAATTCTTGACATCAAAACATCCATTGGACTACGGTGCTCACTCAGTCTTCCCAGTGCAGTCGCGCGTACTACGTGGTATCCTGGGTAGCTAGACAGTGGCCGCTGGACATTTGCCGTGAGTAGGTATGACTTGGCTTGTCCAGTGGAAGTGTGGATGCCTCTACTAATAGTATTGTAATGTTCGGAGTTTGCAGAGTCCACGCCGAAGCGAGCCCTCGTGCGCTTTATTAGATACGATATCGCAAGTGTGAGAGAGCCATTGCCGGGATCAATCTTGTCCTGCGGCAATAGAATACCACCTCCGAGAGACTTGAAATCTACCAAATTGAGGTTAGTTCCACATGAGAATCATCTCTAAGACAGTAAGTATTCAATTGATAAACTTAAACATCCTGATCCATCATGCACCTATGACTCCGATATTTGGGTCTTCAACGAGATCGCCGCATATCCTTATTCACGCGCAAGCGACCATCGTTCTCGTATTCTCGTCCACTGATGTTGTTGAGCGGCAGCACAACTCCACTGCGGTTCATATGAAAGATGAGCACCTGATCGCTGACGCTAGAAAGTGTGCAAGTATAGAGGAGGAACCTTGATAGTCTGTATAGTTGTCCCCTCTTGCTTGCCCAGCAGATCAAAACAAAGGTCGCCCAGATGCCATGCGAACAAAGTCAAACGGCACATTCTGACCCACAAGCAAGCGCAACGTTTCCACCGTCGTCCACGCACTCACGTCCTCACTACCATACGCCGTCCAGCCAGCGCTCGACGCCACCGCCAGCGGGTCACCTTTCCTAGGTCCACAGGTTAAATCAAGATAAACTTTCCCCCGCGTAGACGGCGGCGACGACCGGCCATTGCAGCGGTAGTGACGCAACAACGGCTGCACCAGCAGAGATTTCTCTGGTGGCAGAGCCGAAACAATGACAAACGGCTGCTCGACCAGTTTGACGGACTGCACTGAAGTGAATGGTTCCAATCCCCCCGCTAGAGGCCCGCTAGCTTTGAATCCCACAGTGTATATAGATCCCACGCCGAGACTACGCAGCGCAAAGATGGCAGCAGATGCGTCGGTTTCAGACCCAGCAAGAATAATGGCTGCGCGGCCGCGATATGCAGAGGGCACATACTCGCGGGTGAGTGTTGCGCGAATGCCCTTCCAGGCGGCATTCTCACCGATGAAGCGTGCGCTGCCGTTGGCGGTGGGCATGGCGAGCGCAATTGTGTCGACTAATCCAATGGCCCGCGCAGCATCGCTGATTGCAGGCAGAGAGGTACTGGAGCTTGGAATGGGAGGGTTCAGACAGGCACCGCCAAACTGGGGCTGATGAAGCATCGCCTCCATAGAAGAGCCCTTGGGACCGCGGTCGATCGGTGTAAACGTGTGCGGGAGGCCCAGCTCATTCAAGCATTTTTCCATGAACATCGTCTGTGGGGTGGCACGGAACGAGCCGACAAAGTAGAGGTCGCGCTTGGGGAGTTGGCCCATGATGTGCAGCGCCTCGTTGATCTCGGCCGCCGTCAGCTGACCCGGTGCGGCGATCATGGGCAGTAGAGGATGGGTGATGGGAGAAAAGACGGTGTTGAGCGCACGAGACAGCTGGCCCATTTGACCCATGTTGACAGCAGAGAGCAAGGGACCGGGGCCACGGGCCTTGATGGTGGAGCGGAAGTACTCCAGCTCATAATTCTCCTCGATGGTGGAGACCATGGCAATCATCTTCACAATGTCGCCGTACTTGGCGCTTTCTTCAAAGACACGCCGAGCTTCAGGAGCCGTCCACTTCCATGTCCCTGAGAAGTCGTGAAAGGCGGACATGATGATACTGTGACCCTTGACCTCGGCCAACCGCCGACGGATCTCCTCGGGAAGCCACAGCTCCACGTCAATATATTCCACCCCCCATTGTATAGCACGTCGTAGATATTTGTAGGACAGCATGGGATCGTCCATGGGAAATTTGCCATTTTCTTTCGTACAGCGGACCGTGAAGATGATCGGAAGCTCGGTGTGCTGTCGTAACAACATCAACTGCTGACCCACGTACTTTAAGCTCGGCACCGAGCCGCCCGCAGCAGCAGCAGCGGCGGCGGCGGCGGCATCCGCTGTGGGCTCGACCAGCAAATCCACACGAATCTCCACCGCATCCGATCCCACCGAAAGGATGTCGAGATTGGGCAGGGCAGCGTGCACATCTGGGAAAGTGGTGGAAATGAAATTGGTCCGGGTCTTGGTCCGCAGATCCTCGTGGGGTTTCGTCTGGCCCAAGATCAATGAGAGGAAGCGTGTCAGATCGCGACGCAGGAACGGGGTCCGCGAGTACAAGAATTCGTAATCACACAATTCTGTCAAGGCATCCTCCGGGGCAGACCCGTCCTCCACACAATGAGTGTTGATGAGCACAAAGGAGGACCTGTCGCATCCGTCCAGGCCATGGGGGAGATCCTGCGGCAGCACGCCTGCAACCACCACATCGGAGGCTCTTGACAGAGTCCTCAGGGGGGTTTCTGTAGTCCAGGGTTTCCCTGCAATCTCTGCGACCATGTGCACAATGCTTTCCATCCCCGCGCCATAGACGATGATTATCGTTCCCGACGGCGTGTCGGGCGGAGGCACGACGGACGGTGCTGCATGACTCTGAGGCGACCACGCGGGCGCTGAATGATTCGACACAATCGACGCGATACTCAGTGCGGAGGTGGTGGCCGAAGGCGCCGACGAAGACGCAGGAGGCGTCACTGGTAATGTGGACGTGGACGCAGTCGGCAAGGGAAAAGAAGTGGAGGCGGGTGAACTAGCGGCATGCGGAGGACTGGGGACCTGAAGGGCGGTCGAGACGGCGGCGGCGGCGGTATCGTCGAGTCGCGGCGTGGCCATCATGGGCGGCAGAGCAGTAGGCATCATGATCGCTAAGCACGCCCTATACCAGGTTCATTGCTGAACTGTCAAACCAATCTAATCGACTGATGAGGAGCTTGGCCCTGTGCGACGCAGCAATTTGCGCGCTCCCCCCTTCTCGTCTCCGATCGTGCTCACGGCTCTCCCCAACCAACTGTCACGCGCAAGGCGCAGAAAAGAGGCTGCGGAAGAGAAACCAAGTAGTTGGGGCTTTGCTGAGGTGCCTATGTCCGGCGGTACCTCGGTACAATCTTCGACGAGAGACACACCAACGAGGATCGGAGAAAGATAGTAGGACTCAATAATCTCCGAGTCAAAGAGGTGGTCGAAAGAAAGAATTGGCGATCTAGGCTCAAGCACCGTGAATGGGGAGAGGGGGAAAGGTCCGCGACAGCGTCGACCGGCTTGGTTCCGAGGAGGCAAATGCGCACGGCGAAGACTGTGTAGTGTGTACTCAGTACTCACTACTCAGTAAGTCAGTACTGTGGTAAGAGTGTAGTACTGCAGCAGTGCGGTCTTTCTCACGCGAGGAATACTGTGAGGCTCCGTCGAGACCCAACCCTCCGCTGAAAAGGTTTCGGCACAATTATCGACCCAGCCGCAGTTGTAGATGAATCAACTGTGAGAAACGTCTCAAGTCAGCGCACTGTGAGAAGAACCGTCTGGCGACCGGATAATTGACAATCCCCGGCAAACCAGTGTGCCGGTCGTGTGTTGGATCTTGGACGGAGATTCTATTGCGGCGAGTTGAATAGAGTTTCAGATGGTCCGGGGGGGGGGAAGGACTAACGCTGCACTGGAACGGATCCTCCGAGTGGTGCCTCCACTGCTTTTGTAGTGGGAGCTTGGTGAAGTCGGTGACGGGGGCTCGAGAAACACAGTCCACTTTCTCTGTTCGTCGTTCTATTTTGCAACCTACTGGATGGATCCAGTCCGGGAGTCGCGAGTGATGAATGCGCCAACGTGGACACTTGACTCGGTCAACTGGCGGATCCGATCACCTAGTGGTTGATATAGGTATGGTGGTATACGAGACGAGACCAGACGAAACTAGAGCAGCAGATCTCGGGTCGCAGATTTGGGTCTGATGGAGATGAAAGATCCTCGCAGAAGTCACGACTCACCACAAGGTCGTTGCGACGCTAAGGTTGTCTCTGCTGTCTCTCTTAATAAAGGGTGCCTAGATTTGCGAGTCCCGTTTACAGAGTAGTCTGCCGTACTAGGATCATCCCCGGGTGGGCGCAACAGGGAGTCCGCGAAGAGAAGAGAATAGGGATGGAGTTATGCAGAGAGAGACAGCGACAATCCAGAATAAGAAAGAAAGAAAGAAAAAAGGTGAATAATCACAGCAGCTCCGAAAGGATCCGTGGTTATCTCGTGTGTACTGTGTAGCTGTGTACTGTTCAGACTTCAGAGTGTGCAGACTGCTGAGTACAGCTCCAGAGAGGCAGTTATCGATGTTGAACTCGTGGCCTTGGCTTGCTGGAGTACTGCTCTCAGTCTCACAGATCGTCGCTCTCTTGATCTTGCTCACCTCCCGGGACCTCTGCGTGATCTAAGCCCCCCTATCCACCGGTTTTCCTGGAGGGTCGGGAGTCCCGCCGAGTAATAATCATAACCATGTGCCGTGCACCCTTGAAGTTGACCAGAGTCGTAACGCTGCATTCTACTGGTGCTGTGAACTCCACCAGCTTTCATCCGGGGCGCGACGCGGGGATCCTAAAGTCAGTAGAAATTTAAAAAATGAAGAAAAGAAGGAAAGAAGTCCAAAAGAGCGACCCGGGGAAAGCTGACGGAGTTACAATTCTCCGCCAATGAGACATCTCAACGGAAGTATTACCGTCAACCACTGATGCAGGTGGAGGAAGAATAGAATCCATACTGTAATAATAATATGGATGGATCCTCTCGGCCCAGAGATTCTCTGCCAGTGCAGGGATCTCGTTACGATGGAGAACAAGACCAAGAACGGGGGAAAAAAAGAAAAAAAAAGAAATGAATGGAGAGGAAGAGTCCATCCGAGCAGAGGTCGACAACATGAAGGGTGGGCAAGAATCGTAGTCAGACGGTAAAATGATGGTCGGCCAAAGGCACGTTTATACATGTGGAGATATACTTGGTTACGTGCAATGCTTGGAGTGCTATACGTTCAACATTGTACAATAGTAAATAGTTGAAAACTTGCCATACCTCTGGTGCAGTCATGGGGCAGACGCCTATTTACCAGGTGGTCGGGATGAAGAATGGATCCATTGAGAAGTGGGAGTGCTCTATTTATCCGGACAAGGATGATACGTCCATGTCCCACCGAATGTTCCATCAACCGACGAGTCTATACTCTACCGTGATCAATCTGCCAGCCGATAAAGAGGTCAACAGATACGGTAGAAAGTCATCGTACATTGACGCCGGGTTTCGAGGGTTAGAAAATACGGAAGAAACCAACGGTGATCGGCCGGAGGACCAAGGAAATACGACATGGATCATGGACTAACGACGAGACCGCGCGCCATCTCCGGAACGATAAACACATCCGTTTGCACCGCCTCACCAACTGAACAAAGTGTGTTCAGGCAGCGCTATCATCGGAAGTATGAGCGGCCAAGTCGGGTCAGGATCCGATAAAAAGCCACGAATGAAGATAAGTGCCCGGCAGATCTCTATTTGACACTTCGCCGGACTTTGGCGGAGGTACAGGCATTAGGGACTAAGGTAGTAAATGTGGTGGTGTACTAGGGAAAAGTACATGTTATGTCGATGACCTTCGATTGTCATCGCTACTGATATACTGCAGAATGTTAGACGATCTATCGACCAGATTCGACAGTCATATGTACAGTATTCAACTGGTGAACCTTCCGTCCGCGGTCGTTGACTCGTTATCGAGGGTAAGCTGATCTCTCGACCGGCACCAGCATTTGCCAGCCAAGATACCCAGATTGAGTTGACTTGCTCTTTTGAGACAGTGGCAGGGTACATTAGAAGACAGGGCTGGTCATTGTTCAATACATTCTCAACGCAGCTTCATTCCAACACTGGCTAAGTACTACTATCACACCGTCCCGTGCTTATAAGTGCTCGGATGGTACGGCACTAACGTGCACAAAGGAATTCAACATGGAGGTTTGAGAATTCTCAACCCAGTCGGAATGTTATACCATAACGATCAGCGAAAGGCCTGTCTATTAAATTGCATGTCTCTTCCTACCTTGAATGAATGATGCCTTCAACGACCGAACTTCCGTAAGGCTGGCTGGAGCCTCCTTTGTACAATTCACTCATTCCATGGATGGTCACGCGCCAGACATAACCCCCGAATGAATATGTGTATCATATGTAAAGGTCACCTGGGATATACCTTACTCAGTCAACGTACTAAGGTTAGAACCACTCTGCACAGGAGATTGGTTAACCGAATTTGGCGTCATCTATACGCAGCGGCCATCCACTTGAGATCAGATGTCCCCTGGGAGAGAATCCATTATCGACAGGGGTCTTTCTACCGATCAGCCTGAATATCGACCGGCTGGGAATTTCTGAAAATGCGGTGACACGGGCCTGACAGATCAATCATCCTGATCATCATTCTTGATTGACTCAGGTGTTGGCAGAATGACCGGCTCTGTTGGAAAAGATGAATTCAACTGTAGTCGGCTCATAGGTGTCACGTTTGAATTACAGTGCAGAAATGACAGAACCCTACTTGAATAGCTACCAAAGTATATATCCATGCCAATGAAGACCGAGTCAGTTCCTCCCCTCACAGACGTACCTGGCACCTCCGATCTTGTGGGTGAGTATTTCTGCGCGTACCTCAAAGCACTCCAATCATCATAGACAAGATTGAATGTTTCAGGCTATTCTAAATTTCCACCCAAGCACTTCAAGCATGAAACCAGAGTACAAATGAATGCCCGCGTGACTTGGCCTTCCATGCAGTCATGCACATTTGTCACGTGCCTCACATACTCGGATTTTACCTAGCACATCAATCAAGCCTGATCTCCCTTTGATTTCTGCCCGGTTTCTTTCACGTTGAGAACATTCACTTGTCTTCCTATCAAGCTTGGGTTGGCGTGGTCGTGTTTGAGATTGAGTCAGGAAAGTTGAAGTATGGCTTGCCTGTCTACAATCTCGTACGATCTGATTTTACCTTATTTAGCAATGGATTCCGTCCATAATGGAGTGTCATCGACACGATTTACTTCAGATGGATTGGAACCAAAGGTCACAGCCTACATAGACTATCTTCATCCATGATTGGTCCAGTAACTTCTAAATTCTTACAGGATTAAAGGAGAAATGACTTCCTCATATGACGATTTCTATTGTGGTCGAGGTAGGTGATACTTGAGGATTTCATGTACACTGTTTTAGGTACAGAGCGAGGTGTCTTTGAAAAAGGGCCTCGATATTTCGAGGTGATTCCAGGATACAAAACATATTCCGGGCTCAAGATGGTCTCATCAAAAGTGAAGAGGATCGCGACTAAATTGATCTGGAAAACGACTTGGGGGTATTCTGAAGATGGAGAATATGAACAGACAGAGATTGAAGAGACATAGTACCCACAACGCGCAGTACACTTCGTGGCGCGATGAACATTTTCGAACTATCGAACTGAGGACCGGTTCAGCTTTACTTGCGCGCAGCAGTCGGAAAGATTCAATGATACAACCAGGAGGCCGTCGTTCTAGTCAACAGAAGGAATTTCGGCGACTTGAGATCTCGAAGACTCGTGGCCAGTTGCCGGAGCATGATAGCTCTGTACGAGTGTTTTGCGAAAAAAGGAAGCTCTGGACCCTGAATCGTACACGACAACTCGTGGTTCGGGAAGCGTGTGGGCCATGGTAAGATGTGGATGGCAGAAGACGATGGGATGCTTCTGGGGCTTGACTTTTGGCTCTCGTGTGAGAGACTGGACCAGAGAGAAGATAAAGAGAGATTGCCTGGAGAAATCATTCTTGACGTGCCTTGGGAAGCTGAATGTGAGGTATGGTTTACCAATTATTCGGCAAGAATTTCTGATTGGCCGAGAGTTTCAAGAGATAATGCCATGTACGTTACCACCACGTCCCGCGTGGAGAACGTGCCTGAAGAGGACTTGGACTTGCAAAGCCATCTTGTATGACTTGGGCTTGATAATAAGGAGACAAGAGAGAATATTCGGTCACTTCACGCGCATGTTCTGCCGCTATTCCGAAAGATAGCCCGGTCCCCCCACCGGGAGTTGACGAACTCGTCCACAAAGAGCAGAGTCGAAACGATCGGCAGCTTGCACTAAGCTTGTTGTCCAAGCAAGGCAAGACTGGAGTCACAGGAAGCGCGTCAGCTAGCATGTGAATGATCACATTCGATGATCCGATGAATCGGGGCAAGTGACGAGTTCACGAAGCTTGCCAAAGTGAGCTTTTCGCACCAATCACGTGCAGTTAGATGCAATCGGAAAACCTCCGGAGAAATTAAACCCGTCAGCTTGGAGGGGATATGGCCAATCCGTTCATGAGGTTTGGCAATGGCTTTCGGCGCGCAGTATTTGCTGCCGTCGAAACCCGCGGAGCCCCATGTATCATGCGGGGTTCTTTCATAAGAGACGTGTCCAGTTTGGCCGGCGCTAAGATAATCGTTAGACGACAGACCACTCTTGAACGCAGCCAGAAACTTATTGAACTCACCTCGTTGTGCAACTCGGCTGTAATCGCCAGACAGACTCGACTGGCTGCGGCTACTTGGGGCGAAGAATGAAGCGCTGGCTGTACGCCAAAGGTGATGAGAGGTGTCCGACAAAAAGTCCGTGGTGGATCGACCGGAAAAGATCGAGGATCGCCCTCGATTACGCTTCGATAACACGATCTCATCGAAAAGTGCCATGCGCGAATCCTTGGCCTTGGGGCTGGTTCTTTCACGCTCGCTGATGAACTCATTGAAACCTGGAGGGCAGCAAACGGTTAGAATCGACACAGCTTGTTTCCAGGTCCCGGGGAAGCGGGGACAATTTTGCTTACCTTGTGTCTGTTGCAGCACAGCGATGTACTCGGCATGCTCGGTGGGAAGACTCTTCATAAACGCATCGATATCAAAGGTGTAAAACATTCCTTGTTTCTTTTTTTCACCAGTAGCCGGAATAAGGTATTTCTTGTACGTGTAGAACAAGCTGGCAAAACACCTCACAAAGGCTGCCCGGATCTGGTCTGGGTGGAACGCAGCCTCGCAAACTAGGCAGACTTGGGAGGCGCACCGGTTGTGAATAACGAGTTTGCATTGGGCGCAACGGAACATCCCCTCCTCTGCGCGATCATCACAGATGGCGCAGACCATCTTCTCATCCCACGACTGAATCTGGAAGAAGTGACCCTCAATCCAGGCAGTACCCGCGGTGTGATCCACCGACTGCACAGCAGCCTGCGGAACAATTGTCGACGCAGCAATGGTGGATTGAGCGTATACGGACGGGGCGTATGTGGAGCCAGGGCCCGGACCGGGAGCCGGACTCGGCTCTGCGTTCATTGTACTGACGGACAGGTTCGATGCATGGCCCAGGAAGGGTGCACTGGGACGACGCGCCATTCCAAAGGAAGAGCTCCTCCGCGAGGCAGCATCGAAATGTCCTGAGCGTTTCTCTCGCAGAGACGCCTGCAGCGCCATCCCAGAGTCTTGTCGAGACGATGACGAAGATGGAGGAAAGTAGCCCGAAGTGGGTGAATGCTCGCGCGGGGACGGCGGCGACGCACTCGCACGCGCAGTGGAGCCAGTCCCGGGCCGATCGAAGCTTTTAGCTGAAAAGCCCCGTGAGAAAGACTGTTCGTTACGGGCATGGAGGAAAGCGTTGAAGATGGGGGGCTGATATGTGCCAGGGGAGACCGCAGCGGAGCCGAACGTCCCAGAATTTAGGCCGACGTACTTTGCCAAATTGGTTGGCAGCGCCTTTGCGGTATAAGCGGCAGTGTTTTCTGACAAGAATGTGTCCCAAGGGTAAGTTTCAATGGCGTATGCGGGAGGGCCCGTAGGCACTCCGCAGCGACCGTGATGGGGAGCAGCCATCTGCAGCAGCGAGAGAAGCTTTCGACGCTGATGCCGGGGTAAAGGCGTTGGCTGAAGAGTGCTCTCGATCAGGTCGTTGTCAAGGTCCACTAGCACAAAGTCGTCGGTGGGCAATTCAACCTTCTCATACCGGCGCTCAATTCCAACAATGTAGGGACAGGGAGCCTCGATGGCTTGAACAAGGCGAGCGGGTAGAACGGGAATCAGAACACCCGTCCACTGGAGTGGGAAAAGCAGATCGACGAGGGCTCTCGTGGCAAGGTAGAGCATTGACGTATGTGACGACAGGAAGATGATGCGAGACTCCGTCAGGGCGTACTCGAAAAGAATGATGATGTTCGCGATCGACAGAGTTCGAAACAGGGCGTACAGGTCGGTATTGCGAGACCCTGGAAGCTCGTTCGCAGCCTCTTGTCGAGCGAACAGGCGCAACTCTCGGATGGCCAGCTCGACCTGGGTCTTGGACGAGACGGGACAGAATGCTTCTGTGCATAGATTCATGACATACCGTTCGAGCGGCTGCCACACTCCCATGCGGGTCGAATTGGAGGGCACTCGCTGCACAGCACCCTCGGTCATTGGCACCACAATGGCCTTCAGCCATTCCTTCCAAAAGCTGGTCATATTCGCCTCGCGGCCCAAGATACCGTAAGCGCGCGGAATCCAGAATCCGGTATCGCCATCGGTGAGACCCTCGATCTTTGACGAGGCGGCGTGTCGCACGGGCCGCAGTAGATCGGTCATGAGTCCAATTTTTTCCTCGACCGCGCTGATCTCGTCCTCCAGCTTCTCTCGCGACTCAGACCCCGACACCACATTCGGGAGCTGCGCCAGCAACCGGGACAATTTGGCCCGCTCAGATGCAAGTCGTTCACCGAGACTGGCTGCCAGTTCTCGTTCCTCGTCCGTCATGTTCTCCTTGCGCCACTCCTCGCAGCGCTTTTCGAGCTCATCTGCCGCTTTTGCGTTCAGCGGTATCCATATGATGACACAAATCGCGTGCAATTTGGATCCGTTTTCCGTCGTCATTGCAAATCCGTGCCAGGTCGAGCGCGGACGTTGATCCGAGGCAACAATATTGACATCGTTCGGAAAGGCAAACATGGGGACATAATCAGGGAAATTGCCGCGCTGCTTGAGCTCGTCGGTCATGCCTCGTGTGGGATATCGATCCAAAAGCACCGGTTCGAATCGCCGCTTCAAAGGATGCATCGTCGGGGAAATTTCGAGCGGCTGGGGCACAGGAATGACGGAATTGTAATTGCTCAGTCGTCGAGAGGTGCGTACGGAAGCTATAGCATACAAGAGTCAGTTCATGAGGAATGACGCACGGATCACGAAGCCTGCTGCAAGCAAAATATCTATTTGCTTGACTCTCGAGCGCAGCTCGGGCCCCATCGACGGGAGACATGGACCACTCACCCTGTCGTGAGATAGTTGACGGTTGCCGTTTCATGCTGTTCAGATCCCGAAATGACATGTGCCGACGAACGCTTCCGATACTTGATCGCAATAGATTGCCGGCCTGTGGAGGAGCATCGTCCGCGACGATTTTTTGCGTGCGCACACGGGATCGTGGGCGCGTGTTTGGTGTAATGGCCCCGGCGCTCAAACTCAGATCGGTCAAGAAGGTATCTCGCTCCGAGGTGAATTTGAGCAGAGCTTGATCAAAGTCAAAGTCTTCGGAGAACATGGCGGAGGTTCGCAACGGAGATGAGGATCCCTTGACTGTCACACTACTGCGATTGCTGTTCGTTCCATTCGGGCGATCGAAATCACTGCGCGAGAGGGTGGACAGGCGTTGATTGGAGCTCCGCCGGTTGCCCGGCCCGACATAGAGCGTTGAATTTGGTCGAGATGAACCATCTGCCGAGTGTTCCTCCTCCGCATCTGCGTCTTCTTGAATGACATCGTTCACCGCGGGTCCGGGGGACGCGGACGAATTGATGCGATATTCTTCCCCTAGCCGTCGAAAAGTGTCCAAAATCTCACCGCCATCGACACCTGCAATCCAGAAGTAGTCGGCGAGCGGAGCACCCTCCGAAGCATTGGTAGAGGGCATTGTACTTTGGGGTCGCCGGGGAGGGGGGTGACTGTCGCGTGGACCCGATTCCGTCCAACGAGTCGAATATTCTCACCGTGCTGGTCACTGATCAGCACATGGGCCGCTGGCGCTCCCACCACATTCAACCGCCGATCGAGTGGATGGATTGGTGATTTGTAGATAACCCCAGGCACTAGATGCGTCGTTGTAAGACTGAGTCACTAATGCTGTGAAAGACGATGGCGGGTTTCTTCGCCAATTGGTGGCTCGTTTGAGTCGCGGAGGAGGGGGGGTAGTGAAGCTGGCGATGGAATCTACCCGAGCTCGAACAGTGGGGAAGAGAACTTTGGGGGGGGACCAGGACAGAGCGAAACGGGACCGGTTGACACTGCTACTTGACGCTTGAGAGATTGGAGATTGGGTGACTGAGAGAGGTCTGTCTCGAGAGACCAAGAGAGGGAGATAGTGGAAGAGGAAGTTGAAGCGGCAGAGGGTCAGGAAAAGCGGATAGGAGACGGAGGGGTAAAGGAGAGAGAAATTGAAGGTATTGTATGTTCGGCAACTCAGTCCTAAGGGGCAAGGAAAAGAGAGTTGTGGTTCAGGAGGGGCGAGGGGTTTCGGAGTGAAGATTAGTTTTTTGGGGGTGGAGCAGTGAGTTTACTCCCACGGACAGCAAGACGCACTACGCACACGTTTCCGACGGGTTCAAGGGACGTGACGAACAGTCAACGGACGATCCGAACTGGGATTGCCTCCGCCACGGTCTGCTTCGGTGCAAAGCGGCCGGATTAACCAGGCATGTCCACAATCTCGATCACCGTGAGAAATACATGGGAAGCCTCTGCAATAGACAAATAGAGACTCGTGGCCCGAGCATTGGAAGTCGCAGTAAATGCTAAATAGTCAATAGTACAACCGTCAGATCGTCCATAACCTCACGGCTGGCGTGTCCGAGGATCTTCCAAGCCCCAAGGCAAACTAAGCCCGCGATCCTCAAATAGCCTGTCAGTGGAAGTGTCAATTTACGTAGAGTGCGGACATATTAATAGCCACATCGAAAACAAGATGGTCATCTCCGAGCTCTCTCATAGCGCACCCTCCACAGTCCTTCTCTACTCATTCTCCGTTGAATTTGGTCCCGCTCCTTCGTTAGCAGTAGGTAGTCAGGTACGGCGCTCACACTGCGCTAGTTGATTCCCGGCCGTCACACCGAGGAGTTGAGGACAGACCAGGGAGACTCCGTTGGATCTAGTAGTATGCTCAGTGCGGTAGTTTCCTATTCATCGGCTTGATCGGAGACGTGTCCTTGTTTTCGTCTGTTTCCCTGAGGTCGTTGTACAGGGAGACCGGCTGGTTGCGTTAGCGCGAGCAAAGAATGGCCAGGGCAAAACCACGTACGCACTAAAACTAGTGTAGGGCATCGTGACTCGTGCATCCCTCGACTCCCAGTGACGAGAGTAGGTAAGGTACCCTCGTTCCTCAATCAAAGATCTCCAGTTCAGCCGATCTGTTGGAATCGAGCACAGGACGTACACATTCCATGACTTTTGGCCTTTTTTTTTTTTCAAAAATTGTATATATATATATATATATATATATATTTGAAAATGAAAATGAAAATGAAAACTTCCATGAGGTCAATACTAGACAATGACGCCTACAGTCAACACTCTAGCTTCGTAACGGTCTTTATGATTCCACTTCCTTGTGACACGGACGGAGTTCTTTTCCTGGTCCCTGTGCCGGTGGCGCTCCAACGGACAGCGCCCAGCCCGTCCCGAATCCTCTCAACTCCAGTTCAACATCGAAAACGTCGACCGAAAGAGTGAGGATAAGACCACATTCTCCTGAGACACGCTCAGTGCACTGGCCAGCATCAGGCACGATATCTGCCGTGCGAGGTGACAGTCACTAGCGTGGCCCTGAGGTGGTCGGCATCCGCTCACACGGGCCTTGGCCTCCCGACACCAGTCATTGTGGAAGTGCCACACTACCTCAGTGTCAAAGTGGTCACTACGAGTAAGTTGGTACCTCTTACTGCAGAACTACAGAGTCCAGAGTACAGAGTACAGGTAAGGTAGTCAGGTACTGGAGTATGATCCTTCCTGATCAGGTACTTAGTACCATCATGAAATACCTACTGGTATGTCACTCCGCCCTCGGACTCGTGAGGTGACTGCGGTCTCATCCTTCACCCGGGCCTGCTCAGACTCCACACGCGAGAGACCCAGATAGTGCAATTGACAATTGGCCGATGCTGGGATCTGTCAAATCGTGACTGATGACTCCTGGCCACTGACCAGGACTCCTTTGAGTGACTTGCAGAACATCAATCATGCTCCAGGGTCATCTGCAACGAACCTGCAGTTCCGGCACTCGCAGCCACCGACTTGAAGCGCGTTCATGGGGAGCGGTAGTCCAGGCCCTCTCCGACCGGAGGGGGCTGTCTGACCGACTTGTCAAGCCTGTCCACAGATTCTAGACCCTTCTGATAAAGACACTCGGAGGTCAAGATAGACTAGATCGTTGTGTCCTCTCTCCCTCTTGACACGCGATCTGTAAACGACTTCACTGTCGTTGCCAGCATGAGAGGGACACTTTCAACATCCACGACGATGATCATCGCCCGACCGTCCACGCCATCCTCGACTTAGCAAGGCAAAGACAACATCACTCGTACTGGGACGGGAGCAGCTCAGAAATGGGAACAGATCCCCACAAGCATTGAATCCAGTCTCCACCTTTCCCACCGGTCTCAGCGTTGTGATAAAGGGGCAGACGACTCACGAAAAGAGCAAATTTGGGTTGTCCCCCACCGACTCGAACCATGCGATCGTCGCTCGGGTGGAGGACAAGGGAACGCACCTTTGTCCGACCTCCGAACCGATCCAAACTTACCTGATCCGGACTTTTCCACCATTTCCATGTCCCACGGAAGCCCATCGACGGACGTGTCCTACTCCTGTACGTCTGCTTCAGTGCTTGGGAGTTGCGAGATGGGCATAACTTTGTCACGGAAACTGTCGTCAAGACTTGATCCTTCAAGCGCTACCTACCTTACTGGTGTACTTCGGAAGTTGACAACTCCTGCTGCTAGTCTGCTACTCTACTACTAAAGAGGCTTACATCCACTACTGTCGGCCTTCCCACGACACATGCACCACCCGCCTGAGCCTCCACGCTGCTCGGCAAAGGCTGGGCTGTCGTCCACGTAAAGATCATTCCGTGGAAGTACTAGATAGACGGCTATCCGTAGCTTATCAATTCCATTCTCGTCGCGCACGACGACCTTTCCCGTCCACGAGTGGCATCACTCGCATCTTGACCCTTACCTCGGCTGTCTTGGTCAGGTAAGGACTTAAGTCCCGGGAAGACCAGTCCTGAGGTATACGTTCGGTAGGTACCGGCTGAACGCCTAATTGGCACTGTTTGGCCAGGTCAAGACACTTTTCCTCAGCTGTCGCTCTTGACCGCTCACGGGATGAGACTGAGACATGGCGTTTGCCGTGATCCCTGCCCTCGTGTGAGTGCTACGACTACCGGACTACGTACTCGTAGTAAGGTACGGTACGTTCTCACATAACTAGTGGTAAAGTGGGGGGGGGGGGTTTGGCCTTCCGGGGCAGAAATAGCCTGAATGGCGATTAGATGGCCAGAGGAGGATGATTAGTACTAATCTACCTACATAGGTAGGTAGCTACGGAATCATCACCTTGAAAGAACAGAGAAAACGTTGAAAACAACCTGCAGATCGAAGGTTGTCCCCTTACACCTCACGTGAAGTCTGCTCACCGAGCTCAATTGCTGGGAGCTTCCAAGCGATGGGATGTGGAAACATTCCATGGATCTACGTAGAGCAGGTGAGTTTCATACTTATGTACCAGATCTGTGTAGGGTAGCCTGCGAGAATGGCTGCCAAGACATTATCCAGTTCAATTTGGAAAAAAAAAATGGGGCCGAACTTGAAGTGAGGTACTTGAAGAATAGGTTTGAAGTTCGTTTCCGATCAGATGTTGCAAAAGCAATAAGGGAGGCTCTTCAAGAGTGCCCGGGCTGATTTCGTGTTCATCAACAGTGATATCCTAGGTTCTTGCACACGACAGTCCAGGATGATGCTCCATTCCTCTACCTAGGATGACAATACTGAGGGCGTACTCGTCTCATCCACTTTTCAGACGATGGGCACATAAGAAATTACTGGGTGAGGTACTAGGTAGGCAAAGTTGGTACCAGACCCTCTAGGAACATAGTATGAATGTCAGCTACCCATTCACATACGAGGTGCCATGGTAGGGGGAGGAAGGTACTACGCGTCCCTCGGTAAGTTATACTCCTCGTTGAGTTTATATTGATATCTTGACAAGAACACGTCCTGAGTATGCATATATCCTCTAGGTGATGCCCTGTTCAAAGGCTCGGAGAAGTCGATGGGTGCACTCGCCGTATCGGTTGTCGGGGTCAAAGGAGGAGTTCACCCCGAGGAAGCACACGGCCCTTCACTCCTCGGAAGTGTTTTCCAGGATGCTTCATGACGACGGCGAGTGCTTTGATTCATTTTGCTGTCACGAGAAAGTCTTGGGCAGTTATCTATCGGTACATTCAATTTTCCCCCTTTGTGCGGCCAGAGACATGAAAACTTGCCAGCTCAAACGGCCCTAGTCATGTCGAGATCGAGGCTTGCTCTAGATCACACAATGCTCATATCTCAAGTGCGTCTTCGACTCATGAGGTTGCCCGTTGTAAGGAACCCCTTGTCTCCCATAGCGCCGCGCCATTCGATTGATAATTGGCCTAATATAGCACGACCATCCCGTCGAAGATCTTTTTGCAGAGCTTCAAGCCCGTCCGTACGACCTTCTTCTTGTTCTACAAGAAAGGCAACTTGAAGCACGTCCCGAGGGTTGAGTGTGGGTGGCCCGGCTGAGGAGGAATCGGAGGTGCTTACATCCCAATTAAGTGACTGGCATTTGAAAGGTGGCCTGGGATTGAGCCGCGTATGCTTGAGAGAGGTTAGCGGAGCGATACATGATGACTCAATTTGTGATGATCACGGCTCTCATCTCTGCTCCCCTGGAACTTTCCGACGTTGTCGAGTTGCTTACCTTGACAACGACTGTACCATCTCCCACATTTTCCACCTGCGCTTCAAGTGCAAAGCGTAGCAATCTTGACTTTCCGTAAGGACCCAAGGATTTATTCTCAACCTCCAACGGCGAAAGCTCGGACGCCTTGGTACGCACACTGAGGCAGGGCTGTGCGACAAATTGATATAATTTCCGGAAAGTGCGAACGCGACCGCTAGCAGCTTGGGCGTTCTCGCCGATCCGCGTCTCGGTGTAACTGACGCTGACGGCCAGGATGTGATTGCCTTCTTCCTTGAGATCGTGGCGCAAGATTTTCTGAAGTGACTCGCCAACTCGAAGGCCTTCTGATTGTGCAGGATCGGCAGTGGGTTCGAGGTCGAGAGCAGCGACTGAGGAAGGCGTCTGCATCTCGGCAACTATCCGGACCGAGGTCACCACTCGGTCTGTGTCGTCTTTGTAGATTTCATTGTTTGCGCTAAGGGTGCAAGCAAACGTTTCGCCGACATATACTGATCCAAATGACGGGGGGAGGGTGAGCTAAAACATCATGACATTAGAAAGAGCCTCTAGTGGCAGATGACCTTAATTTGTATCAACTAACAAGAGGTGTGAGAATGAATTGGTTATCCGTTCGGGACGATGGAAAGCTTAGTGAAGCTTGAGGAGAGATTTTGGTGTTGGCCGCGGGGAGAGGAGACTGGTAGGACAAGGATGGTCGAGACAGGCTGGCCAGATTGATCAGACTTGATGAAGAGAAACCCAATGCCAGAGGGTGCCATTTACCGTAGGACTATATGCACCGTCGTTAGTAGCTGGCACTGTCATTGCAAAGCTCACTATTGTGCCAACCTTTGAGAGAAACAGCATGGGGCTCTTTCGGCGCATCTGCTCCTGATGCAGCTCGAGGACGAGCCATTGTATCAACGATCTCCTAGAGTGTTATTCTTTGGGTAGGATGGTCTGGTACAGTGATTGCCATGGACATATGGCATCTCAGTAAATCATTATGATAAGTACGATTAGGGGACTTCTTGCGCATCCTGATAAGCTCCCCCGATAGCGCGACACGACGGAGCTCGACCACACAAACACTGCAAACTGGCGTCATCCACCACACTTGCAGAGCGGGCGGACTGGAAGTGCTCGAAGGGTGGAGTATTTCCCCGTACGGAATCACGTGCAAATGCCATGTCGCGGCGGAAAGCAGCACACTAGAGACAAACATCACAAACAGGAGTAGGGCTCCACAAGCTCCTGCCGTTTTGGGCTTTCCTTGCTCGATCATTGCTGCTTCAATGGGACAGAAAACCTTCTACTCAAGTCTCTCTTGGATTGTGGTCTCGGATGAAAGCCCTCAAAGACAAGTAGAGGAGTCACGTTATATTATCTGATTTTCACAAAGGGGTTGCTGGGTCGAGAGTCTTCAGCTCAAGCTATTCAAGTCGAGATCGAGGCCATTACTTGGAGAATGTGACATCACTTCAACATCGTTCTGGCCGTGTCACGGCTCGAGACCAGATCATTTTGCGGACAGAACACAGCCTTCTCAGTAAATCCTGGCAAGAGAGCATGCAAATCAAGATGGACAACGCAAAGGACCAGTCATGTTCGAACGTCGAATCCGCTTCACATACGTTTCATCCATGTGAAGGACGCCAAGTTGAGCAGAGATCCGCCCATAGACAGACAAGTCGTGCAACAAGGTCTTCCGCAAGGCCTTTCTTTGAGCCAAGTATCGAAGCTGTTGCCGGCTCCAGCGTCACTGCCACGTCTCATGCGGAAAGTGCGTCCAAAAACGCACAAGGAAGCCCATTGAGGTCTTCCAACAGAAAGAGCAACCAACGATATGAGCCCTACGGCAAGATTTCTCCATTGAGAGGCTCTAGCATGGCTTCTCGGCAACTTCCTTCCATAAATGATTCGCCGTCGCAACGAATTCGACTGGTTCCAGACGAAATTGTGGAGTATCATGGCACTGAGGCTCGGCCTCGTCCGTGGCGTAACACCCCTCCTGAAGCCTATCTTGACAAGATAGATCGAATAGACAGATCTCGGTAAGACATTCGAAAACGCCGGGTGCCTCTAGCTTTGGCTGACGATGACCTCAGTATGTTCATTGTAGGGCAACAAGTTCATGAAACGAAGAATCGCCTCGAATTTCACTTTCAGGTTGTCGGATCCACTGGTAATATCTATACAGTCAAGATTGGGAAGCTGCCTTCCTGTGACTGCCCAGATGCCAAATTCCGAGGTCGCGGCGAGTGCAAGCACATTGTTTATGGTACGTCCCGACAATCGAGCAGCCTCTACAAGTATTCTCATCCTATCACCGTTCCTAAATTATCACCTCAACACCCCAATATTCTTACTCTTCTCATTTCCTTAGTACTTCTCAAAGCACTCAACGCGAGACCAGAGCTACGCTATCAACTTTCATTTGTGCCCTCGGTGAGTCCTTCACGTTTTTACATCCGCATATCACAGTGAGATCGAGACTTTTTACTCATGTCAATGATGCATTGACTACACAGGAGCTCCGGGAGATGTACGAAGGCTCTCTCATGAGTGCGTTCGAAGCAAAGGGGATCTTAGATCAGGACCATGAAGGTCACCGCAAGCCTCTTGACGGTGCATGTCCGATCTGCTTCACCGATTTCACTCCCAAAGATAAGACCGTGTGGTGTCAAACCGGGTGCGGAAACAATGTCCACAAAGTCTGCTTTGAGCAATGGGCTCGCGCATCACGATCCTCACAAGGTCCTGTTCGCTGTATTTACTGGTGCGTTTTCCCCTCGATTTCCTGAAGATGCAACTTGTTGCCACAACAAACTAACTCAGATTCATTTCACAAAGCCGCATCGAATGGCCGAGTCCTGGATCGGATCCAAAGGTCGAGAAACTTCGACAGAGTGGAACTTTAGGGCCAGGTGGCTACATCAATGTCGCGGAGCAATTCGGCCTTTCGCCAAAGCGCGGTACGAGCTGCTCTCTGTATCTTTCCCTTCCCTCACATCACTGCAGATCTTACACTCGGGATTTGTTATGCTGACTATCGTTATGGCTGTTGCAGACTCTTCGAGATACTCCTCTTCTTCAACTTCCCGACGATCGCGCTCCTCTGGGCGGCGTGATGCGGAGCCCGGACAATCATGATGTTGAGCATCAATATCGGGCTTGGCTTTTTGCGAGTCCACAGTGATTCTATGACCTGCAAATGATTCGATAGTGACAAAGTCCATGCGCGCTCCGAGAACGGATCGTGATCTCTTTGCGCGACTACTGTATTGTCATCTATAAGTGATTGGACCCATTACTAACAAAGGTACGTATGTCCTAGTTTGTTCTAGGTGCTCACCTAGCAGTATATGGGAGAAGCCTCAGCATCCAACATACGAGAATCTTGAGTAAACCAGGCGCAGCACCTGTCTCCCAGGACTGACCACCCTCAAGCGCAAATTTCACTCAACGGGCAGTAGCAGCGTGGCTTCGGGGAAATTGAACTACGGAAAGTTGACACTGACTTCCCTTTTGATGAAGGTCGGTGCTTCAGAGAACAGATTCGACGAGCACTTGCTCAATCTTGCAAGCCTGTCACCAAATGCTCAGCGTTATGTTCTTCTATCAGCGAGCGTTAGCGCCGGAAATAACTTTTCAAAGCACAAAATTATACGTCTGAGGAAAATGCTCTCAGTCCTCGATCCATCAAATTAGAACTGCACCAAACTTCTTCCGATAGGGTATCACAATCATCGCACAAGTAAATGATAAAAAGACTCCCCGCCTCCTTGACTTGCCACAAGAACCCACAAGGACCGTACGCCACAAACACACATGAGCCACCAAGTAAAGATCGCCTTGAAAACCGAGCACGGGGATGACACTAGACATGATTCCGAAGACGTTTGCCTCCTTTGACCACAGCCGTACTAACGGCTTCTTCGCCGGTCATCCAGGACGGCATTCGCTCTGGATCGATGATGCCTAATTCGGCTAGTTTACGCAACCCTCCGACAACGTCGGATCCATTAAAGGTCAGCGTGACTGTCGGTAGAGTCGCTGAGCCGGAATCGGCAATTTCGGTAACATTGTCGTCAGTTCTTTTTGTGTTTGAAGGACCGTCCAGCAATCGAACATCAAGACGATCCAGAGGGGCGGGATTTGAGGAGATTTCTGCGCACCCGAATCGTGAGAGGGTGGCAAGCCGCCGTTTCTTGGAGGTTTGCGGTGACAGATCGCGAGGTGTTGCGAGATCGGCATCTCGTTTTGGCATTGCTTTCGATGCCGACGCGATATCCACATTCTCCTTATCGTCAGTCGTGAAAACACCACTGTCTGCACGTATGTATTCCTCTGCAGAAACAGTATTTGACGGACGAGGATCCAGAGGGCTGCCCTCAACTGCTGCATCGGCGAAGATGCAAAAGGCTCCGTTAGCCGCGGTTGTCCGCCCAGGTCCGCGCAATGCCAACAAGGTTGGCAAATTTTTCGCCGCCAGCGCGGTGGCTTTCAATGTGTATCGTTCGTGGGGCCGAGATAAAGCCTTTGGAACTGCATCACGAACAATGCGCAGTAGACTACGCGAGTCTGTTCCAGCCGAATTGCTTGATGGATTTGCTTTCGAGCCTGGTGATGTGGATATGGACGTGTACACGTATGGACAGCTATCAGGGAACGCGACATAGATGATTCTTGACGAGTCGGCAAAGATCTCCGAGGATTGTCTCGGTGTCTGGTAGGGTGTATCGAGAACGAAGATGCGGAGGAACGTGAGTGGAAGTGTGGAAGAGCGCGAAAGATGGTAATGCGCCTTGACCAGAGGAGAGATCTCTTGCTGGAGCGCTTTAACAAACGTTGCCACTTGAGTTCTTGGAATACTGGCCGACCAGTCGGCCATAGGCGCATCATTAGAGATTCCCCGTCGCGTATCAATGCGGCTTAATTCGAGTGCTGTCCATCGCAGGCTGGTGGGATGATCATCCAGGTACCGCAAGTCGGCCATTGCGAGCTGGCGTAACGTGATACCGTGACGCCAGTCGCCCTCCAGTATTCGCTCCAAAACTTCGCGCTTTGCACCTTTGCGATCCTGAAAATCCATGTATGCTTGTCGTGCATCCTCGACTGTATCGGCCGCGGGGTACGGAAGCGCCTCTTCGTTGTCTTTGTCATGGCGGGCATCGGATTGAAGGTACGGTGGGAAAGATGCAAGATGTTGATCGTCAAGCCATGTCAAAGCCAGCTCAATGAGGGCTTGCCGCGAATGTTTACCGAGGGCTTTGGTGAGGGACGGTGTTGTTGGAGGGATGCGAAGATTATTTGGCAGACTAGCCGTCGTTGGAGCACGGATCAATTTGGAACGCGCCATTGTGGACTGCACGATAACTCTTGGTAGTCTGAGCTGTACGTGTTCAGCGCAACAAGAGGCACTCCCGGGCGAACAGCGCAGTCTTCAGTCCACGAGCAACCATGCAAGTCAATGCAGCTCGGATCTAGACGTCTAACCTCCACGCGATAACGCTGCACCCGTGCACCGTCAACAAATGATGTCACGTGGTGATAGTCTCGACTGTGGACTGTGGAGTGTGGACTCAGGGACTGTGCGGGTCAGTGGTCACTGGTCAGTGGTCTGCCACCCATCACGTGATATGGGTTACACTGTACGTCTGTTGAGCAGTTTGGAGGCCGAGAAAAGGTCCATCTGTTTCTTCGTACTGTCGCCTCGACTTCATCAATCATATGGACATTGCTTGCATAATGTCTCAGTCATACGAGTAGACTCCGGCCTCGATGCTGAGGATTTCTACGGCGAAGGTCGTCAGTCCTCGGTCCCATCGACCCAGCAGCCTCCGAGAGAGCATACCAGCTCGCGAGTCTCGCACTATCCAATTCTCTGACCCGATGAAGCTTCCAGCTATGGGAGAATAGAATTAAGCGAGATGATTCGGGCGTCTTTTGTTTTGACGCTCGTGGATCTGTCCATCACGAAGTGCAGATGCGAGGTGCATGTTTATCCTGTTGGCGACAGAAGACTACTTGAGCAGTAACAACTTAACAAGATATCTGACTACAACATGTACTCTATTTCTGCTGCCCCAGGGCCAGAAGACAGATGAGTGCTCACCTGTGTCGAAACCTAAGGTGCTTGAAATCATTGTCTTTCTGTTCTGACTACTGGGTAGGGTCTAGGTAAACCGACTACTAACTTACGAACGGTGATGATGTTCAGCCGCGTAGGCTCTCTCGGACCGAAACCACCGACGGGGTGTCCTCCCCGATCGCATGATGACTATTGATCGCAAAGTGGCCCGGAATGACGGTCCGCGTCTTTCACATGCTTATTACCTCAGCAGTAAACCACCTGTCCAACACCCAGGGAACGTCAGAGGGGACAAGGCTAACGTGAAGACACCGACCCTGCATCTGCCTGTGCTTCAACCGCGCCTGTCGCTCTTTCCTCAATTACACTTTCCCACAATGCGAGTCAACCCTCGCCCTGGCATATGCTTGAGCATTCGCCAGTTGCCCACACTTCAAACCCGCCCCACACGACTGCCCTCAATCTATGCGGGCGGTCCCGAATGGCTGGTGATCTACTTATTCCATTCGAATGCGTAACAGATTCTCGAATCGATGCGGATCAGTGGAAAGATCAAAACTTCTTCAGGTCCATGCAGTGGAGGATTATTAATCGCCCCGACCAGATCAGGTAAGCCCCGTGGGAACCGGGAGTCAGAGCAAAGAGGAGAGGGATGGGGGGCATTATTTTGCCGGATCGATCATAGCCAAAGTTGGCACCAGATACATCACTCTTGCCTGGGATCGTGGTAATCAAGATGATTAATAATGGTATATGCAGGTCCTGCCCGGTTTCCATCCTGATGCAGCAGCACACAGCCTAAGAGTAAGCACTAAGAGTAAGCAGTGCTTCATAGTAGTACTCATAGAGCGTGCGTCTGTGTACAATGACCGAGGTCATCCGGGTCTGAATCCGATGATATCCTGTTGTAGACAGCCGCAGCAATGTGGCCTTGTAGTCCTCCGACCCTCGGCCATAATCCCGACCAAAGTCCGACTTGCAGAGATCGCCGGAGAAAATTTGCATACCTATACAGTAAATTTCGAGGATCTTCATGATCGATCTATTACATAGTTGCTTCAAACTTATGATGAAGTTTACTGACCAGTTCCGAAAGAGACCTGCTCTGTTATGTACAAGCCGTTTAGCACCATTCGAGTACGAACTGTCAACCTTCAGCTCATCTTTTGGATCAGTGCCATACCGGCGCTCTCCTCATACATTTACTGTAAACCTTCGGACCCCAAGTACAACGAGTAGTCGTGTACATGCAACTTCTCGTGGGCGACAGTGTGGGTGTGGTTCGCTGGGGCTCGTACAACCAGGAAACCGTATATTACATTAATGATACACGCTCCATACAGCCAATGTCAGCCGGCCTTTGGTGGGCGCTGACAAATCCACGGAATAAAAGCAGCCCTGCCTGGATAGATCATCGGATTGGATTCCACTTTCCCTTTGCCTGGAAAACCCCAATGATAATAGACGATACAATAGAATTATACACCACCTAAGAGTCCTGTTGATTCCATGATTACCACTACCGCCCGATTATTCACACCGGCGCGGTGATACCGTAACCCGATACCGAACCCGGTCACTTCCAGTACCCGTATTACCATCTGGCTGTCCAACAGCCACGGCCTCCAGTGCCTCGCCCTCCAGCCCTTAACTGCCTCTCCGCCCTCCAGTGCTACCGAGTCCCCCACTCCACTCCTCCCCCTCCAAAAAAATTAGCGTGCCCACTTCCAACTCGGCACTCCGAGTTGATTCACACTCCCGCAAAGAATCACCCATCTCTCCACCGCACTTCCATTCCTCCTTTCCATTTCTCCATTCTCACTCCACTACACCCCCAACGTCGACACTCGAACGCTATCTTGACACGCCCAAAAGTGTGTCACATTCACTCTCGCGATACTCTCGTTCCATCGCATCGCCATCCGCTTGGTTCGTCCAATATATCACGGCTCGGAGCCGCATCCGGTGTACCCCGAGTCACCATACAATCGAGCGCGTGTGACGCCGATTCATCGTGAAACAAATTGGAGTGAGCAACTTGACGGCTACTCTTGACTTGGTCATATCAAGGACCAACGAGCTTCGACGCCACCTTCACCTTCACCATGGCCAACTTCAACGCACGCCGTGCACCCAACTTCTCTCAATATCTCGATGACCTAAACGCCATCCCATCACCGTACGACCAGGCGGTGCAGCAACGCCAACAGGAGAATTCGTTCAACTTGGACGAGGAATTGGCCCTCTTTACCAACACCGAGTTCTTCGACTTCGACAACTTCACCGACCTCAGCCTGCCCACTTTCGATGCTGGCGAGCCAAAGTCTTCCCCGATCGAGTCCAACTTGGACAACCAACCCGCACAGAATGGTGACATGAAGTTTCTGGATTTTCTGCAAGGTAAGCGCTGGAGGACATGGGGAGGAATACCTGAACCCTATGTCTCGGACACGTCGTTTCTCGTTTTCCCTTCCCAACACATCTTGTCTGTCTGGAAAATCCGGGAGTTTCCTCTCGGACTGATCTTGGTTGGGGGTATGTTGACTGTAGCATGACTATGGGTCACATACCCCCGGTGCCAAGATGCGGGCTTGGCCACATGTTCCAAACGGCCATTGGCGAAACGTTCTCGTTAAGATGAACGCGCATGGTCAGTCGATTGCGCCATATTACGTGATGGCATGCATAGATTGTCCGCGGAGAATGCGCTCATGGGGGGAGCAGAATGACTTGGATCACAACGGTGCAGCAATACGATGCGAGAGAACAAAAGGGCTAATTCTGATATCTACCAACAGATGGCTTCAACAATGTGCCTCATTACCAGCAAGACCTTGGTCTCGAGGCTCAAGTGCCTGTGCACCCTGCCCCCTACACGGCAGTCCCTCAACTGCCCACAGCACCTGCGCCGACCCACTCGGCCCCCGCTCAACACCTTCCTGTGTTGGCACCTCCTCAGGCCGCTGCTCCGACACCATCTCAAACGGCCATGTCGCCTTCCCCCTCTGGTGCCTCTGTGAAGCGCAAGAGCTCCACCAAGGCTACCCCTGCGAATAGTGAGGAAGCTGCTCGGATCATGGCCGAGGAGGACAAGCGTCGTCGCAACACTGCTGCCAGTGCGCGCTTCCGTGTGAAGAAGAAGATGCGCGAGCAGGCCTTGGAGCGCAGCTTGAAAGAGACCAACGACAAGAACGATGCTCTCGAGGCTCGTGTCTCCCAACTTGAGCTGGAGAACCACTGGCTCCGGGGTTTGATCATGGAGAAGAATGGCACTGAGGAGCGTAATGAGGCATCCGAAAAGGCCATATCCGACATGTTCAAGAAGTTCCTGGCTTCGCGGAAGACTGATGCAAGCCTTCCCCAACCGAAGCACAATATGGCCAGCACTGTATAGTCAGTGCCGAAAGCATGAAGAACAAGAAAAAAAAAAACACCACAAAAAGCATAATCAAAATGATGAAGAGAAAGCATGCCTTCATCTCCCCTTTCCAACCAAAAGCGAAACGCCGAAGATGCCCACAAGAAGTGAACTACGATTTTATTCCCCCGCAGCCTGTTTCAACCACTGCTGCTCTGTTTTCTGCTTTTACGTCGGGGGTACGTGGGGCTGAATAACAGTCCAAATGTGTTGCCCCTCGTATACCCGGCGCCTTTAATTCTTGTCACTTCTTTTTGAGCGATTTCTTATCTGTGATTTTACGAGTTCCCTTTGTTTGACTTTTCGTCTGATGGATGTCGATGGTTTCGACAATTGGCATCCCCAAGACGAAGATGGCAGCGGTGTCTATGAGTGACGACTTTCCCATAGTTCCGTCGGTTTTCATTTTTTTATTTTTATTTTTGATTGAATAGACTCAACCTTTATTCTTCCACCGTGCTTTTGGCTTTCACCATGGTCTGATGCTCGATCAAGTCAAGTGACGTATAAAGTCCACAACGTGGACTGTAGTTGCCTGTTCTTACACGACACGTTGAACCCCAACAGTCAAGGAGAATGACTGGATATCGCTTCACTCAGGATTCAGCACTGCCCATAATGGCCATTACTTCCTGGCAACCACCACCACCCCCCTCACAATCCCACTCCTCGCCCACCACCCAAACACACTCTTTGCCCCCCGAAACTTACCCAGCTTCAACCCAAACGGCCTTGCCTCACGTATTCTCCTCTGCAAAAACCTCGTGATACCCGGAAACACATCCGGCGAAATATCCACGATCTCAACTCTGTCCCGCTCATACCCTGCCTCCACCAGTAACTGGACATACTGCTCGCAGGTCAGGAAATTTGCAAAGGGGGCCCCGGTCACCAGGCATACTAATCGCAGTTTCAACCGTTGCCAGACAGAGGATTGATCGGCGAGCAGGAGGTCAAAGGCCATGAAGGAGGCGTGGAGGGTGGTGTTTGCGTAGTGTAGGATGGGTAGACGGGAGGGCTGGAAGTGGTAGAGGGTGTCGAGGGCTAGAAGCCAGGTTGTGTGTGGGTTGGCGGTCAGACTGGTGGTGGGGGAGGAGGGTGATGAGGAGGAAGAAGGGATCATCGTGGAGATGGAGGTTTGCAAGTCCCCTGTCCAAGTTGATGGGTTGGCGGCATCGGCGCAGAAGATGTGGTAGTTTGACTCTGATGGGATATCCCTGGTGGTTGTGGCGGTGGTTTGCGTGCGAGAACTTTGTTGCTGATGAAGGCCTATGCGCCGCTGACCGATTTCTGCCTGCGAAGCTTGCAAAGTGATACCGACGTAGGTATCTACCAACGCCCTGGGAGGGGGGTTGAACCTAGCAACGTCCGTCCGTCTACTGATGGCTGCGTTGGCGGAATTGTCCAAGGCATCGAAACCAGACCGTGACGCTGACGCTGACGCCGACGAGAATGACCGCCCAGCTGAGAACGAGCTCTTCTCTCCTCTTTTCAACGATGCAATGCGAATTGACTGGTCGCCGCATCCGCATCCTACGTCGAGGATGCTGACGGACTGAGAATCGATCTCCTCACGGCCCAAACCGGCTCCCAGGACAAGGTCAAGTAAGGCTTGACAAGCTTCTGGGAAGTCTTCTGTATCCTGATCAGAAGAAAGGTCAGAACGGGGTCTCCTCGCAGATCAAAATAGGACGTTTTGGCCACGAGCGCTTCGCAGAGCAACCAAGAATCCTGAAGTACCTATCCAGGCTGTTGTACGCCTCAACTCACCTTCCAATAACCCATATTCATCCACAAGGTTGCTGGCGGCAGCTGGATATTCAATAAGGCATGGTCGAGTCCGTAGACCCGGCTTTCCAGGGCCTTTTTGAAGAAGCCCAGCATTTTATGGGATATTGATCTTGGACTATTTGGGTAATGAACATCACTAGACGTCGACTTTAAAGTACCAGTGTCTGTTGATGCCGAAGATGAAGTGCAGGGTAATCAATCAAAGAGTTAAGCAGCGAGGACGGGTAGCTGGGTTCAACAGCAGCCAGTCCCGTCTGAGCGCGAGCCAAAGTGGGACTAAGCTTGCGTCCGGGATAGATGCATCGATCCGTTGAGCTGTAGGCTGAGCGGCGCAACGTACCTAAAAGGTGGATAGATGACAATGGACAAGTGCAATTCTCGTCTTCCAGTTGCAGGCCAACGTGTGATATTTTCTCTGTTGCAAAGTGAACTCTAGCCCGGACTGTTTTTTTTTTTTTTTTTTAAGAAAAATGTCAAATTATGGAGTCGAGTTGAAGCAAACCTATCCCCTAAAGTTCTACGGACTCACGTAGTACGTAGTATGTACTGTTCCATCCGCAAGTAAGAGGTCACTACTACGATCCTACCAGATACCAGGTAGTAGTAATAGCCTGGCCAAGTAGTACCTACGGCAGAGTGGCATCAACTGCGGAAACCAAAATCTTCAATTTGGCTGCTGTAGCTGAGTGGCTGAGTACCAACGCTTATGATGCTCTCATCTTCTTACTCACATTGATGCGTTCATGTCGGTGTACTTAAGAATCATCTATGGCTTTCGAGGTTCCTTTATCTGGGGGCCTGCTCCGCATTGTATACGAGGAGGTTTGATCCGGTTGCACTGGAGAGGGCGCTATCTAATGCTATTGTATGGTGCTCATGGTGTATTACGGGCCAGGGATCTGGGATGTAGATCTGCTCAGATCGAGGATGAAGAAGCCCGGAAAGCCTATCAAATCAGTTCGAGCCACGAGTTCAATTGCCACGTTGGAGGTGACCATCTAGTAGACTCATGACCTCTGATTCCAAGGCACAGTCACGCCCAGTTCATTTGCTACCCGCATTGCCGAGACAATACAGCCCTCCAGCAAGACCATCCCATCCCAGCACCAACCACCAGCAAGATAAACTCCCTGGTCTCCATTGCGCCACGTCTTTCCAGCAGATGTATCGTTCGTCCCATCCCGCCTCTGAAAGATGGAGTTCACCAGCAGACGGCTGAGCGGGCTACGCAAAACCCGGGTGAAGCTAGCCGAGCGGATGATTTTGGATTGATCCACTGCAAAGAGCGGATTTGTCGACACGAGGATGGAATTCGATTGTTCGTGGACCGCCTCGGTAATGGTGCCGTTGGAGAGGAGGTGGATGCGTTGGGTTTTTGCGTTCTTGCTCGAGGCTGGTGTATGGGCCGCGGGTTTCCCCGCAGAGGAAGGTGTACTTGTCGCCTGGAGCATGGGTTGGATCATGGATTCGTCTGTGTGGGCGATGGTTTCGACCGAGGTCGTGGGGATGGCCGATAATGGCGCATGGACGGCAGGGTACAGTGCCGCGGCCACATCGGGTGAAACGGCCAGAACCACGAGATCAAAAAGTTCGGAGTTTGATATCGTTGATTTTTCCGTCTCTGTCAGTGTCGAGTATTCGATTCTGACGCCTTGGTCTTCAGGAACCACCTGGGTCAAATTGACACCCAGTCGCAAGTCCACACCCTCGAGGAGCTTCGGCTGAACGCATTGCACGCCGGAGCTCACCACGTAATGCTGCTGGCGATGCGTGCGGCGCTTATATTCGAGGACGTCGGAAGCCGGAAAGTTCAACAATTCTTGATGCGAACAGGTGCAGACACTGGAGATGAGCGGGAGGAGGTAATTCTCCGCGTAATGTTCTGGGATGCGAACTCGTCGCAGGTAATGATCGAAGGACTCGCTCAACTGTCCGTTTTGAAGATCTTCGCCGTGAGGCGCAATGAAGAAGCAGCAGAATGTGAACCACACGTAGCATAAGATGGCGTATACTGCTTCCATACACCATTGCAAGAGCTCCGATGTGCGTGGAATCGGAGGCAATTGGTGAAAGTTGGAAGCGTAGACCATCTGCGGTCCAGGGATACATGCGCTTGACGGGGACAGTAATGACGTGCACGATGTGGGCGACAATGGTTGCTGCCGACTGGGAACCCTCGTGAAGCTGAAAAGAAACGGTTGCTCGTGATATTTCACCCCCAGATAATCGTACATCCGCGCCAAATTATTATAGAAGCCGCCCGCGAATGCGCGCATGGGCACATCCGCCCACACGGGCTGACCCTGAGGATCGGATGAAGGAATCTGGATGGACTCGGCGCTCAACGATATTTGATCTTTCTATCTCCCTCCTCCTCTCCCTGTCAGCACTCTTTCTCGCGATCATGTGCTTATCAAGCGCGGGGGGGGGGACGATGTTTTTTGAGTTGTTCACCACTGAACCGGGTCACTAGTCACAATACTAACCTTTTCGATCAGAGTGACTTGGTACCGTTTCTCGGAATCTTGATGCAACAGATGCGCGGTCGCTAGACCGGCCATGCCTGTTCCCACGACTGCGACTCGCTTCGGTCGCGGAGTTTGAGCTGACTCCATTGCGTCGGCGTGAGCGACTCAAATCGAAATCGCAAGATCAATGTCTTGAAGGGTCAAGGAAACAAATTTCAATCGATTGGACTCGAACGAGTCTAGTAATTACACGATTTTCGAATCGGTGAACGCATCAAGTCCTTCCCTTCACGCGAAAAGAGTCTGGCTCCGATAGATCGAGCAACGCACGGCGATCAGGCGACAACAAGGCTGTGGACGGGAAAGAGCGGAGATATGAAGGGAGAAGAAGAGAAGAAAGGCGAAAGGGAAATGGAAAGCAACGCAACCGGCGGATATGGCGTTTTTTGTGTTTTGGTCCCTCTTGAACCAAACCACTTGCGAGACCGACTGGGGGTTGGCGGGGGGCCAAGTGGAAATCATGCAGGAGACAGAACCACAACGGGGAATATGATTTCCCAGACGATCGATCAGTCGCCTTGTTGGGAATCGATGAACGCAAGTGGAAAATCCTTGCGACAGGAACAAGCCAAGCCAAGCAAAGGCCGAAAGAGCGAGAGAGAGAGAGAGAGAGAGAGCATGTGCGTTGGAACGGTGGATGTGGATGCTTCCCCCATCGGGCACTGACCTGACCAAAGTTACCGCGGCTCAGAGATGGCTCCCACCCAGACATCTCAGTTAACTCTTTAGACATTTCATTTGAGGATGTTACTCCAACTCGAAGTCCCAAGGGTGAACCGCTCGATGGATGATGGCACTTAGTCTTACAGCCTTCGCGTTTCTTGCTCGTCAATTCGTGGCCGCGATTTACACTAAATCCAATGGCAATCGATCGGCGAAATCGTGCATCCCACGTCATTGGCTTGTTTTGGATCGGACTCAAATGGATTTTAATTTTCGAGACTTTCTCTAACCCGTACAGCAGGCTTCCAAGATCTGACAGTCAGACTGTATCTATCTGTCTTCAAGCTTGCGACCGTAAACCTGATGCCTATCCCAGCAACGGCGCACATCCTTCTCAAGTCTTTCTCTCTCTCGCGCGCGCGTGTACGAGCTCGCAAGAAGAAAGCGCATTGTCCAACGGCCAAAGAACGGTGAACATCCATGATGCCGTCCAGAATCCAGATCCCACGAATGACATGACACGATCTTCAATCGTGGATCCAGGCAACTTGCGGAACCGTTCTGCGATTGCTGATCTCAATCAATTGGTTCTTCCCGCTAATAAGGTTTCCTGTCACTTGCTTCAACTTGCTTCACCTGCCATGAATGTTGGCGCGCAGGGTTTCGTATTCGCTCTCCCAACAAGATACATGGCGATCCTGACCGGGTCCGTTCCTTGGAGGGCAGAGACTCATTGAACACGCTTGGAGGATCGATGTGGTAGTCATGCTAATTGCTACCTCTTCTTCTAACGCTACTGAGGATGAGACCGATTTAGCCGTTCCTGTTACGGCGTAGCCGAACAAGTTGCGATACCATACTATATATACCGGACTCTGGGCAGTATCCGCAACTGCGGATATTAGTGATCTTTTATGGTCTTGTTGGTTAGTGTCCGCCCAGAACGCTTCCGTAACAGTTCCACCCCTACTGTTGTGTAAGACGGAGATCGGTTTTCTGGAAAAATGGCCCCGAGCTTATATCATCGGTCGGGTGGAATGGGATTTAGACGCAACTTGCAAAAGGAAAAAGCTCACCAAGCTCTGCACCTTGCCGATCACCTCTGGCCTACGGACTCGAAGATGCAATGGCAAACTACGGCACGCAACAATACTTACTGCTGTACGACTACTCTAATACCTGATGTCTTGGGGTCCAGAACCGGTCTTTGTTTGTATGGCATGTGATTCTGCCGCTCACCACAGTCCATAGCTTAGGTGGAATCTCTCCCCCATAGCAATCTCACTCCTTCATTCCTCTCACACATCGATACTGCTGCCCCTACCGTAGCCGTATCTCATCAGTCCTCAACAGTGAGCTCGACTGGGGAGACTGGGGCCAGTATAGCCCATATGGCCCGGGAGTGTCTCGTCCATATATCAGGCCAATCTAGGATCGTAGATCGTGCGACTTCACAGCGGATGACGGCGTATAGGGCAACCATGTCGAAGGCGGTAAAAACTACTCAGCTCGTCTTACAATGCAAACCTCGTTCGGCTCTTCATCGTTATAGTATTCATTACTTTCAACGACCAGGCCAAACATTTAATTAGGAAAGGTTGGTACTGTTCGCATGGCTAATTGTGAAGCTTCGGTCTTTCAGTACGTCTCTAGGTGCAAAAGGCCAAGCGGGGATAGCGTGAGAGGACCGGTGAATGAAGCCAAAACCATACTGTAAGGGTTATCAAGTAGACGTTCCAGAACCAGAAATGTAAACCCACCGAAAGAAAGAAGATAAAAAAAACGCCCATGGCTTATTGAACCGCAAGCCAATTACGCCAGTTGCCCATGTCGAATGCATCAGTCGTTAAGTGTGGAAAAAGGCGAGACGCTTGACACGCCGGGGAGGGGGTCTGAAGCCCCCGTGATTCATGATTTGCTTTGTCGAGGTTTCATTTCAACTCAGGCCCCTCGTGAAATGTCACTTCGGCTTTTGGTGTGACGATCTCGTCCGGGGACTCGCCGACTTTATTCGAGTACCCTTCATCTGTGATATCTCCCCACCCAGAGCTGCGACGGCTGACACGACCAGATGTGAGGATGTATGGACTATTGATGGCACCACTGATTCCAGCAGCGGCACTATCATTGCGCGTGTGGGATGCGACACCGCTACGAATACTGACCCCATCACCAGCGACTTGATTCCCTCTCGAGACGTGAAAATTGCGTTCACCGCTGGTGCCCAAAGCCGCGGTTCCTGGCGAAGAATACACGCTGATCCGTTCGGCACTCGCGAGCCCAACGATACTGGGCCGAGCTGGTACGCCCTGTGCGTTGAAGGCGGACGCGCTGGCGGGCTCGATCACACTACCGCTGAGCAGACTGAGCGGCAAGCTTTCACGACTTCCGCCAAAGACTGAAGAAGGCGCCAGGGCTCGCACCGAAGCATTCGTATCCAATGAATTGCGGCGACGTCGCTTGGACGAGCTTGCGAGGGTCAAAATGGAGGCGTTATCGTTCAAGGCATTATTGGCGGTCGCAGTGTTGTAGGTCATGGACTGACTGTGCGGAATCAGGTGAGAAGGAACGGCTGTCGCTGGCGAGGATGCCGAAGGAAATTGGTGTGAGAATTGCACCTGTTGTGTGCCGGATTGCTGGGTGGACGTTCCGTGGGTTGGTCCGGGCTGCGTGTTCTGCGCTGTGTACAGTTGGGTCGACGGTGCAGCCGATTGCACCGTTGTCAAGGTAGTGGTCAATGAGCGAACTGAGGGAGCCGGCGATGAGAATGTACTGCCTTCACCACCACCGTGCGAGCTCAGTCCGCCACCCCCAGTCGCCGTTGTCCCCGCCTTGGAATACCCAGCATCCGAGATCGCAGTCTCGCCATTCGTAGATACAGTAGGGGCCGCAGACTTGGCGCTTCTTGCAGTCACTGGATGTTCATATCCCGAGTAGACCAAAGAAGGATCGCTGCGTGAATGAGACTGATCAAAATCACGGTCGCCCGTCTCCGAGTATGAATCGTTTCGATTTGTACGTCCGATCGTGCCCGACAGAGGATATGGATTGTTGCCTTGCCCCTCGCTCTTTTTGCCCTTTGAGTTCGTGTGTCGCTTGTGTGTCCACCGATTAGAGCCCGAGTCTGACGAGCTCTTGAGGCTGGCTAGTCGCTTCATCCAACTCGCAAAGGGGCGACGCCGGCCATTGCGATCTACTTGTGTGCCCGCGTTAGTGGGCTTCTTGTTTCGCGCGGGACCCACTGAGACGTCAACCAGGTTGACTTACCATGCACTCTTGCAGGCGCTTCAGCTGTGGCCATAGTGGGGTTTGATACTGGGCAGTTTTCCAGTCAATTCTCTCGAGTTATTGCTGTGTTTGGGAGGAACAGCAGCTGTATGAAACAGCGGACAGATTGCGCAACCGCCGGGGAGCATGCGGGATCACTGTTTATCCGCCAAAGTCATGTGCCTGGGCCTGATGTCAGTCTTGTCACCTTCAATCGCAATCCTCATCAACATCAGATGGATCGGCTAATTTGGACGTGTCGAACATGAGCCGGAAATTTTAAGTCTTTCTTTCGTATTGCGCAGTGGCCAAATATGAGAATGTTGAATGCATGGCAACGCTCCTGCCCATCGTACCTTATGACCATGTCTGTCATTCCTGCCGCCCAGAAGTCATGGCAAAAACACTCTCGCTTCTGAGAAAACCTTCAGACTCAATTGACGGAGCGAATACATGATGTTGGGCCAGACTGATCAATCCATTCGGGCACTTCCACCCGATGTGGCTTTCAGGATCAAATCTTCAACCTCGATTATTGATTTGCATGGGGTCGTCCTGGAGTTGGTGAAGAACTCGCTTGACGCAGGAGCTCAGATAATCTCCGTCACTGTCGACTTCAAGCGAGGAGGCTGTGTCGTGGAGGACAATGGACAGGGAATCGTGCCCGGAGAGTTTGAGTCTAGCGGCGGCCTTGGAAAAGCGTATCGTATGTATCTTTTGGTTTCTATATAATCGACTTGTGACATCGCTGAGATTTGGACTAGATACCTCCAAATACGGCGTTGCAGATGTGTATGGGCACCGAGGACTCTTTCTTTCATCTTTGGCATCCTTGTCGCTCCTGACTGTGACGTCTCGCCACGAAGGACACAGCAGCACGAGCTCAATTGTCTTCCATCGTGCGAGACCTGTGGCACGATTAGTACCTGTCTCACATGGTCAAGGTCTCCAGCTACGTGGCCATGGCACTCGCGTTGCCGTTCATAATCTATTCGGAAACATGCCGGTTCGCGTTCGGAACCGGGCTCTGAATCTCAAAAAACCAGGGGAGATGGAGAAGGAATGGGAAATTTTGAAGCATGCCCTGGTTTCATTGACACTTGCCAATGGCCAGCTGTCAAAGCTCAGTTTATCCGATGAGTCGCGCGGGAGAAGCGTTGTGCTTCGCCCGAGAACGTCGGAAAATGAGATCGATCTAGGACATATAGGCTCCATTCTCTCACAGTCTGGATATACGGAGTCGCCGAGCATGAACTCTTGGCAAGTGGTATCCGCATCTACTACCGGCCTGCACATACAAGCGGCGATGTCAACTTCGACGAGTCTTTCAAAAAAGGTGCAATTCATTTCTTTAGGCAAAGATCCAGTTTTTTCATGGCACCCGTTCAACGTCTTATATGGTGAGATCAATCAGCTCGTGGCTTCTTCCGGTTTTGGGGCCGAAAAGAGGATGCCTCAGTCGGAGAATGCGAGTCCATGGGCATCGGCAGATTGTCCTTCAGAATCGATGAATGTGTTGAGACGCCGCAGCGGGCTGAAGCCTATTAGCAGATGGCCAATGTTTGTTGTTCGCATTGATGCAAGGCAGCGCGAGTCCACTTATGGGGATGAGCCTTCTCCCGGGCTTGAGAAGTCTATTCAAGAGATACGGAACGTTCTGCAAGCCATGGTAATGGAATTTTTGAACCAACAGGAATTGAAACCCTTCAAACCTCGCAGAGATGATCTTCAGTCACGGCGTGTTCCCAGCAGACCAAGTGCTACACGCATCGACTCTACCCGGTCTGAGACCAGTCATATTCGTCGTCAAAGGGCGAGTGTCGAAGAAGACTTTGCAAGCACAGTCAAGCTGCCGCTTCTAGGGAGATCGCGGTCAGCAATCCTCGGAACTCAATTCAGCAACTGGTCGCGCATCAAGTCGGCCAGGGAAAATGAGATAGCTGTGACTGAGAAGGGCAGGATCGATCTGCAGCCTGGCTCTACGAGCGACTCTGAATATCGTCCGTCATCCCCAAAGCAGATGATGTCCGGTGCGATCCAATGCCCGCATTATGGCGTAACTTCTGACCAAAAAGAGCACGCCCACGAAGATGACGGCAGCATCTTAGATCGCGACAAGGTCGGGTCTTCAACGAAGAATATTTCCGAGTCAGCGAGTGATACCTTGATACCCTGGGTTGACCCAAGGAGTGGCAAACTGCACCAGATCAACTCGCGAACGGGGCAAACTGTGAACCTGCGAAAGATCATCGCTGGCCCAAGATCAAATAGCTTTCTGACCACATTGCAACGACACGGTCGATCTCAGGCGCCAAGATCTGTCTCTGCTCCCTCTCCCTGGGTAGACAATTTGCTCGAGACCTGGCAGAATCCTGTCTTTTCTAGAGCAGAGGCGCGCGTGCCAAGTTTGGAATTTGTTAGTGACATACCTCATTCTGTGCAGCACTCGAGATTCTGTCAGGATGACATTGTCACTTTGAATGAGACTCAGCTTCTTCGATTTCGAGGCAAACTAAATCGCCAAAGTTTGCGACTGGCCACGGTCATTGCGCAGGTGGACCGAAAGTTCATCCTTGCCAAACTTGGTTCCAACCAGTCCAAGATGCTCTATGATGGCGAGTCACAAGGCGTCTTGGTACTGATCGATCAGCATGCCGCTGACGAGCGCTGTCGGGTTGAGCAGCTATTCGAAGACTTGTTCATATCACCGGGCTCTGCGTCTCGACATGACCAAGTTCAAACTGTGGAAATTGATCCAATCACGCTGCGCGTCTCCTCCCCGGAGCTTAAACTTTTCCAAAGGTACTCCAAAGCTTTGACTCGCTGGGGGATTTCGTACCGCGTCGCCAACAGAGACGCTTCTGGTGGAATCATTTCCGTTATTACTTTGCCGACCGTCATTGCTGAGAGGTGTCGACTCGAACCTGAGTTGCTCGGGGACCTCATTCGTCGAGAGGTTTCCCTTTTTGAAGCTGGTGAAAAGCCAAATCAGAGAAGATTATCTGAAACGGAATGCCGATTGGACTCCGATACCATTCGGAACGCAAATGAACTAGGGAGCATTGACACAGACTCTGAACATCTCTGGGTGCACAAGATGAATGGATGTCCGCAAGGCATTCTGGATCTTCTCAACTCCCGAGCATGTCGAGGAGCCATCATGTTCAACGATGATCTTGACATGGCTGAATGCGAAAGATTGGTTGCAAGGCTTTCCAAATGTGCGTTTCCCTTTCAATGTGCCCACGGTCGGCCGTCGATGATTCCTATCTTGGACATGCGAGCACAATCTGGATTTGAGCCATCCCAATCCGTTCCTGATGTGACACGTTCAACAAGTGTTGAAGACGATCATCTGGAACCCGCGTTTTTGGATGCCTTTAGGAAAGCATATCGACGCTGAAAAGGAAGTCATCAATCTAAATCCTCTACGTCGCCGTCTGTCATGTACGTAATACATTTGGGTTTCATCGTGGGCTCGGCCTTTTCGCGCACCGGCCTCATCACCCATGTGTTCGGTACACGCTTGACAGACATGTGGAGTGACCATGCGTCTGATACATCATGTGCATAGCGAGTCAGTCCACATTTATGGGACGGCAAACCTAGTACTATTATCGTCTCAATGTGATATTGAAAATAGAATCTGCTTCCATGCATCAACTACGTCCATATTTGCCATTGGGACAGCCGCATGTATAACATGGTGGAACCTCAGCTTTCCCATGCAAATTGATCTGCTTTGCAAATCAGCAAATCCACAAGTACAAAAGGTGATATCCATCCAACTTCGGCATCTATGTATGTTGCTAGAACAGCTTCCAGCTTCACCACGATGACACACACTGGAATAGTACCTTAGCGTTTTCCTCTCGTTCAAATCCCTGAACAAGCTCTACATTGAACATTCAGCGTCGCTTCAGAAACCAAGTCCTCGGTGAAACTCAATTGCGCCGACAGACCTGCGTACGACGAACTTACACAAACCAACAGTGCGTCCACCAAGAAAAATAGTAATCCCGCTTAAACAATCCCCAAAAGTACAATAAGGTTCGAACATGGCGCAAACGCAACTCAAAATAATGGAGACTTGAACAAGGTTTTCCGGGTTCCACCAACTCCAACAACAATAACAACAACAGCAAGACTAAGGGTAAAGTTACCCAAGTAGGTATGTACTTTCACCCAATAGATACTTTCACAGGGAAGACCTCAGTCCAGTATCCACTCCAGTCTAGTACATCCATTTCGATCCAAGTTCCAGCGCCGAGGTTCTGGGCCCCGGAATTCAGGAAAGAAGATCGGACGCCGGAAACCCGGAGATCACATCCCTTGCATCAAGTGGACGCGTGGAGTCAGGGAGAAGGCATGAAGACGAGTACTTTGCATAGTTGGAGAAGGGAACCTTCGTGAAGATAGGGTTCGTTGTTGTACTAATGTACTGTATTATCCCTTTTCAAATTGGAGTATTTGCGTAAGGTGAAGATCGGTGTATTTCGAGTGTGTGTTTTCGCCACTTGAGGACAGAATCGAGTTGATGGTATCTTTGGGGTTGGGTCCTGAGTATTCACGTCTGTACTCATCGACAGGTCGGGGCATGTGAAAGTTTTGCTTAAGCTTCCAATCCGTGCGTATGCATATACTGTGAGTTAGGTCCTAGGTACTAATTAGGTAGTAGGCACTAGATACTAGATACTAGGTTACTAGGTACTAGGTTACCAGGAACTAGGCGATGAGAAATCTGCGGATGAAACTCAATACAAATTATTCAAGATACATACATCAAATTGCACCGGTAACGAACTCCGTGATCAAAGAAAGCTGGAGGTGGAGGTGCACATCAAGACCCGAGTCAAAAAAGCACAGTCCTTATGAGAGGCGGCCCAACCGTTGAACGTAACGATAGCTTCACACCTTTACCACGGCAATAGACAGAATGACCAGTTATCAAGAGGTAGACTTTTCAAGCCCAATGATGGGTGTCGGGGTCCAGATTTCACATAGATCCATATTATTCCATCTGCGCGGCATTTACGAGCTGGAGGTTGAGCTTGCTAGTTTTCATTACGCTTCATATGTCGGTGCCGGTTTCACTGTAGCGGCACTGGTTCAAGGTTGAATTCTAACCAGGTTATCTTCGGGTTATTTGCCAAGAGACATGCTCAGACATCGGGCAGTACACGGTTTACATACTTAAGAACAGACAGCTAGGTGGTGTTTATTGTGGCAATGTTCATATATTCGGGATAATTTTCAGCAATGGAACCAACTGAAGCCAAGATCTTGTACATTTGAAATAGGTCATGTAGCGTATGAGCTTTTGGGTCGAAGGACGCTTTGAACGACACCAATGAACTAGAAAAAAGTAAGGTAATGGAAAAAGAATCCCCACAGGTTTGTGCCGAGGCATGTACGCTTTCCACATCAAATGCGCGACGACGTGACCAGGGGAAATCCCGAATGAAGTGGAAAAACTCCGTTTTGCCAACCGGTGCTCAAGGACGCTGTCGCTTTTTCCAAGACAATTCCTCGCATGGAATGATGAATCAAAAGACAAAGGCTACCACCCATAGACCGTAAGAATGATGATGATGATAAAATGGTCGAGGACCACATTGGAAACAGAATCGGAAAGAAGAATGTCAGAATGGAAGAATGTGTCAAGTAGTTGACCCGACGCAGGACATCAGTCATAGATGGCAAATTCAAGATCAAAAACAGTATAGACGGGGTATAATATGGGTGAAAACGCTAGCCGTTAGAAGCCACAGGCTTAGACTTGGATGGATTTGTCCAAGACAAAAAGTCCAGTTTCTCTCTGGCATTTTCCAGAATCGACACAGCCTGAGAAGGCTCCTCATGATGGGTGGGTTGAGAGGAGGAAGAAGTGAGGGTATTTTGGCCCGCTGAGGCTTGGGGTTGTGCGTGGAGATTGCCGCCGCTGCGGCAAGTTTCTCGTGGTTCGAGGACTAACGACCGACGGTAGAAGACCTGGTTAGGGCTTTCACCATTCGAACGCACGCGGACGAACTCATTCTGCATCCAGGCTTGGAGCTCTGGGACCTCGGTGAGGCGGTAGGGAATTTGGAATCGCTGAAGCTCGCTGATGATCCGGGCGGTCTTCATGTGCTTGTCAAAGTTAATCACGGTCATTTCGCCGTCACCGGTCGGTAAAGAGCGCAAGGACTGGTTGCCATGATCGACAAAGGTAAGGTCGGTGAGGTAGGTTCCGACGAAGGGCAAGCAAGGGGGAACGTGGTTCTGCAGACGCTGCCGGAGCACAGTATAGTTGCGAGAGATATCAACGACACTGCGAAGGTGCTTGAGGATGATTTTGGTCTTCTGTGACACGTTGTCCCACGTGCGTCTCAGCCGGGAGATGGTTGAAGAGTTAAGAGAGCAGATGATGGCCATCAGCGAGTCATAGTTGTTTAGTTCGAGGCACTTGTTGGCGATCTTGACCCAATGCTTAATCGTTGCCGCACGTTTCTTGGGCTCTTCCAGGTATACAATCGAGTCTGTGACCAAGTGTGTAAGGTCGGTAGAAAGTGTCGCCATTGCGCGAACGTTGACCGCAAGCGAACCAGACTTGCGTGTCCATTCAGTATCGAGAAGCTCCTCAGGCAGAATAGAGCAGAAAATTCGCGACTCCTTGATTGTTAGTTGACGGGCCAACTCCAACGGGTCAAAGTCGAGTATTGACAGCGAGGCTTCCCCGTTTTTCCACTGTCGCAACAAATTTGTCTCCTTTTTGCCAAGGATGGGTGGCGGCAATGGAGTGTCTGGATGGATGTACTGTCCAATGGCAGTGTTGGTCTTGCCCATAGACGAGACCAAGCGCGGCACCAGAGGGCCGTGGACAGCTGCTACCTTTTCAGCCAGCTCATGCAACCGTCTACCAGCAGTAGGCAGATCGGCACTCAAGCGATTCTTGGCAAAGGAGGTAATGAAGTCAAGTGCAGAATCATCGCGATCGTGCCGCCAGTGCGACTCGAGCCAGCCCTTGAAGATGTTGTAGACACGTAGCCGAACCGGGCCAGCGGCGTGGGGGGTGTCCCCAATGTATTCGAATCGCTCGGCCAAGCCTTGAGCGAATTCCAGGGGAGTAGTGAATAATCGGAAAGTTAGGTAGAAAGTAGAGACAAAGGTGGCGTCGGGGGTGGATTGATGCGCGGTGAGCTTCTCAATGAGGGCGCGCAGACTGCCGCCCATCACCTGTCGGTCCTTATATACCAGCTCATGTGCAAAGGTCTTCTCCAGAAGGTGAGCCTCCGCTTCTTCACTCTCTTCAGCCAACGTCGAGTGACTGATACTTTCCTTCAAGGAGTGAACTTTGTAGCTGCCATGGAAGCTACTGCCAATGTCAGGAGACGTAGCGCGTGTAGACGTTCGCGAAAGGCCACTCATTTCAGAGTCACGCATGTGGCTATGATACGTAAAGCTACTTCCCGTGCTGGTAACACCACGACCAAAGGATTCACTGACGTCGGATATGGGATGGCTTTCACGGAAGTTGCTGTTATAGGAGGAAAAAGAGGAGGCTTGGTCGGCGTGGGTAGATACAGAGGCGGAATCGGGGAGAGTGGAGGAGGCAAGAGGGTGGGCGGGGCTGTTGGTCGAGTTCAGGTGCGATTGCAATGATGAGGGGGTGGTTGAGTCTGTAAGACCAGGGGTGGAGGGGGAGTAAGTCGAGATTGGAATCGAGAGCGGCGTAGGGGGTAGACGAAGCGAGAGGTCTTGCGGCCTCTCCTTTGCGGCTTTTGTGCAGGAGGGCGCTTCAGGGTTGGTGATACTGGTAACGGCTTGTGTGGTGCTCGACTGCTCTTCCAGGGAATCCAGCTCAATGTCGCCAATGTGCTCCAGCACCAAGCGGGCTTTGGCCAGGCAATTGCCCGCAGCGCGGACACAGTCCGTCGCAGCATCGACGAGACGCTTCCCCTCGTCAGGCATAAAGACGAGGTCGTCGTCGTGAATATGGGCTGGGCGGAAAACGTCGCGAGCGGCATGGACCAACTCCGAGAGGTTCTCACACATCGCCTCGCGAGCCTCCTGCAGTAGAATAGTCCGTGGGGAATCATGTTCGCAGACCGCTTCAATGACAGCAAGCAGGGCACGACACGACTCGACCGCCTGTTGCGTTGTGGTGACCAATTCCGTTGACGATCGTGACTGCATGTGCAACCCGATGAAGGAACCCAGAACGCTTAGAAAGGCGTCGTAGGAGATCACCAGCCGCTCCGAGGCGAGATTTTGCGCATGTGCAGCGGAGGAAGGACCTGAATACGAAACTCGATGCGAGATTGATATTCGTTTCGTCGCCACGGACATGGGCCTATGTGGTTCCACGGTTTCGGTTCGTACCGACGCTCGACTGAACGCTGTACGACTGTGATTTGTCTGCCGGGACTCGTTGCGCTCGGGTTGAGTGCCAGCGGTCGATGCTGAGGCAGTCATGGAGAAGTTTGCAGACATCGGTGTCGGAGGCAGGCCACTCTGGGCACCCGCTGTTTCCATCTCAGCTATCGTCCGGCCCAACCCTACCTCCTCGTTCCAGACGTCAAGAAACCGAACACCACGAGTGACGATTTTGAACGCCTTGAGAAGCATTTCATCCAGGATTGCCTCTACTTCCTCCTCAGATGGAACCCCGTTGGCAACATCCTGGAACCGTTTGGCCGTCTTCACGAGCGAAGAGAGGTCGGAAAGTAAAGCCTTGCGAATCCGGCGAAGGCTATCGCACTGCTTCACTAGTGGCGCCTCCCTTGTCAAGCACTCTGACTTTTCCAGCAGAAAGCGAACGCCGGCAATGGGGCCTCGCATCAAATCTTGGTTGCCAAAGTCCTTGAGTGACGAGCCGCAACCTCCACGAATGATGTCCCAGAAATCAGTCAACGCTTTTAATAATGGTCGCATGGGTATTTGGTCGTAGGCTTCGCAGTAATTGGTGGGGAGCCAGCCTCGATTCCCAGAATCGAGCAGAGTGCCATCGGCCCAGCCATTGGTGTGAACGGAATGAACGAGAATGATGTCGCCTTGGTCAAGAGGCAGGGTAATTGTGGATGGAGAAACATCTCCCGCCGGATGGAAAGGATAGAACGCGCGCAAATAGTTGTGAAATACGGGTCTTGGAACAGCTCCACGTTCCATCGATTGTTCGGACGGCGTGGCCGCTTGAGGTGTCATCGGCGGCGTCATTTCGGACTCGCCGATGGTGTCTGAATAGAAACGAGACCGTGCAGGCTGGAGGATCGCTTGATGTGGAGACGTAGCTGGTATTGAAGGATTGTGATTTGATTTTGCGATGTTCAATGGTGGGATATTGGGCTTCATTGAATCTGTTGATGGCTGGCTTGCGGATGGAAACGAATGCAAATGATAGTAGTAGTAGCACTAATATCGGGCTGCCGTGTTGGTCTCTGACCTGGACGTTTAATGACGACAAAGGGCACTTGACATCCTTGGAGAACCTATATGAACACCTCAGGTCTTTAGTGCGGAAGAAGAAGACCTTGAAAAGAACGATTGACGGCGATAGCGAGAGAAACGTGGTCGGAAATTTTGATGAGGCTGATGATGATGACGATGATGGCAATGGCGTAGCCGTCGAGAGATTTTGGAAGGAGTCTGGGGACTCGAAGGCTGGGGAAATCGTCCTGCTTGACCAGGTTGGACTTTTGTTTAGAGGGCAAACCCCATCCAAGGGCGGCAGATGATTAAAGGTCTCAACTGATGCCCCAGGATCACAAAAGGGAGTAAGACTCCACGGTCGAACCTCGATCAGACGAGCTGGAATGCGTCAGGCCAAGGAAGGCCGGTTGGAGGGCTTGAACTTCGGAATGCTCGAGAGTGCCGGAAGGCGTGGACTGACTCGACAGGATCGAATTGGAGCACAAACAGGCACGCTCCCACCCTTTCAAGTGACAGGCAGGATTCAAGGACACTTAATCCCACGGAACGAGACAATCCTAGACAGGAGATCCAAACTCATTTGAAGGATCCAACCATGGATCGTGTGGGGTAGACAAGTGAACGGGTCGAGTTGCTGTGCAGGAGGTCAACAAAAGTCCTAATTGGGACAATGACAATGTCTGCTCCAAGGCTGAATGTTGTCCTTGGTCACCGTGCCGTATACTGGAGGGAGTGTAAGTTCGTCCACAATTCCTTCAATAGATTAGCAAGTCGACCTTCAAGGACTGAGCGTCGACAAGATGAAGATCGCAGCAAGGACAGACGGGTCCAATGGGGGGAAGAACGACAGTCGTCCACCTTCAGGTAATTTGGGGTCGTCAGGGTGTTCTTCTTGCTCTCATACGTCTCGAATGGAGAGTTGCTGGAAGGATGCTTGGATGCAAGGGCGGAGGGAGTCGATCCGAGATAATAATAAGCTTCGCAGGGCAAAAGGATTGGAAGGGATAAACTAAAATAGAAGGAGGTGTGGAAAAGGAGCAGAAAAAGTTCGGATGGACAATCCCTACAGGAAGTACTATTGCCACCACTGCAGCAGAGAACGTGGAGGTTGGGGACTAAAAGATGACCACACGGAGAGAAAGAAAAAAACCCCAAGGGTGGAACAGAAATGAATGCAAATGGTGAGCACTACCAGAGCCCTTGAAGTGAATTCGAGTCACAAACTGAAAGCCTCAAGAGGTGGAAATCATTCGATTATTAACCATGCGACTCCTGCGTCGAGGAGGAGTCGGAGAGGACCCGGTTGTTAGTCTTCGTGGGACTCGATCGGGACGATCCATGCGAACTCCACTTGAGAAGTTGAGAGTCAAAATGGAGTTGGGCTGGCCGTAATTGACGTAAGTCCGGGAGAATCACCACGCGGCGTCCATACAGACGGATACCGAGTCACAGCTGCTGCTGCTGCTGGTTTAGAAGGTACACCAGAAAACAATACTATAAGGTGCTTTACAGTGTGCATTACATGATTACGCTAGTGGAAAGCTCCCAAGGCCAAATGTCACTGCGCACGCAAAAAAAGGAAGGAAGGGTATGAAAAAAAAAAGATAAAAAAAAGGAATTAAAGTACTGTTGCGCCTCTGTACTGCGTTACTCAGGAGTCAGCAGAGCCGTTGGTGGTAGAAGACTAGGTATCGACAAAGGTACAAACCTGAGCTCAGCCTCCGAGCCTACCTAACCTAGATTAAGCCTTCCCGGTACCTCCCTAGTCCTCAGCTGTACAACTGTACTTGTGAGATGGGCAGTTGAAAACATAGTTGCGCCTGAACGGGCTGATTGTACTTTCGAACCCGCCGTGTCCGACGGTCCGTAGACTCCGTATGCAGAAAAATACAGTACGACTGCGTGAATACCATTACCAATACTCACACACAGTACATACATACAGTATCCAATGATTCACTCTTCACTACCTGATGAACTCTAGGAGATTGTAGAGAATTGATTGTCTCTCCTCAACACGATCCAGACGGGCCGATTCTGGGGTTCTCTAGACACCCTTACAATCAATCTATCCAAGTTGGGTACATTGAAGTTTGAACTCATTGCGTCAGGAGGTAAGGATGATCGGTCTTGTCCCGTCTTTACCACTTCAGTATGCAGGCCCAACTGTCCTCTGCCGGCGAGGAACCAAGAGATACTGTGATCTCCGTATGTGATTGTGAAGTGCATCCACTTAATGACCGGTGCTTTCTGGCCCATGCTCGCAAATTCCTCGGAATAACCTATCTGGGTATACAACTGCGCACTGCCCAGAGCACTATAGTCGTCTACTAACTTGAATGTCATACGCAAGCTCTTCTGGTAGAGCCTTGTAGGTAGACGAGGAAACGTGCACAGGCATCAATCCAAAATCTTGACAGGCGGGGCCCTCAAATGGGAAGCAAACAAAATTCCCTCGATAGGCGCCACAAACAGCCATGACGGTGGAGTGTAAATCATCCAACTTATGGAGTAACATGGGTTCAGCTAACGAGACGCCGTTGCGCTAGAAATCTGGGCGTTGAACAAAGCAAAAAAAATATGAAAAATCATAATCAGACTCTGGGCTTAGAATTGGAAATCTTAGTACGTTTATTACCAAATGAACTGATACCAGCCTTGAAGTAACGGGCAAGCTGTACGACTTTATAAAATTCCAAGCACTTACATGAGAAGCAACTTCTCGTTCCACTCCAATTTGCAATTACTTCACTACTTTGCCAGTCTGCTAACTGCTTACTCTGCTATGGGATCAACCTTAACCGACCGTTATTCGGGGGCCAGGCCTCCTTAATCAACAGCCCGTCCCAACTGTTGCCCCTTTGTCCTATTGGACTCTTTTTTTTTTTTTTTTTTTTTTCAAGAACCACTCAGCCACCGGCGATATTGCGCGAATCATGAGTTTTTCCTTTCAGTGAACCGAAACCATGTACAGTTGTGTACCGTGTTTGAACAAGTAAACAACCTGGGGAGAAAACAGCAGTCGGTCGTGTCTTAAATATGCACTGGCCGTGTGTGCCGGAGGCCGTTCCTTGATCCGAGTCCAAGCGAACATGATCAGTCAATCTCACTGTGAGAAGATCAAGTACTTGTTCTCCTACTCACCTGAACAAGCAAGGACTTGTGTTCGAACCCTTCTTGAACTCTACTCCCATCTTACCGGTCGCAACCTTGGAAGAGAGCTACGCTTCGATCTGAAAGGTACGAGCGGCATAGAAGTACTGCATTCATGTGATATATTGTAGCTGGATCGGATGTGGTATACCAGAGCTAGTCCAAGTCTCGAAGTCTCGACTGAAGGAAGGGGTGAGGTCTGGCTAAAAATGGGGATAAAGATATGCATAAATAAAAGGGGAAAGAGGAAAGAAAAAGAGGAGGAACAACAACGGCCAGCCGTTCCAACTCGCTGGTCTCAGAGCTAGTCTCGAAGCGTGTATGGTCTTCTGAACCCTATTATTCTTGCAGGAATGAGCCCTGTGGTCAGTGATGAATCTAGTGAGTCGTGACATCCTACAGTACAATACAAATACATCTTCACCAGAGTACTTCCTTTTCCAACCTTGATATAGTTCAGAACGTAAGCTCGCCTTGGCTCCTGCCCACACAACTCACGTCGGGCTCTTGGGCAGATGTGGCCCCTGTCGGTCCCTGTCAAATCCCATGGTTGATCAATGACTCCGAAGATCGACCGCGCAGCGACGATTACATAGATGACAGCACCTGAAAGTGAGAGTCTTATTCAAGCTTTAGGTTGTCTTCACTCTACCTAACGTGTACCCATTGTATATATACATAGATCATTGATCCCTTCTGCCCCCCTTTCCTTATTACCATGGCCCTTATTGACAAGATCCAGAAGACAGGGTCGCATATTTGTCATTCTTCTAGACCAAAGTGTCTACATAGAGACCAGACACGCAGAAGAACCTCTGCTCTTCGAGTTCTGCCAAGTCGACAGTCACCCCTATCCGGCCCCGGTACCCCGTGCAGGACACATTATAACATGAAAGCCCGAGCCTTGAGAGTCCTCCCGTCCCGTCCGTCCTTACACATTCCTTTCCGACACCGGCGGGCGGGCAATTGTATAATTCAGGTTTTACTCTCCAGCCCTGCAATCGCGTATATATGAATACCTGCTTCCTCTCTTTTCGAAAAGCCGCATGTCTTGTATCATCGAGAGGGCAGCTACTAGCTAGTAGCTACTCATAGATCCTCCTTCACATAAACCCTTCCATGCTTTCTACGTTCCTCCAGGATAGTCTAGCCACCCCAGTCCCAATCCCGGACTTTCATCCCGCGTGGGGCGATCACATCCATTTACACGTTTGCACGTCGCGGGCTGGGGAACTGATGGTCATGAATTCTAGACTGAGGGATTCGCTGGTTAATCTTGACGCCTCGCCACCGAGGGAGTTGGAGCGAATGAAGAACCACCAACGCAAACCCATGTTGATGGTCTCGGGATCCACAAACGCGTCCCGTCGGGTCGGAAGAGGGACTTTAGAGCTTGGGGTTTGTACGTGATGTTTCCCTTTTTGCTTACTCTAATTATTTACGATACTGTGTATGCTGTACAGCTGGTACTGTACATAACGCTGTATGTAACCATGTATTTATCGCATTCGCCGCTACAATGCTACCGATCTGAGATGGACCCCGGTCTGACAGGTGTGTACATATGCACCAATTACAATAGCTGTGTATCTAGCGTTGGATTGGCGGAATAAGTGCGTGTTTTTGTGGGCGTT